TGCCTGATGACATTTTCCCAAATCTGCAAAGCTCACTGGAAGGACACAAACCGAGGATGATATTTTCCTGATACAGGGTTTATTACTCAAGTAAGGGTAAAAAAGTATCTGACTAGAAGGCTACTTGAGTACTGATCATCTGATCTAATATATTTAAAATGATGACATCAAACAGACATAAAATAAGAAGTTATGGGCAAATATTGGTATTTTAAAGACTAAAGGGAAAAAATTTAAACAAATTAACACATTTTAGGCAAAATTTAGACACAGACTGAGGACAACATTTCCTGACGTACAGGGTTTATTTAATTGTGTGAAAATGTAGCACGTTTAAAAAAAATACCGCGATAATACCGAAAACCGTTTTAATTTTGGTCACAATAACCGTGAGGTTAAATTTTCACACCGTGACAGCCCTAATACAGACCATTTTAGATTAGGTTACACTTCCTTTATTCCCAGATTATGTAGTTTGTAGCACTCATTATAATGTTGTAAAAAATTTCTGGCCAATCCACGTGATCGGTATCGGTGATCAGCATTCTTTGATATCGGTATCGGTGATCGGCAGCAAAAAAACCTGATCGGTGCATCCCTAGCTGAAACATTAACAAATTCATTTAGTACATATTTCTGACCCAGAATTGTTATTTACAGAAGTTGGTTAAATAAAGCAAAATAACTTCAGCTTCTTTACGTTTACACATTCGTGAGCAGACTTTGGTTCGAAGTCTGATGGGAAGTCTGCGCGTGTGTTCCCTCGGTAAACGGAGGCCATTCATGAACAGAAAAACTGTTATTGGGGGGAGAAGAAGAACATGAGGAACTTTCCCTGCATGACATCACCGCTTCTTCCCATGACACAACGTGGTTCTTGTCTGAGGGACGCTGCGCTGCGTTCGGAGTCAACAGAGGACGATTCTGAGTCTAGCTCGGGGTAAATAAACTCAGAAATTTGGGGGAACTCTTCTACCACCTCAGGCCTGAGGCCGGGCAATACCGTGACTCATCCTGCTAAGACGCCTTTTCCTGTGCTACCTGTAGTTGACTAAGACCTCATGGATGTAAACAAGTCTTTTTTCAACAACAGGAGGAGGATCATGAGCTGGTCTGTTTGGCCTTTTTCCTCCACTGATTATCTGCATACTTGTTTCCTCTCCCCCCTCCTCCCTCTGCCTCGCCTTCTTGTCTCATTCCTCTGAGTCACAAGTCTTCTAGTCAGGAGCATATAATAGGAAAACTGTGCTGTTTTTCTCTTTTACTGATCCATGGGATGACATCCCTTCCTCATTCCCTTTGATTAGTTACGCCATATAATGAGGAAACGTCACGACCCATGATGTTTTAACTGTTACTAACTAAAACGGAATGATCTGAATGTGTGTTTTAATGACTGCTTCCATTAATCCTGTTAGAATTTGTATTCGATGTGACTTCAGTTGGAAACACGAACTTCCCCCAAACCTGCACTTTTCCATCATTGACCGATGAATAAACCCTCTTCATTTTTTTTTGGTTCGCCACTCCCATCATCCCTCTGCTCTCTACACTGCAGATGGATTATAAAGTTACATAATCAAGCAGCAAGGAATAGGATATTTGTTTTAGGCCTGGAACAGGATCATCAGCTGCTCTCGCTGAAGGCACCTGAGATGATAACAGCCCAACGAGCCGATTGACACTCAGAAACAAACAGAAAAAACACAGGTACCATGTACCACATTTAGCTTTTATTTCTTTTTCCCATATTCTCTTTTATATGTGTAGGCTTATTTTTTTTTACGTTTGAGTAGCATTGACTCTATAAGTTAATCAGTTGTAAATTTATAAAAGAACTAGTTTATTTTAAATTAATCGAGTGACCCCCTGTCAAGGAGGCCCATGGTGCCGTACACAGTGCAGAGATGCATAAAACATTAAAAGCAAACATTATGGTCAAATAAAAGCATAAAACAATAACTGAAAAGCAATAAAACCAAAAAGCAATCAGACAACACAATAAAACATGAATAAAACAAGCAAATGGATCTAAATTAAACTTACGTCTGGCTTTAAATATAGAGGCGTGGACTGTTTTATGGTTCCAGAGCAGAGGACCGATAACTGAAAAAGCATGACTTGCGTTTTGACTGTGGAACCTCCAACAGGTCACTCGGAACCGAGTGTGGAGGTCTTGCAGGGATGTAACGGGTCACAAGTGAGACTAAATCTGGTTGTGCTGATTTTAGAGGAATTTTTGAGGATTTATATTTATGTATTTAGCAGACACTTTTGTCCAAAGCGACTTACAAGTGATAATCGGCATGTTGCCCTTGAGGCTAACAACAACAATAACAACAACTTGACATCAATCATGGAGAGGAGGGAACAAGGAGTGGACAGTAGAGAGGGGGGACGGGTGCAGGGAGGGTGCTAGTTTAGAAAATGCTCTCTGAAGAGCAGGGTCTTCAGGAGTTTCTTGAAAATTGAAAAGGAAGCCGCTGTTCTGGTAGTGCTTGGAAGGTCATTCCACATTTGTGGAACAATGCATGAGAAGAGTCTGGATTGTCCTGAGCGTGGTGTAGGCACTGCTAGCCGACGATCCTGTGATGACCGGAGCGGCCGGGCCAAGACGTAAGCCTTTGCAAGAGGATTCAGGTAGATGGGAGCCGTACCATCTCTGACTTTGTATGCTAGTGTTAGCTATTTGAATTTGATGCGTGCTGCTAGCTGTAGCCAGTGGAGCTCAATGAACAGAGGGGTGACGTGTGCTCTTTTTGGCTGATTGAAGACCAGACGCACCGCTGCGTTCTGGACCATTTGAAGAGGTCTCACAGTACAGGCTGGAAGACCGGTTAGAAGGGCATTGCAGTAATCGAGGCGGGAGATGACAGTAGATTGCACCAGGAGCTGGGTGGCATGTTGTGTTAGGTATGGTCTGATCTTTCGTATGTTATACAGCGCAAGGCGGCATGAACGAGCAACAGAGGCAACATGATCTTTAAAGGTCAGGTGTTCATCAATCACAACACCCAGATTTTGAACTGCCTTTGAAGGAGCCAGAGATAGGAAGTCATTTTGGATTGAAATATTATTCTGTATGGATGGTTTTGCTGGGATGACAAGTAGTTCAGTTTTAGAGAGGTTGAGTTGGAGATGGTGGGATTTCATCCATTTTGATATGTCAGAGAGACAGTTTGATATTCGTGCAGAGACAGTGTGGTCGTCCGGTGGAAATGACAGATAGAGCTGGGTGTCGTCTGCATAGCAGTGGTAGGAGAAGCCATGTGATTGAATGATCTCACCCAGTGAGGTGGTGTATATGGCAAAGAGAAGAGGTCCTAGTACAGAGCCCTGGGGGACTCCTGTGGCAAGATGGTGCAAGGTAGAGGATTGTCCAAGCCAAGATACACTGAATGATCGTTCTGTGAGGTACGATTCAAACCAGGCATGTGCTTTCTCTGTGATGCCCATGCTAGAGAGTGTGGACAAAAGGAAGCCATGGTTGACAGTGTCGCATGCTGCCGATAAGTCGAGCAGGATAAGCACTGAGGATTTGCCTGTCGCTCTAGCTTCTTTTAAGGATTCCGTCACTGCTAACAGAGCAGTTTCAGTGGAGTGGCCCTTTTTGAACCCAGATTGGTAAGGGTCAAGCAGACAGTTTTGTGAGAGGTATTCTGTGATCTGCTTGAAAGCCACCCTTTCAATGATTTTGGACAGAAAAGGGAGGAGAGAGATAGGTTGGTAGTTCTCCACATGATTTGGAGGAAGAGATGTTTTTTTTTTTTTTAGCAGCGGTTTAACCTGAGCATGCTTGAGAGAGGTGGGAAATATACTGGATGTCAGTGAAGCGTTGATCACATGTGTGACTGCTGTGGCTACTGTAGGAGCAATAGCTTGGAGCAGCTTAGTTGGAATGGGGTCGAGTGGGCATGTAGTAGGGCGGCTGCACGTGAGAAGCTTGGACACACAGAAAGCAGAATGAGACCTTTCACTGGTAGCCAGTCCAGAGTATCCAGCAGCGGAGTAACATGCTCCCACCGTCGTGCTCCGTAGATGAACTTAACTTCATTCATCAATGACTTTTTTTTTTCTCCAACTCTCTGAACATAAAACCGGTCAGCTTACTTTACTAACATGTCCGTAGAGGTAGTGAAACTACAGGCTGGAGGATTAACACCGTAAAGCCTTTTTAATCACAATTTTATTTGCCCCCTAGAACAATCTAAAAACAAGATCACTTGAACCTCTTGGTTAGTTTTGTGTCTATTTTAGCTTTGGTGAAGGTAATGCTCAGTCAGCGCCCTGCGGTTCACTCCCAGTCCTGGCAGGTTCCCACTTCAGCTCTTTGGGCTCCTCCCGATTTGAACAAAGTGCTTCTGGTGATGCAGACCTGCACCGCCTAATTAAGTGGCCACACACTCATCATAAAGCTGTTTCAAACGTATGTTTTAATTTTATGAAGTTGATGTTTTTAAAGCTTGTTTGCAGTCTGTTTGGGTGGGAAATGGTTGAAGAGAAGGACAGCTTTTACCAGATTGTGTCTTGTTGTACTCTGAGTCATTTAGATCAATTTAAATAGGCTGCAGACAGATGGGTCACATCGTCCTGATGAATGTGAGGAAGCAGCAAGGAAGTGAGTGTGATCATCACGCTGTTGGGAGGCACGCGGCGGCCTGGAATCACACGTGGTTCGATGACACTTGTCTGTTTGAATGTACTTGTTTGTTGTCCATATTTGACCCTGCAGACAAACTTTCCCATGAGGGTGTGGATTGTGCTCCGAGCAGAAAGGGAGGAGCGTAGAGCTGAGTGTAATGTGTTTGTTTTACTTAACAGTTAATAACATTCATGACTCTAGCCAGATGTGCAGTTTACCTTAAATTTCAAAGCAAATTGAACATCAAGAGTTTTGGCTCAATATGCAAAAGTAGCACAAAGCAGAATTTTCATAGTTTAGTCCAATCACTATAAACGTTTCTGTACACAAGTTTCATCTCACGCAACATCTCCTGCAGGTCATCGACTCACTGGGCATCATGATCTACAAAGCTCTGGATTTTGGCCTCAAAGACAACGAAGAGCGGGAGCTAAGCCCCCCGCTGGAGCGTCTGATTGACATGATGACCAACATGGAGGAAACGAAGAGCGACCCTTGTCCTGATGAGGGCTACGAAGCCACAGAGGAAGAAGAGGAGGAGGAGGAAGAGGATCGCGAGGAAAACGGGGAGGAAGAAGAGCTAGCCTTCGTTACGTCTGCCAGCCCAATCAGCAGGATTCAGAGCTACAGAGACATCATTGCGGTAGGTCTTACTTTTGACAAATTGACTTTTTACAAGTTTAGTAGGAACGTAAGAAAAATGTTGATGCACTGAAATATCGCAATTTTTAATGTTATGATACTGAATTGATATTTAATGTTTGAATATAAAATCTCAACAAAAAAAAAGATACACTGCTTTTAAAGTGACAATGTGTTTTTCCTGGCTATAGGGGGCAGTTCATACCTGAGTCATTCCAATCAATCAGTAGATTTGTGTTTGAGTACGACCTTACCAACGGATAGCCATTAGGGTCAAAAAACCCGGGAGCGCAACTTTCGAACGAGTACTTCGTCAGATTATCAACCTCCAGCAAAATGACAAACATCAGACTCCCTTTCATCACCGGCAACGAGCGAAGAGCTTCATGTATAAAACAACAACGTTCATGAATGGCGAACATCTTGTAACTGCTTGTTACAAATCTGTAAATGCATTTAGTCTTCACGGGATCCCGTCGAAGGAAGCGTGGCCTCTGATATGGCGTCGCTCAGACTCACACCCACTCCCATGTACTTGGACCCGATTTTCATGGTTAAATGTCACAAAGCCGCCAATATTTTCTAACAACTTAGATGGATATTTCCAGAGATTAATGATACAAACTACATTGTCTCATTAACTGGGCTGCATGGTGGAGCAGTGGTTAGCACTGCTGCCTCGCAGCACGAAGGTTGCAGGTTCAAAACTCTGCTGCAGCCTTTCTGTGTGGAGTTGCGTGTTCTCCCCATGCATGCGTGGGTTTCCTCCGGGTACTCCGGTTTCCCCCACAGATCACAACATGCCCTATAGGTTATAAATTGTAAGTCGCTTTGGATAAAAGCGTCTGCCAAATAAATAAACAAACAAACATCAACATTAACTATTTTATATGTGGTGTCATTCTAACTCGGACCACTAGATGGCTGCAGTTTTACCGCCTTAAATCTGATGGAACAAGATCTCGGCCGCCATGAGTCGTTTAATTAAATTCAGTCTCAAAATTGCAAATCTCATCTATCAACCCGTGATGGATTGAAGCCAGTTACAATTAAACAAATGTGTTTAAAATAAAGCTCCTTTTGTTAGCTTTTAAGATGATTTTATTTATTTCTGATCACGTTTGTGGAGAAAACGGTGCAGCAACACATAATTAACACCCAAACTGCCGACACATTCCCAACAGCCTCAAAGCCGTCTCCGAGGATCTCGTGGAACAGAAATGTAGGTTTTGTTTTGTTTGGAGGTGAGACAAAATGACAAAAGGGATTTTCTAGAAGCTTAAATCAGGTTTGCTGTTTGCTTCAGTGAAACGTGGACTTCTTGTATGAATGTTTCCATCTTTTATTGTCGTCCCATTTTCGTGTTTGTCATGACTTCTTAAATGTTTTCATTATTTCCAACAAAAGGCTTGATGTCTTCATTTATTTCTACTGAAGAATTTGTTAACCCAACTAAAAACATTTTTTTAAATGCTTTTTCACAAAATCGGACATATGTTATGGTATGATTATAAAACTATAAATGTAATTAATCAATCAAGCAAAGATACTTTATTAATCCCAGAGGGAAATTAGAGTTTCAGTACACACAATTCAGAGATCAGACATACATGGGCAAGACACATGACAAGAATTGGTGACTGTGGTCATTCGCAACCCTGAGTCACGCTACCTTATTCGAGATAAGGGGGTTACATGAGGATTGGTTCAGGTGGAGGGAAAAAAAGGCACTTCAGAGTTACCCTCCACCGGGAGGGCAGCTTTGCTCAGCAAAAAACACCTCAAACATATATGCAACAGAGTTCAGACAACACAAGCGTCCACTAGGTGGGGTGGTGGGTTGGGACTATCCCCACTTCAGTTCCTGCAGCCACGATAAGAGGCGCATGTCACCTCAGTGTGGATGGGGGGAGGAGCATTGAGGGTTGGAGGGTTGCAGTGACTCTGGAACATTTCAGCGGCCTTCCCGCAGTCCCGCCCAGGCTGGGAAAGGAAACAGAGTTGAGTTGCCATAGCGACGGCACATTCCACATGTCTTCTGAGGGGGGAGTTTTCGTTGGAGCCTTGCAGGCTTAAGGGCGCCAGATTCCGACTAGAAATTGTTTTGGGGCCAGACAGAGATAATTTCCTCTCTCTGTCTTACAGTTTGTTGGTCCTCAACCTCTCAAAATCCCAATAATGGACATTAAACTATCCCAATCCGTGCCGATTCGTCCACTCTCTCCTTGATGGCATCCATCTTTTGTGCCAATGAATGAATCTCGGCCAAAGTTCCAAGCTTACGATTCGTCTCGACAATTATGTGAGTCTGTGAATTCACAGCGCGATGCAAACCATCTCTGAGCTCAGGGATCAGGCCAATAGTCCTCGACAGCTCGTTAATTTTCCGGTAAGCCAGGTAGCCTCCAAGGCCAATGAGCAGGAAACCTGACACCAACACCACGAATATCCACACGTCTTCAGAGTCCTCCACAGACAGCTGAGATAAACAAATCAAGTTCCACTGTTTCCAGGAGTCCATAAAGTGTCCAACTGGGTCTGTTCCGGAGGGGCATCCGGGAGCCCCTTCTCCCGTTCTCCTCGTTGAAAAAATTCTATCAATCGTGTTGAGTGACCAGCTGTCGAGATCCATTTTAGTGATTTCAGTTTCCAGAAAAAATGCAAAAGCAGCTGTGCACTCAGCACACAGAGACAGACAAAGGGCCTTGAGGATAAGATATGAAGGAGAGGAGGAAAAAAGCATCTGCACCCTCCAAGAGCCGGAAGATTGAAAGAGACAACGTGTAGTTTTTACAGTTGATCTCTGGAGCTATTTATTGAAATGTTGTTGAAAAGGAATTAAATGATGCCCAGTTGTTGAAAATTATCAGCGGCTTCATAACATATAACCCAGGGTTTCCCCCAGCGTTTTATAAGCTTGGCGGCCCGCCAGCCAGGCTAAGCATCATGCCCCGCCCCCTCCCCGACACTACCGTATCCGCTGGCATGAATGGCGCAACGAAACTAGAGCCCTCCATCAGCTGACACTGGTGAGAAACATCAGCGGAACGTGTGCACCTACCCCAGTCGTGTGTCGTCGTCCCCCCCCCCCCCCCCGGTCGGCCGAAGCCGCCAGGCTTAACTCATTTTCTGGAGGGACGCCCTGATATAACCATACAAATAGGTCTCTGGGCAACGCTGTTAAATGCAGTGTTTCCTTCTATGGGAGCCTGTGAGGACAAAATGCACGTACTGTTTTGTATCAACAGTTACAAATCCTTCACCCGTCATAAACATTGTTGTTTTACACATTTACCTCCTTACTCGTTATCAGGGATGGAAGGAGTCTGATGTGCTTGGCATTTTGCTGGAGGTTGTGCTTCCAGGGATTTTTGACCCTAATGACCATCCGTTGGTACGGTCTTACTCTGAACACAAAAATACAGCTGGCTTGCAATGATTTCTGTATGTACTGGCCCCTTTCACCAGGGAAAATGCACATAATCACTTAAAATAAAATAAAATATAAAATCCCAACAGGGAGGCTAGAAAAGTCTATAGTAATCCCACGTGATTTGTTTTCAATGGCTGTTGCACAAAAACGGGCATAGTTGCCCACGCTGTGTTGACTCCTGTTGGGTTTGGATAGTGAAGAGACCCACCCAATATGGTGGCGACGCTGTTATGCTCTCCAGCAACAGCGTCTACATGTTCATGTCTGTTGGTACACGCAGTAAATACGTTTTATTGCCCCCATTCTTTAGAAGTTTCAGGTGAAATGTTCTACCAGAATGTTTTTCTACAGATAATTATTTTAGCACAAACGGCAGTAAAGACTTTCACTTCTCCGGCATCCTCTGCTTGTAAAAGCTTAATGTGCTGAGTCAGCCCAGCCAAGCCCATTAGACAAACATGAAGGTATGCCCTTCGTCTGGTTCCTCCATTATTCTTTTATTATCATTACAATCAGCAGCAAGGGCAGGACCAGCAGGTTCACTGGGCTGGAATTCCTTTTTTCTAGTTTCGTGTTTTTTAGAAGTCCTGTCGGCATGGCCTGAAGGACGGGAGCGTTGCTCAGTGTGACTAAAAGAGTTTATTAGGCTGAAACGCCTCAGTTATTAGATTAGTGATGTTAACAGATCATTTTTTATTTTAACCCTCCCACTGTCTTCATGGGTGACCCCGCGAGGAAAGTTGACCATTGAGCAGGATTGATGGTTTATCCCATGGCCCTACTTGGCAGGCACGTGGACCTCAAGGGATAAACCATCAATCCTGCTCAATGGTCAACTTTCCTCGTGGTCACCCATGAAGACAGTGGGAGGGTTAAATAAAAAAATATGGGTCAAATACAGGTTTTATCAAACAATATTTGCTGTTTATTTCTAGCATAAATTCTAACCTATTAACGTTGTTTCTTCTGGCTTGTTGCCTATAGCGACCAGTGCGTTTTAATATTCTGATTAGAGCCTCGGTCATAAAATGTGCTGATCGACAAAAAAGCAAAATTTTAACGAGGCTTATGCAAGATTTTTTTTTTTTTTTACATGTTTAAGAACCGGATAACAAAAAAAACTGTTCAACTTCTCAGAATGTTCTAAAAAAAAACTATAAATGCAGATTGAAGATCTGTAGTTGATAAAATAGCAAGTATAAGATCATGTTATTTTGAAACAGAGCAAATAAAAAAAAATCAAGTTAAATGACAATTTTAAATATATTATTTACAAAAAAATAACTTAAAGCTGCTTTCCGGAGTTTTCCTCTTTCAGAAATCAGGTATGATTTGTCAGATATCCGTAAAAGTGATTATCTTATCATGTACTGTGATATAATACAAGCAATATGTCTTTTTTTTTTTTTTTTTTTTTTGCTAAACACGCCCCGTGCCCGGTAGAGCTCCGTTCAATAGGAAACTGAGTGCTGACCAGAACTAACCAATAGCGTTAGACTACCGCTTACCTGCTTCAAATTTAAGGAATAGATCGGCTGATGCAGAGTTGATGAACTTTTCACGGACAAAAAAGTCTCTAAAATATAAATATATGAGAACACATGACATCAGAATAATACTCGTAAAACGGCGTGTTTTAGCTCTGTTTGTCGGCTACAGAAGCACGTTTATCAACAGAAACGTGAAGTCGCCATCTTAAAAAAACAGAGGAACAGCATTTTTGTGTGATACGCTTGTCAGCCACTAGATGGTGCCATCGGATAAGAGAAATACTCTGGAAGGAAGCTTTAATTGCGACTGAAGAGACTTGATAAAAATCAAAACGGCCAAATGCTTCAAAAACCTGGGAAAACTGCAGCAAGAAGAGGAATTATTTAAACAAGAAGAGCATTTAAGGCAAAGTCCAACTCTGGATTAGAAACAAAACTATTCATATTTCTTCTTTTTTTTTTTTTCTTTTTTTGCTCCCATAGATTTGTTCTTCCCACCTGCCCAGCCCGCTGGACGCTCCGAACCATTACCAAGCCGTATGCCGGGCTCTCTACGCCGAGACCAGGGAGCTGCGGACTTTCCTGGAGAAGATTAAAAGTGCCAAAGAGGTAAAACAAACTTTTGGATTATAAATCGAAGAGTGTAACAACTTTTAGCCAAATGACAAATAAAACTAAAGTTCGTGTTTATGTTCCTGAAGTGGGAGATTTTTCAGCATGAATCCTAGAACGGAACAGAAAATCCCTTTATTTTCCATCAGTGGTGAAATAAACGGTGAAACCTGCAGACTCACCGAACAGAGAAACAAACAGAAAAGTACCAAACTCTTGTTTTACTTTGACTTTACTGTAAAGAAACGAGACGATTTAGAAAAACAGACTTTTTATGATAACGGAAACAAACTGAAGCTCAAACATGAAAAATGTTTATGTAAAAATTCCAATAAACGAATAAAAATGTTCTTTTAATCCAAAATCTACCTCAGACTAATGATTCTGGATGTTATTTTAGGAGCTTTTAGACTAAATGAATCAAGCTTTTAAAAATATACATGAAAGGACATTTCTGTCCTGCTCCTGTTGCCCTGATTGAATCAAAGTTGAGATGATGCAGTTGGAGCTCCCCAGCGATAGCAGCAGGGAAAATTCCTGCAAATATCTTGTGTAATAGATGTTTACAGAATCCAGTGTAACCATATTAAACCAGTTTAAGAAGCTTAAAGAGCAAGTCACCCCCAAATCAACTTTTTTTCTGATAAACTATATAAATGCGTGTCTAATCGTGCTGCAGACACGTGTAGTCAATAGTTTTACACTTTAGTGCATTTTATTCAGTTCAATTCAATTCATTTCAAAAATACTTTATTAATCCCAGAGGGAAATTGATTGCTGTAGTAGCTCAGAATAATAATAATAATTCAAGTCGTCAACGAGTTATTGTATATTACAATGGCTGTTGGCAGGAAGGATCTCCAGTAGCGGTCAGTGTTGCAGCAAAACTGAAGAAGCCTCTGACTGAAGACACTCTTCCGTTGTCGGACAGTCTTGTGAAGAGAATGCTCAGGGTTGTCCATCATTTTCTTGATTCTCTGGAGAATCCTTCTTTGAATTATCTCCTCCAGCGGTTCCGATACTGCCGAAACTCTGGCTGAGTCCTTGAAAGGGCTTGGAGTTCCTCCATCTTGTTGGCCAGTGATCTCACATTGCCCATTATGATCGATGGAAGAGATGGTTTGAATTTCCTCTTTCTCTGTCTCCGTTTTGCTCCCGCTCTGCATCCACGCTTGCATTGTAGCTCATTTGGGATTTGTGGCTTCAGTTGAGGTATTATTTCAGCCTTTCCAATGTTAATCAGCTGCTCCCGATTGTAAACCAGCTTGTTGCCATGGTTACGCATCATAACAAATGCTCAAAAAGTGAAAAAAGCTAAGAAATAGCAATAAAAATCCTCCAAGCTTCACAGCACTAGAAACTGAAAAGATAAGTGTCCAAAAAAAAAATACAGTTTTTCTTGAGAAACTAGAAGACAAAATGCCCAAGAAAAGGCAAAACTTACATATAGTCAACAGAACAACTCCAACATGCAGCCACCCAGAGCAGCGCAGTTCCGGACAAAGTTAGTTAAAATTGTAATTTTCCTTTTTCCTTTTAATTTGCCTAAAGTGTTGTGCCGTTGTCAGGTAAAAACTGCACTGCAGTTGAATTTAAATCTGCCATCGCTATTGGCTAAGAGGTACCCTAGAATGTTAGCTGGTACCATATGATGTCACAATGTCGTTGCGAGCCTGTGTGTGTGTGTATTTGTTAGTGGCTCCGCCCTCTCGGTCTGCTAGGCAACAGCATTTGTTGCATTTTTCAAACAGGAAGTGGGAGTGGCGTAATAGTCTGGTAGGGGGTGACTTGCTCTTTAAAGGGAGGTTTTGGACGACTAGGATGTCACACATGCTTGATAATTAGGTTCTTTCAGTAACTTGTTTTTGTTTACACCATCTTGTTCTCTTGGATTCCTGTCTTTTCCTGTCTGGAAATAAGAGATCTCTGTGGAATTCAGGGAACAGTGGTGGAACGTGCATTTGGGAGAATCTGTAGTTTTGTTTATGGAAATGGAGTTTCAGCTGTAAACATGGGTGCCTGCAGCACTGAGCATAACAACTGACTTTAAACAACCAGATTAAGCTGAGTTACATTCTTGATTAGCGACCTACTTATCCTGAATCATCGGGCAGCGGGATGGTTTACTCGCATGCTTTGCCGTGCGTCAATCCACACCGCGGAGTCTCGGTCACAGAGCGGATTCTCCGCTGGACTCGCAAAACCACGAAATCTCTCGAGACTTCAAAGGTCATGGTTTGTTTATGTCATCCATCATTAAACCAATAAGAAGGAGATCACGTTTAATGTCATATGTGATGTTGTTCCTCTCCACTGCCAGGATTAAAGCCATGAAAAACACACCGTTGCACTTCTGGAACGAAACAATCCATCAGGTAACACGTATGGATGTAATCTACACGGATATGAAACCGCGTCACTGCAATAGTCTTTTATTTTGAAAATTACCAGACGTTTTACACTGAAAGCATGTGATTTCCTGTCTAGCCCTATGTTGGCTTCGAAAAGTGACTTGAGGCAAAAATGGAACCGAACCTTCTCTTTAGCGCCAGCCTGAAATGTTCGGCTCAACCCCGTAGTAACGGTTTCTGTTTGAAGCAGCGACGCCACGCTGCCGTTCCTCGCCGCTGATGCCTCCAGAGTGGATTAAGGGTCAAACTTATCAACCCAAGCTGCTCCTAACCGTAGAGACATAAAATAAAACCCAGAACAGCGAGGAATCAGGAGGCAAAAAACAGATTTATTGAACATAAATGAATTTAGAGCATTCGTTTTCATATTCAGTATTCTTTTATTTTTTTTATTCTGTCGACCAGAACCTTCGGAGAATGGAAGGCGAGACTCACGGAGACCCCGTCAAAGACCTCAATGAGCTGGAGAACGCTGATTGGGTGAGATTGTCGACGCTCTGCAGCTCTAGATTAACTTAGTCACACGTCTTCAACCCTTTATTGTTTTTTTTCCCCACACAGGCTCGCTTCTGGGTACAGGTGATGAGAGATCTACGAAATGGTGTGAAGTTAAAGAAGGTCCAGGAGCGCCAGTACAACCCGCTGCCCATCGAGTACCAGCTCACGCCGTACGAGATGCTGATGGATGACATCCGCTCCAAACGCTACAAGCTGAGAAAAGTCATGGTGTGCTAACGCTAAAATCGTCCTTCCTTCTTTGTAACGGAGAAATCTCACAGAACTCCTAACGGTCGTTGTTCTTGCAGGTGAACGGAGACATCCCCCCACGGTTAAAGAAAAGTGCACATGAGATTATTCTGGAGTTCATCAGGTCACGACCTCCTCTGAACCCTGCAAGTAGCACCCAACCATTTCAGTTCGGCAGATATTTGGTGTGACATCGTTAAACGTATTCGAGGCTCATCCGTGTTGCTCTTGTGACAGGTGGCGGCCCGTAAACTTAAACCCCACCCCCAGCGCCCTCAGAGCCTCCACGAGAGGCTGCTGGAGGACATCAAGACCGAGCGGAAGCTGCGGCCGGTTTCTCCTGATTTGATTCGCAGGCACCGCCTTGGTGAGGATCAGCACCACAGAGATGCAGTCTGACGTATTCACGCTTTTGTCTTTTTACTCATTCGAACGTTTCCTAGCTAACGAGCGTTAGCTTAAAGGAGTTTAGCAGCCCGGTGGAGTTAGAGTAGCTCAGATTGAGCCGTTTAAGGAAAGTAAACGAGACAGGAACTTACTAAACTGGTAGTTTGTTACTCAAGTACGCCAAAGATGATTTTAAAAAACGAATTTCTTGTATTTATTTACTACATAACAGTCTTTGTAGATCAAGCACGAGTTGGTTGAGTTTATCTGAACTTTTACAGGGAGGCTGATCAATCTGACCTTTTCTTTTTCTCTCCACAAATCCGGGTGTTTCTGTCAGTCATGCGACCACTAAGCATGTCTTACAGTTTTGACTCATCAGGTAAAGTTCATGTGTCCTCGTTGGAACGTGTGTGTCATTCCAGCGCTAGCTGCTGCTCGTCCCCGATTCAAACACCCGAGTCCATCGTTGTCGTGTCTCTTAGAGGTTGTTGTGATAGGAACACCGGGAACACTTGGGTCAACACAGTGCAACCTTTTGTTACATTTGTCTGTTTAGCTTTTACCTTTCGGAGGTTGGGGTGTTTGTTTTTGTTTTTGTTTTAGCATCTGGGATTAGAAATCCCTGCTCTGCCTGATCAGAATAATCCTGAGAAGTGACACAACGCTGCCCTCAGGAACAGATAGGGGTGGGTACCGAATTCTGTACTTTTTAAGGTACCGACCGAATTCCATAGTACCGACCGAGCACCGATGCACATCATTTCAAACGGTGCCTTGTTTCGGTACCCGTCCTTCACAACGAGAACTTGCCAAGACAGCTGCGCATGTGCAAGAGCGTTTTGTCGTCGCTCGCTGCGAGCGAGTTGTAAACAGAGCAGCATGGTAGAAAGAACGCACGCTAACGCTTGGGTCCACTTCACTAAATGTGATGGGTAACTGGGTGATGATGAAACCAGCAACAACGATCTAAGTGAGACATCCTCATCTTAATCTGCTCCGGTAGGTAAATAAAATGTTTAAGATAACGTTAGCTTGATTTGTTAGCTTCCGTTCCGCTAATGGTGCGTTCGCTTTCTCCTCGGAACTCCGAATTTCCGACTAGAAGAACATGAACGCGCTCTAAAGTTTGGCTTCACTTTACTAAATGCGACGGGTGATTGGGTGAAGATGAAACCAGTGACAACGATCTAAGTGTGAGGCATCATCGTTTTAATCTGCTCCAGCAGCTAAATAAACTGTTTAAGATAACGTTAGCTTGATATGTTAGCTTCTATTGCCACCGTTGTTGTCAGCTAATGGTGCGTTCGCTTTCTCCTCGGAAATTCTAACTTCCCAGTAGGAAAAATCAAATGAAAAACGACGGCAAAAGGAATGAAGATACGCAGTAAATTTAGTTCACAGTAAAGATGTTTGCTTCAGTTTAATTATCAGCTTATAAAACTACAAGGACGATGTTAAAATACAAACAGCTGTATGTTATTTATCGTGATATTTATCAAATATGGTTATATGTTGAGAAAAATATATATTTAATTATAAAAGAGAATTAAAATAATAAACACTCAAAAGTATCGAAAATTGGTACCGTTAAGTACCGGTATCGATTCCTAGGTACCGGGAATCAGTACCGGATCGATTCAAATGTCAAAGGTACCCATCCCTAGAGATGAGTCGAGCTGTGGCGTCAACCTTCTGAACGTAAACACGAGATGTTTTTGCACTGTGGGTGTGCTCATTGTCTTCCTCTGATTCTGCAGCTCTCCCCCTCACTGACCCCTCCCCGTTGTGCTTTCAGCTGCACACCACTTGTTTATTTTTGAATGTAGAGCACCACAACAGCATCAAATCCTCTGGTGATTCTAGGAATTAGGATCGTTTGTGCCTAGGCTCAAGCTCGTTTTGATTGGTCTACAGGTGCAGGGAAGAGCATCAGCACGCCTCAGGATTTGTTCCGAAGTCCCGGTAAATAGATTTTAATCAACTTGTAACAGATTCCTGTATTTAATCAGAGTGGATTTGGATAAACATTTTAGTATTTTTACAACCAGCTGACTCTCCAGATGCTCAGAGGAAGCTGACAGGAAGCACCCAGTCTCTGGCCGGGAGCTCCACGGGAACCGCTCAAGGAGTTCAGCCTCAGATCCAAAGGAAGAGGCTCCTGAAGGCGCCCGCGCTGGCTGAGCTGGACAGCTCCGAATCAGATGTAAAAATCTCCAAAATGAGCCTCTTCACCACCCATTATTTCTGTTATGTTCATGGCATGTATTTTAATTTGTGGTTGGTAGGAGGAGACCACACAGAGCAGCTCCAGTAAATCCACGTCCTTCGTAGAAGACGCGTCTCCCGAACCTGTCGTTGCAAAGAAAGGTAGAAACAAACCCGCGGTCGCTCGTCCTGGCTGTTTTCAACATTCATTTGATGAATTTGTCATGCTTTTGTCTGAAACCTCCAGTTCCTCCGAAGCTCCCTCCGGTCTCTGCCCCCCCTCAGCCTGAGACGCATCAGCAGCTACAGAGGAGACGCTGTGAGAAGGTGGGCTCCACCGCCGTCTGCCCGTTCCTGCCGCTGTCCAGACAGAGCGCCAAGTCTCTGGTGAGTTCTGACCTTTCACCAGTAAAACAGCTAATGAAGCACCTTAGTGTGAAAACAGAGAAAGTAGTTCAAGTCTGAAAGGAGCTTTAAAAAATGAAGGAATTGATGTATTTGTACTTATATGTAGGGATATGTATGTAGTACCGTATTTTCCGGACTATAAGCCGCACTTTTTTTCATAGTCTGGTTGGTCCTGCGACTTATATACCAAATTATGTATACCGCGCTGCTGCGGGCCGGCACCGGACCAGGAATGAGCTCCCCTGCACCGCCATCCTCTGCTGGAGACCGTTGCGCACTGCTGCGGGCCGGCTCTGGTCCAGGTTTCAGCTCCTCTGCCCCACTGGGAGGGTTTGAAACCGCCATCCTCTGCTGGAGACCGTGACGCGCTGCTGCGCCCTGGTTGTTTATTCTCTTATTGTTACCGGTACTTGTCTTGCAATGTGAAACGTTTGGTCTCAGATTTTGTAAGAAAAATAATAAAATTTCCCCTCAAAATGCGAGTTATATGTTTTTTCTTCTTTATTATACATTTTATGGCTGGTGCGACTTACACTCTGGAAAATACGGTAATATGTAGCAACCTTCCCAAGGAAGTAAAAGATTCAAAAGTCATTCTGAAAATTTAAACGAAGAGTTTTTGTTTTTTGTTGGAAAATCAGATCAGGAAGTCGATGAAAACAAATCTGTTTACGTTTAAAGTAGAAATGTAACGACGCAGCTTTTATTTTGTAAAAATGGACATTTTCTTCTCTTTGCTCCTTTTTCTCAAGTGTTTAACGTTCTTTTTCCCTTTTGAATGAAACAAATCAGTCGATATAAAAGCAGGTGAAGATGTTAAACCTGGCAGGATTCTGACATTTTTACTGCAGTGAATAAATTTGATATTCAGTGTTTTTAATGCATTTTTTACTTGTGTTGAACATCATCAACGGGAAGTTGAACGTCTTTATATGATTGTGTTTAATCTGGTTTGTGTTTTTATATCAACCTGCAGCAGACTGGGAACCCCAGTGGCAAGGTAACTGGGCCAGTTTGTTTGTTTACGTCACCATAAAGACAATAAAACACGTGGGACACATGTTGGGAGGTGTGTGTGGTGTGTGTGTGTGGTGTGTGTGCTTTCTACTAAATGAATCCTCTTTCCTTTGAAGCGTCGCTTGTTAAAACAATAATAACATTTCCAGCAACACTTAAACTAATGTAATAATGTTCCTCTGAGGCGTATCGACCCCTGAACGGTTGTGTTTTGTGTCTGGACTCTTAAGTTTCGCCGTCAGGGCCTCTTTAACAACAAGAGGACTGTAAGTGATTGCGTAACGGAGTCTGACGCTGGGATGGTCGGAGTTGCTTAATGAATTTTGTCGGTCATGTTTCATGTGATCAGATGGTTTCTGTCTCTTCATGAATGTCCCGTTCTGTCTTTCTGCCGGTCAGGTGGGAGCATCCGGCGGTGGTCAGGGCACGGAGCGTTACTGTTAGGGGGAGGGGCTTCGTGTTTTACAGGAACAGCAGCGTGTGTGTGTGTGTGAGAGAATGTCATCATTCCACCTCGTTGCATGTTTTAGTTTTTCGACGGTGTGGAAAAAGGTGCAAGGTGTTTCACTTTTAGACGGTTTCGTCTCTGCGCCTACCTGGATCAGGTATTCCCTCTGATCTTTATTTGTTTCCTGCAGGAGGAGTTCAGTTTTCCAAAGGAGTGTTTGGCGCTGACGGTGGAGGAGGTGATGCACATCAGGCAGGTTCTGGTCAAGGCGGAGCTGGAGAAGTTTCAGCAGTACAAAGATGTCTACTCCGCTCTGAAGAAAGGAAAAGTAAGAGCTCACGTCATTTATGGCCTTTTGAAGGAGTTTCATCTCTTCTGCAGGCTGTTGACGCAGACCGACACCTTTTAACATTTTTCTTCTATTTTCATCTTTATAAATCTTTTAAAAATCACCAGAAAAAAAGTTTGCATTTTTTTAAACTCGTTTCCTGATCAGAGAAGCCCCTGGCTGCCAGCGTTTGGACTATAAGGAAGTCTGACAGCCAAAACATGTATAGAAATAATAAATGTCTTCTTCATACATTCTCCTGCAATGCCCTGGTCCTGTAGAATGAGCCCTGGCATTTTTACTGTGATTGCCTGTTTTTCTGTAAAATCACAGAAAAAGAGAGATGCTCGGGTCGAGCAGGCTGCTTCATGCGCGTTCACGCTCAGGCATAGCCCGTAGCATTTGCTATCCGTAGCTTTAGCAGCAGAGAGTGAGGCAGTGCCACTTTGTCGCTGTTCCTAACGCCTAGTGATGAACCTAGCTACATTTCTGAGGACCCTTAGCTACTTTCTTCTAGATATTTCCTGCAAATTAGCAACAAAATAGCCATTTTAGCTCCGAACCGTTCTTTGGTTTGACGTTGTTTCAGCTGTCATCAAGGATATAAATGTTACAGATACTGAGAATGTTACAAGGTGAGCTACTCTCTAGTAAGATGTCTGACTCTTGTGCAGAAGTCCAGGGTTTGATTCTGGATGTGAACATAGTTAATTTAGAGTTTCTTTTTTACATTAATGGTATATTTTTTTACAGTAAGATGCCCAAATTTTCATTTGAGACTCGCCGAACGGCATTGAATTCACAGATAAAAAAGATGTGGGTTCAGCTTTCATTTTGGAACAATTTTTCAAGCAAGGGAAGGGAATGATCTGAGCATGCAGGAGGACTGACCCATCATAAACCTTTGTCGGCTGTGCTGAAGAGAAAGGTACAGAACCAAATTATTTAATTAGCTACGCGTTCTCCTGTCTTCTGTCCTCCGGGCCACACACACACACACACAGACACACACACAGACACACTGCACGTTCGGCCGGCCGACGACAAAGTGCAGCTGCAGAGACAGAGGCACATTATTTTTATTAATTTGCTGTGTTCTTCTGTCCTCCGGGCCCCACACACACACACACACACACACACACACACACACACACACACACACACACACACACACACACACACACACAGGACTGTCTCAGCTGTTATTTTCGTTAAGGAGTGTGCACGTACAGCATGCGCGCCTCGTGCACGAGCCTACTATTGAAGCTGTCGTTACGTTTTTGGCCTGAGGGGGCAAACGCAATCATAAAAATTCAAAAGTCCCTTTAAAGAGCAAGTCACCCCCAAATCGACTTTGTTTTCTGATAAACTATTTAAGTGCGTGTCTAATCGTGCTGCAGACACGTGTAGTCAATAGTTTTGCACTTTAGTGCATTTTAGCTAACGTTTTAATTTTCTGCCTAAAACTGTCAGTGTTGTGCCGATGTCGGGTAAAAACTCTGCACTGCATTTGAATTTAAATCTGCCATCGCTATTGGCTAAGAGGTACCCTAGAACTTTAGCTGGTACCATATGATGTCACAATGTCGTTGTGAGCCTGTGTGTGTGTGTGTATTTGTTAGCGGCTCCGCCCTCTCGGTCTGCAAAGCAACAGCATTTGTTGCATTTTTCAAACAGGAAGTGGGAGTGGAGTAATACTCTGGTAGGGGGTGACTTGCTCTTTAAAGAGCCACAGAACATTCTGCTCTACGTAAACGCCAAACTACCAAAACAAAGAGTAGACTCACTTCAAGCATCAGGAAGAATCTGCTTCCTGATCATGTGACGTGTGACGTACGCGAATGAAGGTCAGCTGTAGATCTGTGATGTTTGTTGTCACAGTGCGAGGGCTCGTTCCGATACCCGCCCAGTAAAAAAAAAGCGGTTGGATTTTAAATCAGCTCTTGCTGGGTAGGTTCATGGCTGAGGGTGAAGCGGCTGGGATGAGGATCAGCACCTCCAAATCTGAGACCATGGTTCTCGACCGGGAAAGGGTGGTTTGCCAACTCCGGGTCGGGGGAGAGGTCCTACCTCAAGTGGAGGAGTTTAAGTATCTCGGGGTCTTGTTCACGAGTGAGGGTAGGAGGGATCGGGAGATCGACAGGCGGATAGGTTCGGCGTCTGCAGTGATGCGGACGCTGAGCCGATCTGTCGTGGTGAAGAGGGAGCTGAGCCGGAAAGCCAGGCTCTCGATTTACCGGTCGATCCACGTCCCAACCCTCACCTATGGTCATGAGCTTTGGGTAATGACCGAAAGAACGAGATCGCAGATACAAGCGGTCGAAAGGAGTTTCCTCCTTAGGGTGGCCGGGCTCAGCCTTAGAGATGGGGTGACGAGCTCGGACATTCGGGAGAGACTCGGAGTAGAACCGCTGCTCCTCCGGATCAAAAGGAGCCAGTTGAGGTGGTTTGGGCATCTGGTCAGGATGCCTCCTGGACGCCTCCCTGGGGAGGTGTTTCGGGCATGTCCTGCCGGCCGGAGGCCCCCGGGTCGACCCAGGACACGTTGGAGAGGTTACATCTCCAATCTGGTCCGGGAATGCCTTGGGGTCCTGCCGGAGGAGCTGGTGGAGGTGGCCGGGGAGAGGACGGTCTGGAGCTCCCTAGTTGGGATGCTGCCCCCACGACCCGGACCTGGATAAGCGGAGGAAGACGACGACGACTTTAGTCGTCAGTGACAGTAAACGAGTTAATAAGAAAAGACCCAGAAGAATTCCTCACACGGCCCCTGCCTCGCTTCACACATTCAGATTTGTCACCTTAATGTTTGTTTCTGATCCGTTTTGTTTTAGATTTGTTTCTGCTGTCGAAACAAAAAGTTCTCCCTCTTCACCTGGTCCTACGTCTGCCAGTTCTGCAAAAGGTAAACTCAAGTAGAAAATAAGAATCCTGGCATTTTTACCTGCTCTGTGAACTCACCGTCACCAACTACACTCTGGTGTCTGTAATAAGAACATTTCTATGTTTTCATGTTAAGAGTTATAGCTTATTGCTCCGTGAGATGAGTCGGTATCTGAATAAGTCCTGTTTCTGATCTGTTCCAGGCCGGTGTGCGCCCAGTGTTCCAGAAAGGTAGAGGGCTGCTCCGTACTTCAGAACATTCTGATGAATGATCCCACTCGTGCTGAGCTTTGCTATTTCTGTCTTAAACCTCAGATGCGCCTGCCGTCTAAGCCCTACGCCACTCTGCCCATCTACTCTCTGGGCCTCAGCACCGCATCGAAGGAGAGTTCTGATGGGAGTTGTGCTCCGGCTGAGTCGGAGAAGCATCCCTCTGGATCCGGATACGGCAGACACAGCCTACGCAGAAGGTCCCCCCGCGCTCTGGTGTGACGGAACTAAAGTGTGTATCTAAGCAAGGTCGTGACGGCTTGTCTCGTGTCTTTAGGTTGTCCAGGAACAGCAGCAAAGACGCGCCGTCACAGGATGAGCTGGAGCTGCCCAAGGAGCTGACGGAGGACTGGGTCACCATGGAGGTCTGCGTCGACTGCAAAAAGTTCATCACGGATACGGTCACCTCCAGCAGACGCAGCCTGTCCGTGGCCTCCAAGAGAGCTCGCATCAACCGCAAAACCCAATCCTTCTACATGTCGTCGTCCCGGTCGATCAACTTCATGCCCTCGGAGGGCCCCATCAGTGAGGTGTAACCCCGCCCCCTCGCTCCAAGGCTTTATGCACTTTGGTGAACGCCTCTCCCGCGCCTCAAACCCAGACGGTTTTTCCTCTCAGGAAAGGTTTCTGCGTTTTTCCCCAACGTGTAAAGAACAAAGAACAATGCTTTTCTTGTCGGCGGCGGCAACATTTTGTGGAGCGTGTGATTTAAAAAAAAAAGCTGCTGAGGTCACCATCGTGGAGCGACGCAGAAAGCTACAGGTGGCTGCAATATCATGTAAATGTTGCAAAGGCCCAATCGATGTAAGCTAGCAACAACTGCTCCAGTTCCTGTTTACGTTTTGAACTCAGGAAGATCAATCAAGTGTGTTTTGACAGAAATGCACTCTGCTGGGGTTGAGCCCCTCCCCCTCGCCTCCCCCTGCCTCCCCGATCCTTCCAGCAACATTTATGCCAAATGTTTATCATCTCAGCCGGCTCAGATCCACTTTACCATTATCTCACTGAAATGACAGACGGTTTAAAGGTGGTCTAGTATTTATTTCCAGGGTGGGTTTTTAGTTTTGAACTCGAATGCGCGGTCCGTTCTGTGCCTGGTGCCAAATTGTAACGTGTTTTTTCTGAACGCCTTTTTAGTTGCAGACCTACTGTAAATAGATGTGATCAAACGGCTCCTCTGGTCTCTAAGTGGAGCAGCAGCAACACGTGAAGGGTTTGTACATGCTGTATAGTCTTAAATTGTTCCAAATTTAATATAAAAACCAGAAGAAATAGCCAGGCTTTAGATTTCTGCCTCCAGGCACTTTATTTAAAAGCTTCAGTTATTTTAGTCTGATCAGATTTCTGTTGTAGTTTATAACGGTGTTAACATTCCCCTCAAAATCACACATTGCACTTTTATTGGGCCGATTCCTTCTTTGTCTTAAATCATAATAATAATGATGATGGGTATAATTCAAATGTTTGATTTGGTGCCATTTTCCAGAGTCTTACGAATGAAAATGTGTTTTATTGGTTGTTTCAACGTCAATAACGGCTTAAAACAACCAACAGTTGAATGTTTTAGAGTTGAACTGTTTTTTATGATTTTAGAATGTTTTTACCCTACACACACACACACACACACACACACACACACACACACTGATACATACCAGCCTAACCAGCCTGGTCAATAACGACGTTCCAATGAAACAGTCCAGCCCGGTTTTATTTAAAACTTCTATAACGAATGTGTGCATGCATCTACTTGTTTTTATTTAAAAACTATAATAAAGATATCATCATTATTCGGTTTTGACTTGTTTATTAGTGCATTAAAAGTTCCACAAAATAATTTCATATATTTGCGAGACGTTCCCAGACAGCAGGGGGAGACAGAGGCAATAAAACCGACACCTGCTGGCTCGCTGGTGCACGCGACACACACAAATGTAACCTGAATTATTACTGAAAAACCGAAGGACCAAGAAAATAAATCAAAAACTGTTAGGAAATAAAAGCAAAAACAGCAAAAGATCTTAAGAGATACTTTCATTAAAAATGAAATGATGCTTTAAAAGTGATTCAGTGGGATATCCCAAATACAAGTTAGATTATTCCTTCTTACAGATGTCTATTTTAATCTGCTGATGAAGTTCCTCCTTGACCTGCTGCCCCATCAGCTAAACACGGTGGTGGTAGTGTGATGTTCTGGGGCTGCTTTAGGACCTGGACAGCTTGCTGGAACTAAAAAGTCTCTAGCAGGAAACCCTGAAGAAGAATGTTGGACCTTTGTTTCTCACCTGGACGCTGCTGGAAACCCCTCCAATACAGCTGAATTAAAACAGTTCTGCAACTATTGAGGCAGTGACGTCAGTAGTTGTACTTTCTCAGGTTATATTTGAATACTAAACTATAATAAATCTAGGAAAAGCTTTTTATTAGTGCCAATTGATCTGGTCTGGTCCTGTAATCTCTCCTTTCACTGGCTAGTAACAGCCACTGAAAATAACCTGCATGGTCACAGCCTCCAGGAAGGGTGACCCTCACACTGGTTTCTATTGGCGGGCGGCGAACAAACACACGGTCATTAAATGTCCTGAACAGGCTGTGTATTTAGCAGCAGCTCAGCGCTGCTGATCCTAAACGCTGCTCCAGGATGACTCAGTCAGGCACGAGGAATCCTTCGGGTCAGCCTCTGTCTCCGGTGGCTGCTCTGGGATCAGTTTGAACAGCTATTAAACAGATTTCGTTCCGGTTTAGGTCAGGAAGAATTCAGGCTTCGTGGGGTCAAACCCGCGCTAACGGACATGGATTAAAAGGGAAATCTGACTCTAAATTTACATCCATGTATACGTACGCCATCCAAACGGTGATTCTCTCAGGGAGGCCGCCGGTAACCGGATACCGGGCTCAAAAGGATGCAAGCTGTCGGGTCAAGGGGTCGCGCGTCAGTCACGTTAAAACGGCACATTCAGTCCTTTCTCAAAACATCACACACAAGATGAATAAAATGCACCTCAGCGTTAAGGTGAGAGTAAATGAGTCCCATCGGAGTCGTGTATTCATGCCTATCATTAAAGCAGCAATCCAGAGTTTCTCCCTTTTCAGGAGCTATGTTTGATTTTTTTTAGAAATCTGTAAAGATTAAAGTCTTACTCTGTACTGAGATAAAATGTTGGCAATATGTCATTTTCTTTTGCTAAGCCCACCCCCCAGTCCATAAAGCACCACACAATTGGAATTGAGCGTTAGCCAACAGCGTTAGACATCTGCTATAGCTCCCGATCACAGAGTGAGCATGCGCTTGCAAAAGTAGCTAGACCGATGCAGAGTTGGTGATTTATATATAAAAATCAAAACATGAGAATATTTGTTAATTGATGTGTTTGAGGTGTTGCTTCCAGCTGCAATCGCTGAATTAGAGGGGCTTAAAGAGACAGTGTGTATTCTTCCTGAGCAATTGGGGGCGGTATATACCTAAATTGTAGCAAGCAAGCAGTATTTTTGTGTTGGAGTAAGACCTTACCAACGGATGCCTATTAGGGTCAAAGCCCTGGGGAGGGCAAGCTTTAGCAAAAAAAAAATAATAATAATAATAATGAAAAAAAACAAGCACATCAGACTCCCTTTCTTCACTGGCAACAAGGGTAAATTTGTAAAACAACGTTTAAGATTGACGAAACTTTTGTAACCATTTGTTACAAATCAGCAGATGCCTTTTGTCCTCACGGGCTCCTGTAGAAGGAAACATGGCATCTAATATGGCGTTGCCCAGAGTTTTAGGGTGTTTCTCAATGTCAATGCGATGTCTTGCGAGGCCAGGCGTTAAAGAAAATGATTAAATGGAACAGACTTGCATTACGTGACCGCGGCTTCCACAACGGTCACGTCATGTCATGTGACATAGCAGATAACGTTATATTTTATGCGTATAAGTTTCAATATATATATAACGAGCCTTTTACTTTTAGTTTCAGCTAGCTAAACGGCTAACAAACGGAGAACACACGCCTCGGTAGAACATGAACATTGGAACATGACTCAGCGGTTCCTGATGATGTATCTCCTAGGCAACTGGGGCGGGGCCAAGACATCAAGGCAAGGTTCCTTGGCATTGAGAAATACCATTAGAGCTGCTGCCAAGTATTTTAGACACGATTTTTATGGTTATGTGTTACGAAGCCGCTAATATTTTTCAACAACATTTTGATGGATATTTCCAGAAATGGTAAAAACTACTCGTCGTCTCTTTAAGGTGCAATGCATTTTTCTGCCTCTAGATTGTATTCTCTGAGAATAAAACTCCAGATTTCTGCTTTCAGGTATGGAAGTGTAGAAGCAAAGGTGTTTTTCTGGAAAGTTTTTGCCATTTGCTTGGAATACTCTTCACATACCGATGGCGACCAATAAATTACATGATTTGTCAAATTATGTTAATCGCCTCTGAAGCATGCAATCCTGGAAAAACCTCATCCAATCCTTTTGAACGTTCAGTTCTTAATGATTGGATCAGGGTCCATCCATCAAACCGCCCTTCACTCTTTGCTGCTTGGCTTGGAGCAGCTGGACAGGAAGCGAAGCCAGAGTTGGGCTGTCTGGTGTAAAGGATGGAATTTTATGTTCTGCTTGCAAATTTCATTAAGGCATGTTTCATGTGTTTTGTTGTGTCTAGAGCTGTTCTTGTTGGGAAATTTTTAGTTGACGGAGCTGCCAGAGCCGTGCGTTCAACGCATGTGTATGTGTGGTGAGCTGGCCGAGAGGAGAAAGTGAGTCTGAGGAGGTTTGGAATGGATTCTGGAAGTTCTGACCTGCTTTTCCCAGGGTTTTCCTGAGTGTTACAGAGCTGCTGGGATTTTCACGTTAAAAAAAAACAAGAAAATATAAAACTACTTTGTTTTTCACCATTAAAACAGCACACTATATTAGCTAGCATACTAAATTGTTATACAGTTACATAGATGCATCACGTTAGGAAGTATGGCAGAAAAGGTGCCAACTGCGGTTCGAAAACGTAAAAATGAACTCTTAGGATCAAGCGTTGCGCGTTCCTGCATTCTGGAGCATACGGCTTAGGAGTAAGCCTGGAGAAAGGAGGTTGGACCTTTAAACCGTGTATTTTCATACAGTATCTTGCTTTAACGGCAAGAAAAACATCTCATATTCCACCTTTCAGAAAAAAGCCCATAAATTGGGAGTAGACTCACAGGTTACGTCTTCACTAAGCAGGTCACCACAGCATCCCCGAGGTCCTGTCGTTCTTTGAAAGCAGAATTGTCACATGTCATCACATCAACATACAGTGGCTGAGAGGACTTTCTCGTCTCCTGGCAACATCTGCATGCAAAAAGTTAAATCAAATTACTCTTATCCGCAACCTCTTTAGTTCAGTAATTGAACGCTGCAAGAGTAGGTGTCCACATGGTTTGGTTTTGGTTTAGTTTAGTTTTATTTTTTGTTTCTGCAGACTGCAGGTTTTGTGTTTGGTGACAGCTCTTCTCACAGTGAGCACAAGTGGGTCACAGAGGAATGTAATATTTCCAATCTATGGAGTGCAAATCTATGGAAGTCTCATCAGAAAATCACTTTTTTAGACAATGAATACATGACATTGAATTTTTATTCTGTGAAATGACGTATATGAATGTTTGTAAATACACCAGCAAGAACGTCATCCATGAAAATTTAACAACAGGATGTCAGCTGCGAAAATTCAGCATCAGAAATTCAACAACCGAGATGACCTGGTGACTCGAGCCTAAGTGATCGTGATTGTCACATGATTGAGTCGACACCTCACTGGTGATCATGGAAGCTTAATTTTATTGGCTAGAAACCACTCGACTGGGTCAAGTGACGATTACGCTGGTAATGACGTCACACCCGAGTTAACAGGTTACCGTGGTCAGAAACGTCGGGATTCCAATGTGTCGACGCTGTTGATAACTATTGTTTTGTCAGCTTTCTATGAAAAAAGATGACTACTTAAAGAGCAAGTCACCCCCAAATAAACTTTTTTTTTGCTGATAAACTAAATAAACGAGTGTCTAATCGTGCTGCAGACACGTGTCGTCAATAATTTGGCACTTCAGTGCATCTTAGTTAAAATTTAAATATTCTGCCTAAAACTGTCAGTGTTGTGCCGTCGTCAGGTAAAATCTCTGCATCGCATTTGAATTTAAATCTGCCATCGCTATTGGCTAAGAGGTATGCTATGATGTAAACTGGTACATTATGATGTCACAATGCTGTCGTGAGCCTGTGTGTGAGTGTGTATTTGTTAGCAGCTCCGCCCTCTCGGTCTGCCAGGCAACAGCATTTATTGCATTTTTCAAACATGAAGTGGGAGTGGGGTTAGACTCTGGTAGGGGTTGACTTGCTTAAAGTGCAAGTCACTCCAAATCAACATTTTTTTGCTGATAAACTATATAAATGAGTGTCTGATCATGTTGTAGACAAATGTAGTCAATAATTCTGCATTTTAGTTCATCTTAGTTAAAATTTAAATATTCTGCCTAAAACTGTCAGCGATGCACCGTCGTCAGGTAAAAACTCAGCGCTGCATTTGAATTTAAATCTGCCATCGCTATTGGCTAAGAGGCACACTATGATGCTAGATGGTACATTATGATGTCACAATGTCGTGAGTGTGTGTATTTGTTAGCGGCTCCACCCTTTTGGTTTGCTAGGCAACAGCATGTGTTGCATTTTTCAAACGGGCAGTGGGAGTTGAGTGAGAATCTGGTAGGGGGTGACTTGCTCTTTAAAGAGCAAGTCAACCCCTACCAGAGTATTACTCCACTTCCACTTCCTGTTTGAAAAATGCAATAAATGCTGTTGCCTAGCAGACCGAGAGGACGGAGCCGCTAACAAATACACACACACAGGCTCACAATGACATTGTGACATCATATGGTACCAGCTAACGTTCTAGGGTACCTCTTAGCCAATAACGATGGCAGATTTAAATTCAAATGCGATGCAGAGATTTTACCTGACGACGGTGCATCGCTGACAGTTTTAGGCAGAATATTTAAATTTTAACTAAGATGCACTAAAGTGCAAAACTATTGACTACACGTGTCTGCAGCACAATTAGACACACATTTATATAGTTTATCAGAAAAAAAAGTTGATTTGGGGGTGACTTGCTCTTTAACACATCTGTAGCTCATCTGCAGCTTAGAGTTGCATGTTTTAAATGCACACTGATACGTGTGTCTGGTTAAAATAAACATGTTTCAACCAAAACTATGGTGTTGATACAGAAAACTGCCATTTGGATGTTCAGGGTACTTTACGACTGAGAGGTCTGACGTTGGGGCGTTTCAGGTGACTTTTCAGAATGTCTGAGTTGCGAGGAATCGAACGCAGCACGACTTTGGCTTGGATCGCCAGAAAGTCACTTCATTTTCTTGCTGTTGAAATTCTGATGTTAACTTTTTTCAAGATGAAATTTTGTAGCTGAAAGGATGACATTTTTACTGGTGTGTTTTAATTCAAATCATTTCAAATACATAATTTTACAGAATAAATATTCTATGTCTGGAAAAGTCATAATCTGGTGAGACCGTATTTCATCCATGCAAATCAACAAGTGCCACTTTTACAAGGCAGGAGATCTCAGACACAGTTTACTCGGTGTTCAAGTACAGCTGCCACTTTGTCTGGGGAGTTAAAACTTTAACGTTTAGCATCAAATGGGATAAAACATCAGTGCGAAGAGCTTTTCTTCATGATGAACGAGCCTGAACAGCCTCCGTCATCTCAAAGCTCTCAAGGCCGTGCCGCAGTTGCACCTTTTTACAGGCTTCCCTTGATTCAGATGAAGTCAGCGTAGCCAAACATCCCACTGAGACTGAGCTGGCTGCCGGCCTGAAGTGGTGAACCACTGATAAAGGTAGATAAAGCAAAGCCCCCAGGTTCTGGTCATGGTGGATTGGGTCGGTTGGAGACACAGACGAGCGGCAGAGAGCCGTGGTCGAACAGTTTGTAGGGCAGAGAACCTTTTGAAGTCCAAACGTCCGTTTTTGGGTCGTAGCACTCGAAGCAGTCCGAGTCCTCGATGACGTCGTGGCCATTCAGGATGCGTCCCCCGGTGACGTAGAGCTTGTTGTTGATCACGGTGGCGCTGTGGTGCATCCTCCGCTCCTTGAGATTCTCACACTTGATAAATTTGTTGGCTTTGGTGTCGTAGGCAATCATTCTCCTGGTGTAGCCTGAAAATCAGATTTCTTTTATTAACTCTCTCTCTCTCTTCTAAAACTCCTCCTTGCTCATAAACACACATCATCTCCGTGTATTTCATTGTTTTTATTTTTATTTACGTCATGATGATCAGATAATCCCACCCCACATGCCCGGCTTAGATCGTCTGATCCTAAATGTAAGGAAAGCCAAGTTGAGCTGAGCCTTACGATGCTTTGAAGACACACACACACACACACACACACACACACACACACACACACACACACATGGGTAACATATCTTTGTAATAAACCTTTTTCTTTTAGATTGAGCCAAACTCAGACACGATGTGGCAAAATGGCCTCTAGAGAAAAAAATTTGTCTAAAATTGTCCCTGATAAACAATTATATAAACTAACACAGAACTGGATTGTTTGAGCTAAAATTTTATTGTGAATGTTCATAAAAACACTTAAAAACACTTAAAAGAGGAATAAGAGATGGTTTTTTTGCCATTGAAGCTACTTTTTAAATATTCAAAAGTCAATGGTTCAACCCCTTTTTTATCAGGCTTCCCCCTACTCCGCACCCCCTGAATACAGCAATGCTCAGTGCACGTTCCTGAGGTCTCTGTTTTACGCTTTTAACGTAATTGTATAACAGTTTAGTATGCTAGATAATATAGTGTGGTGCTTTTATCGCAAAAACGACACCGCTGCCAAGGCTACTGACCAATGGCTCTACCAGCTGACAGAGGCTGCTCTAACTGACAACAGGTTCGTCACCTAAGCGTTTCCCAACAAGAACAGAACCATACTCTATACAGAGCATGTAAAACAACTCCATCCATCCATCCATACATCAATTTTTGGCCACTTAGTTGGGCTCGGTTTGTAGGGGCAGTGGCCTAGGCAGAGAGGCCCAGACTTCCCTCTCCCCAGCCACTTGGGCCAGCTCCTCTGGGGGAATCCTAAGGTGTTCCTGGCCAGCCGTGAGACATAGTCCGTCCAGCATGTCCTGGGTCTTTCTTTAGGACTTCTAGATTGGACGTGCCCAGAAAACATCAGGCTTCCAGGAGGCATCCTAACCACCTGAGCCACCTCAACTGGCTTCTCTCGAAGTGGAGGAGCAGCGGGTCTACTCTGAGCCCCTCCCGGATGACCGAGCTTCTCACCAAGGGAGAGCCCAGCCAACCTTTGGAGAAAACTCATTTCGGCCGCCTGTATCAGGAAAGCCTCTCATACCCTAAAGGGCATATCAGGCTCATTTTAAGGGCCCCGCCAGTTTGCTGCTCAATATTATCAGAGAAGGAGAAACAGCCGGCTGCTACCACTTCAACTTTAGGACAAACTACCAGAGTCCCAAAGAGAAAAACGCCATTTGAAGTCACAGACAACAAAAGATGTTTGGACCTAGAAATCAGAAACTGGTGTTTAGCGCTTTATTGTTTCCTCTGGCAATGCGGGTTTCCAGTTTCGACGACCGTGGATGATACCGAGTGGAGGGGTGAGTGTTCTGTGACTGTGTTTGCGTTCAACAACCTGTCTTGATAGCAGATTTGCCAACGCAGCTTTAGTAAAGCGCTTTAACAAGCCAAAATTCTTCATTTGACCTTTTCTTTTCAGGAAGCTACTCATGATTTGCTTCCTTTAGCGCTTTCCAAACTAGCTATGTGTCGTAAAGTAACTAAAAGGAGCTTTGATAGAAAATAGGAGTAAAAGTGACTTCTCGTAGTCTAGCGTTACAACGTTGTGATATTTAGGTCAGTTAATTACATTAAAGACACTAACTGCAGGTGGCGTCACTAGAAACAGGAAGTTCTCTGACTGGGGTCATCCTCATGGCTCTGCACATCTCTAAGAAACAAAACAATCTCTTGCAAAATTGCTGAAGTTCAAAAACAGGCAATGAAGCTTTCTCGCGCTTCAGTGCGACCTCTATTGTTTAGTTTACTGGCTATCTTGGTAGCCAGGCCTTTCGCTTCTGTGAGAGGGCAACGTCCTGCTTCCGGAGACTCTGCTCCCTTTGACTGAAACCGCGTAACTGCTGCTAACACAGACACCAGTTGTGGTCCAAGTAGAGTACCGCCCTCACCTCCGACAATGTAGATCTTGTCCTCTATGACTGCAGCTGGAGCACAAACGTTTTTCACCGTTCTCGTCTCCAGCCTGGACCACAGGTTCCGAGAGATGTGATACACCTGCATCACGCGGCAAGCATCAGAGATCCTGTTGGATGATTCATTGACGGATGTTTTTTTACACGCGCGCGCTTTACCTGAATGAGCCTGACTGGGTTCTGCATGGCGTCCTCCCCTCCAAAAACATAGATCCTCTGGTCGCTTGCTGCAACAGCTGGATGAAGCACAGCTGTGGGCATCGGTGCCACGGCCTCCCACTGATTGAACATGCTGTTGTACCTCTCGACTGACTGAGAGATTTGCTTGTCCACCCCGATTCCTCCTAACACAAAGATGAAGTGCAGATAAGACACACTTTGGTGGGCGAACCGAGGCTCCAGCATGGGCTCGGCGGTCCTCCACTGGTTGGTTTTCAGGGACAGCGTGTAAACCGTGGCGCTGACCGAGCTGTCGCCCGAAGCCATGCAGAGGCTGAGGCCTCCGAGCACGTACAGGATGCTGTGGATGCACACGTACGCAGCTTTGTAGAGGCGCAGAGGAAGCTTGGCCAACCATTGCCAACGATGAGTCCGCTCATCGTACAGCAAGGCTTCTCTGGAGGTCTGCTCGTTGTTTTTGCGTCCCCCAACTACCACCAGTGTTTCTCTGCATGTGTAACGTCTCGGTGTGGTCCAGAGGGGCTTCAGTTCATGGCTGCACTTGGTGCTGGCTGTGAGCATGAGGCGGCGGACCGAGTCGATGATCTCAGTGCAGAGGGTGGAGGACTGCACCAGGGGGTCGTTGGCAATAAACTGGAAGAGGTAGGTTGGATGGATGTAGCGCAGACGCACTTTCTTGAAGAGGTCGTGGATGGCTCCTCGTCTGGAGAAGGGGTCGTGGTGGATCCATGCCAGGAGGGTCTCAAACACTTGCTCCTCCTCGGCACAGAGACGATCGTCCTCCAGGTAGCACATCAGCTCAGGCTGCGACAGCTCGCAGAAGTCCTCTGTGGCAGCGACATCGGAGAAACACCTCACCGCCAGCTCCTTGGCCTTCTCCTTCAGACTTTCACAGTGAAGGATCTCAGAGAGCCGGATCATGCTCAGACAGTTCTCTGGACTCAGCTGCCCCTGGAGGAACGTGGAGCAGGCCTCAAAGAGACCTCCATAGTGAAGCATGGACGCTGCCTGCATGAGAGGCAGGACAATCTCCATGGTGATAGTGATGCAGCCTGTGTACACGTAGTCCACAATGCCGGTGAGCACATTTGAAGAGATGCCCTTCAGGTTCACGCGGGCCTGGGTGCTTTCCAGGAAGTTGTTGCAGAACATGGCGCGGAAGTAGGGGCTGCTGGACACCAGGATGTTCCTGTGGCAGGGGATCTCCTGGTGCTCGGTGCAGAGCAGAACGTCCGTCAGGATGCGCTCCTGCCGAAGGATGTTGAGCTGGATGAGGAGGTGGCAGGGAAGCTCCGAGTCTTTAAAAGAGAAAACATCCCGTCGTCTAACGGCCATCTGCAAACGGACCACAATGAGTTAGTCTCGTATTCCAAGTGTTTGTTTTATGTGGTTTATTGGAAAGCCGTTCATTTCTGCCTCCTCCGGAGCAGCTGGCCTAATGACGGGATTCACTGACTTTCTGTTTTCTATTTTAAACTCCCTCTAAATGATCCTGACGCATCCATCCGCCACCAGGCCACATCTGTCATCAGGCTGCTCGTCACTGCGGACATTAAAAGACCGTGTCAACAGACCATCTGAATCTGTCCCTCCGGACCCTCTTCTCCCTCACAAATCCTCTTGCTATTTTTGACGTGTTGTGCATCTTTTCCCCCCTCCTGCTTTCATCTTCCTCCTCTCTCACGCCAAAGTCTTCCCTGTGGGGGGGAAGTGGATCCAGCACGAATTTCCTCGGACCGTTAGGAACATCTCTGCTTAGAACACAGATTCGCCCCCCACTTACAAGGCCGACGCCTGCCTGACATACTTAGACAGCTAATTGTTATTGTGTATTATTAAATGTGAGTGACGTTTCCCAGCAGGTGTGTTTCACTCAGAGCGCTGATGGAGAGACGGAACTTACAGTGGTGTGAAAAACTATTTGCCCCCTTCCTGATTTCTTATTTTTTTGCATGTTTGTCTCACAAAATGTTTCTGATCATCAAACACATTTAAGCATTAGTCAAAGATAACACAAGTAAACACAAAATGCAGTTTTGAAATGATGTTTTTTATTATTTAGGGAGAGAAAAACATCCAAACCTACATTGCCCTGTGTGAGAAAGTAATTGCCCCCTGAACCTAATAACTGGTTGGGCCTCCCTTAGCAGCAATAACTGCAATCAGGCGTTTGCGATAACTTGCTACGAGTCTTTTAGAGCGCTCTGGAGGAATTGGCCTGCTCATCTTTGCAGAATTGTTTTAATTCAGCTTTATTTGAGGGTTTTCTAGCATGAACCGCCTTTTTAAGGTCATGCCATAGCATCTCAATAGGATTCAGGTCAGAACTTTGACTAGGCCACTCCAAAGTCTTCATTTTGTTGTTCTTCAGCCATTCAGAGGTGGATTAGCTGGTGTGTTTTGGGTCATTGTCCTGCTGCAGCAGCCAAGATGGCTTCAGCTTTAGTTGATGGACAGATGGCCGGACATTCTCCTTCAGGATGTTTGGGTAGACGGTAGAATTCATGGTTCCATTTATCACAGCAAGCCTTCCAGTTCCTGAAGCAGCAAAACAACCCCAGACCATCACACTGCCACCACCATATTTTACTGCTGGTATGATGTTCTTTGTCTAAAATGCTGCGTTACTTCTACGCCAGATGTTACGGGACATTTGTCTTCCAAACAGTTCAACTGTTGTCTCATCAGTCCACAAGGGATTTCCCCAAAAGTCTTGGCAATCATCGAGATGTTTCTTAGCAAAACTAAGACGAGTCCTAATGTTCTTTTTGCTTAACAGTGGTTTGTGTCTTGGAAATCTGCCATGCAGGCCGTTTTTGCCCAGTCTCTTTCTTACGGTGGAGTCGTGAACACTGACCTAAATTGAGGCAAGTGAGGCCTGCAGTTCTTTAGAAGTTGTCCTGGGCTCTCGTGACCTCTCGGATGAGTTGTCTCTGCGCTCTTGGGGTAATTTTGGTCGTCCGCCCACTCCTGGGAAGGTTCCCCACTGTTCCATGTTGTTGCCATTTGTGGATAACGGCTCTCACTGTGGTTCGCTGGAGTCCCAAAGCTTTAGAAATGGCTCTATAGCCTTTACCAGACTGATAGATCTCAATTACTTTTGTTCTCATTTGTTCTTGAATTTCTTTGGATCTTGGCATGATGTCCAGCTTCTGAGGTGCTTTTGGTCTACTTCTCTGTGTCAGGCAGCTCATATTTCAGGGATTTCTTGATTGAAACAGGTGTGGCAGTAATCGGGCCTGGGCGTGGCTACAAAAATTGAACTCAGGTGTGAAACACCACAGTTGGGTTATTTTTTAACAAGGGGGGCAATTACTTTTTCACACAGGGCAATGTAGGTTTGGATGTTTTTCTCTCCCTAAATAATAAAAACCCTCATTTCAAAACTGCATTTTGTGTTTACTTGTGTTATCTTTGACTAACGTTTAAATGTGTTTGATGATCAGAAACATTTTGTGAGACAAACATGCAAAAAAATAAGAAATCAGGAAGGGGGCAAATAGTTTTTCACACCAGCGTATACGCTGGTGTGAAAAACTATTTGCCCCCTTCCTGATTTCTTATTTTTTTGCATGTTTGTCTCACAAAATATAACCAATATAACCAAAACATAGGAAAATGAAATAAGCTAGCAGTAATGTGAATAGATGAGATGTATTAAGTTGTTAGTGGGTTAGCAAACATCAGAAAACTGACACTAATAACAGAACATTCCTCTCATTCTTAAAGCGAACAAGAAAACTTATAAATATTAATAAAACAATAAACGGTCAACATAAGCAGGTATTAGTTTTGCAAATGCGTTAAAAAATGAATTAAGGGTGAAATCATGACTTTGAGGCAAATTTCTCAAGTTTCTGAACCATCGACAAAACTTGCTTACCTTCTGATCTCTGAGTATCAAAACTTTTCCACAATAAAGGATCAGCTGATGAGAAAAAAGTTTTAAAATGAAAAGGACTGAAGGAATTATCCAGGCAGACGTCAGAGCAGAAGTATGACAAAGAGAAGTGACATGGTTTTCCAGTTAGGCGCTGCGGAGATTGCCATGAGGCCACTGTGTACATTCCTTCATCTAAGAATAGTACGCTGGCCCGTCGCGACTCCACCGGGCCTCTCATGTGACACGGAGCTCTTTGGCGCTGCCAGGGTCCAGTCGAGGGAGCATTGCAGCCCCTGGAAGAAGAGCCTGAATCAGCTATTGTGCATGCCCACCCAGGCTGGTGCTCAGTCAGAACATCCCTGAGCTGGTACCCTTTGCTCCGTCTTATAGAGTTTGTTTGAGCCTGTCCTCCCCATCCTTTATACTGGCTGAAACTTCAGGTGGAGGCAAATATAGGTGGGTGCTGATTGATGGTGCTGAAGGGGCGTGTTGATCAGGATAAACAGCTTTAAGAACTAGATTTCATCATGGTGTGGAGGTGCGGAACTCCTCTGTGTCCCATCTTTTCGGATGCATCTCCCTGTCATGCTGCCAGTGGCGTCCCCAGATCATTTTGAAAGGGGTGGCCAGAGAAAGCTTTGGGGGTGGCACCCCCCTTTGGACCATGTGGCAACTCTGGGAGAGTTTGTTGTGACGTATTGCATGCTCCTTTATTAAAAACAACACTCTCACCTCAAATTTGAAGAACACGTTTTTTTTCTTCAGAAAGTCATTGCAAACAGTTCTTCGGAATGTTATTTTAAGATTTATTGTAGAATTTAAGAACACTTTATTTAATTCACCTCATCTTCACAAAAAGTTTCACAAAACTATAGATTTAAAGAGCTAGACACTAGAGCCCTGCACAGGCCTAAAATCTGAGCCCGTGTCCGGCACGGCCCGAGGGGGTGGAGCCCCAGCCCGACCCGGTCCGAAAAGGTTTTCAGGATTCTCTGGCCCGACCCGAGCCCGACTTTTTTTTAACCAGCTAAATGAAAACAAAGTGCGTCAATCCTGACCAATGTGTTAAAAGGTGTGCAGCTGAAGTTAAGGAGATTGGCTTGGAGCGCATTGCAGAACCAGAGCGCATGCGGGAAGGTTCCTCCCACTGAAGCGAGTGTTTTCCAAACCCTGTCTCTCAGAGAGACTTGTCACTTAGAAAATGTTCCCTGATTATGAAACTTTGGCTGAATAGCGCTTGTTCCTGTCGCCAATGTGGCGACACATCCAGGAGCTGTCTGAGGAGAAGCCCAGAATCTCACATCTTCAGCTCAGAAAGCGCCTATGATTACGCACAAGCGTGACGCGTCAACCCGGTCTCACAGTAAGACCGGGTTGGACCTGTTCAGGTTTACGCAGACAATCTTTACATTTAGAATTGGCTTACAGATGTAAAATTAATGCAGTAAAATATAAAGCATTTTATTTAAATATCCATTCATTATTTTACAAGCACAGAGAGCCGCATCAGATGGATGGAAGAGCCGCAGGTTGCCAACCCCTGGTATAGCCTATAAAATGACATTTTTTCTCCAGGACCAGAGAGGAAGCAAACTCAATACAACTCTTTTATTGTGAGGTAATAATTTCTCCAAGTTTTGCGGTTGCGGGCGGGAGTGTAACATACACGTTGCATTTGCAGGCGGTAATGGTCAGAAATTCAGCGGGAGCAGGATGAAGAAAACAGTCCCACGCTGGGCTCTACTGCTGCGTTTCAGTCAGGGGTCAGCAATCCGCGGCTCTGGAGCCGCATGCGGCTCCTCCATCCATCTGATGCGGCTCTCTGTGCTTGTAAAATAATGAATGGATATTTAAATAAAATGCTTTATATTTTACTGCATTCATTTTACATCTGTATGCCAATTCTAAATGTAAAGATTGTCTGCGTAAACCTGAACAGGTCCAGCCTGGTCTTACTGTGAGACCGGGTTGACGCGTCACGCTTGTGCGTAATCATAGGCGCTTCCTGAGCTGGAGGATGTGAGATTCTGGGCTTCTCCTCAGACGGCTCCTGGATGCGTTGCCAAATTGGAGACAGGAACAAGCACTATTCAGCCAAAGTTTCTTAATCAGGGAACATTTTCTAAGTGAGAAGTCTCTCTGAAAGACAGGGTTTGGAAAACGCTCGCTTCAGTCAGAGGAATCTTCCCGCATGCGCTCTGGTTCTGCAACGCGCTCCAAGCCCCTCTCCACTTCTTCAGCTCGCTGTGGACCTCATGTAGTACACGCTGACAGTGAGCTGCACTGAGCAGTGTCCAGCTCAGATGTTCAGATGGGAATCTTTTCTTGTGTCCGAGGTGATTACACAGTCATTGGCCCGAAGCCCGGTCGAGCCGGGCCGACCCGAGGGCCTAGGGCCTCAGTGCAGGGCTCTACTAGTCACCCCTACCAGATTCTTACTCAACTCCCACTTCCTGTTTGAAAAATGCAACAAATGCTGTTGCCTAGCAGACCGAGAGGTCGGAGCCGCTAACAAATACACACACGCAGGATCATAATGACATTGTGACATCATATGGTACCAGCTAACGTTCTAGGGTACCTCTTAGCCAATAGCAATGGCAGATTTAAATTCAAATGCAGTGCAGAGTTTTTACCTGACAATGGCACAACACTGACAGTTTTAGGCAGAAAATTAAAACTTAAACGAAAATGCACTAAAGTGCAAAACTATCGACTACACTTGTCTGCAGCACAATTAGACACGCATCAGAAAAAAAGTTGATTTAGGGGTCACTTGCTCTTTAAACTTTTGTTTTAAAAATGGTGAGCAGGAGAAACATTTATACTTTTTAAAATCTTTATTATTTATTTACTCTTAATTTGTAAATTTTATTGGGTTTTATGTTTTTGTCTGATCAAATTATATGAATTAATAGTTTGTGTGAACATTAATATGATTTATTAAGAAACATGTGTCTTCTCCCGTGTGGCCAATAGGGTTGCCAGCAATTTTCTTGGGGTGGCCCCGACCACCCCTGGCCACCCCTTGGGGCTGCCACTGAGCTCTACAAAGACTTTAACCTGTATTTCATTTTCTTAACCACTTAGTCCTCAGTAGAGTTGGTGCCTATCTCCAGCAAGCATGGGGCAAGAGACACTCATTTTTTCAGCACGTGTGTCGTGGTCTCTAGTACAAATGAATGACTTGTGAGTTGATCTCTGAGGAGAAAAAGTTCTGGCGCTCCTGTTTCAGGAACCAGAAACGAACTAGAGCAGAGGTGAGCTGATCACGACAGGTTTTGGAGTCTTATTTCCTGATGTTCGGAAATCTCCACTCTGATTGGCTAGCAGCAACACATCACTTACTCTGATGTTTTATCTCCACAAATGAGTAAAGCCTGAAGGAGTTCTGCCATGTTGTGGAGTTGCTAATGCTAACAGTTAGCTTCTACCAGCCGAGACGTGCTCTGCTCTCTCCTGGATACTAAATCTGCAACAGCCTTCCCCGTCATGAGCCAATGGGTGAGTTGAAGAATGCTAGTTTTCAGTCAGGCGTATATCTAAGTGGCTTTTCTTATCCGAGTGTTTCCCCGTCTATCTTCGGCCAATGCAGGAAATAGGGATAGAAGACTATTTTCATGTTTAATCTGCATGGTAATCTCACAGTGAGCGATCATATTTTAAAAATAACAAGTAAAAAACCATTCCTCTGTGAACTTGGTCTTTAACCCTTTAACTTCCTCACCAAGAAAACAGAAATGAAAATGTTTCACTTTTGAATTTATTGATTTGGGGTATTAAGGGCTTTAGTTTAATGTAAATTATTAATAGTAATAATTCAATATTTGTAATAATATTAAGGTAATAATAATGCTATCATCAATGTTATGCATTTTCTTCAAACAACTTCATATGCTTTAGAATTTCTTGTTTTTATTATTTGTTTCTTGTTAATTTCATTTAACCCTTTGATGGATGATGGTCGCTACAGTGGACAGGTACTCAAAACTGGTTTATTTATTTATTTGCTAATGAGTACAGCAGTTGAAGACTTAATTGCATTTGAGCCCCTTCATTTGGACTTCAGTAAGTCAAGCCAACATATTTCATGTTCAGAACACACGCTGTCCACTGAGGTGGACATGTAATAAATTATTTGTAAATTATTAAATGTTGCAATAAATTTTTGTTGAAATTTGTTTCATTCACACCTAAAGATGAATGAAAAAAATTGTTAAAAAATCATAGTTGAAGATTTCGTAATTCATGCATCAAAGGGTTAATAGAAATAGGGACTTTAGATATGCACTACTTGTTTGACCAGGCACTCGTTGCACTGATGGTATTTCCATCACAGCGAGTAATGTTATAAAACGGACCCTAAATAAAGCAATAGAAGAAGCGTGTGACATGCACAGCAGTTTAAATTGGGGTACATAGTGGCAAGAATCTGGTGATAGAATACACATCACAATACAGATGTATTGAAATGCTAAAAGCTAAAAATGCTAAATGCTAAAAGCTAAATGATATTTACAAAATTGAAGACTGAGTAATGCTAGTTTTATTGTGCATTATTAATCATCTCTCACGTTAACTTTTTACTCAGTTTTATAGCTGTTATTCATTCATTCTGTGACATATAGACTAAGAATTATAGTGTTATTTTATTAATAGGCAAGATGTGATTTTTTAATTTAATGTGGAAATCTTTGTTCTCCCCGGTGTGTCCTATTTTCCTCCTCCTACACACCAGATAAAAGTAAACCTCATGTTCCAAACAGTGTTGGGAGTAACGCGGTACAAAAGTAATTAATTACTGTAATGCATAACTTTTTGCTGTAATGTGGTAATGTAAGGCATTACAGGGAAAGAAAATGGTGATATTTACTCTGTACAAATGTCAGCAATGCGGTAATTACAACACATTTTTAAACACAGAATCAAGATGTGGGTTTCCTAAAAATTCAAATTGCGGGAAGCCTGAAAAAAGATCCAGTATCCACATATATGACGTAATTTATGGACTCAGCTTTGCGGGCATTCTGTGAGCACAGAGTACGTGGCAGTAATGGCTCAAATACTCCAGCTGTGTCCTGCGCGCGCCCGCTGTTATATTCACAAAATCGCTCCACCAAAACAAAGTCATTCGTTTGTGATTCGTTTCTATCAGCCCATATTCTCTGGTACTTCATGTACTTTTCAGCTGAGTTCATAATCTGTGCCCCGGTGATTTCAACTCATTGCTGCAGGAGTGCAGCGCATATTAAGCTTTTTTTTTTTTTGCATTCGGTAGATCCCTTTGGCTGATTAGTTAGAAAGTAGGAAATCTAGGAAACAGTTTTTCTGGAAGACGGAGAAAACATGCAGCATGCAGGAAGGTTAGAGAGAGAAAGGGCAGGAAATTATTCACATAAAATCAAGAAAACAAAACAAAGTGCTTGAAAAGAAAAAAGTAGGTAGATTTATCCCCAATACACATTTTAACCAGTGAAAAACAATAATATATAAGCATTTAATATTTATACATGTGATAGAATCAGATCACCCCAGAAGTCAGTCCCACATCCAGGGCCGTATCAAGGCATTTGGGGACCAAGGCAAATATAGGCTTGGAGCCCCCACCACCTCACTCCCTGCTCAGATGGCCCTATAAGATGGCAGCGTGCTGAGAGTACAGATTGTTGTTGCTTTTATTTAATAAACAATCATTTTAAAGCACTGTTATTATATCTGACTGTTTTTAACAACAATCCTAGCTCAGACACCACATCACTTTCCACATGAGCTCACTGAGCGTCACATGACCAGATTCATATTGAAGTTGTTTTGGTGAAAGTAACATAAAGTAATGCAAAAGTAGTGCAATGCCTTACATTTTAAAATCAGTAATATTGTAATGTAATGAATTACTTTTAAATGAGGGAAACATGTAATAAATAATGCATTACAGTTTTGAAGTAACTTGCTCAACACTCTCAGACTGGGGTCTTGTTTGAAGGCCCCTCTTATATCTCTGCACTCTGGTCAACTGGCGGAGCATCCAGATGAATTATTGTCAGGTTTATTTAGCATCGTATGTCAAGGAACTGGAGTTTGGTGTTGGCAGATTGAATAACATAGCTACAAGAAAGTGAGCTGCTGGCACATGCTTACATAAACAGCACGCAGCACTTTGGTGGACTTTGTCACACAGAGAAATCCGACACCGACTGAGTTACTAAGTGACATCTTTACGCCCACAGATTAGGGTTAGGATGTTTCATAGGAGCTTGTGTATTGTATTTTTATATTTATTTGTAGTATTTGTATTTTATTGCAACTTTTTGCTATATTATAATGGTTGCTATAGTTTTTTTTATATCATTTGTTTTTCTTTGAAAGACATTTGCCTCGGAATACTTCAGCATACTTACCTATTGTAGTTTCTTTGTCAACAGCCTTGGTTTGGAGGAAATTCAATTCAATTCAGTTCGATTCAAAAATACTTTATTAATCCCAGAGGGAAATTGATTGCTGTAGTAGCTCAGAATAATAATAATAATCAAGTCATCAAAGAGTTATTGTATATTACAATGGCTGTTAGCAGGAAGGATCTCCAGTAGCGGTCAGTGTTGCAGCGAAACTGAAGAAGCCTCTGACTGAAGACACTCTTCCGTTGTCGGACAGTCTTGTGAAGATAATGCTTGTCCATCATTTTCTTGATTCTCTGGAGAATCCTTCTTTGCATTATCTCCTCCAGCGGTTCCGATACTGCCGAAACTCTGGCTGAGTCCTTGAAAGGGCTTGGAGTTCCTCCATCTTGTTGGCCAGTGATCTCACATTGCCCATTATGATCGATGGAAGAGATGGTTTGAATTTCCTCTTTCTCTGTCTCCGTTTTGCTCCCACTCTGCATCCACGCTTCTTGCGTTTTAGCTCATTTGGGATTTCTGGCTTCAGTTGAGGTATTATTTCAGCCTTTCCAATGTTAATCAGCTGCTCCCGATTGTAAACCAGCTTGTTGCCATGGTTACGCATCATAACAAATGCTCAAAAAGTGAAAAAAGCTAAAAAAAGCTGTAAAAATCCTCCAAGATTAACAGCACCAGAAACAGAAAAGTAAAGTGTCCAAAAAAAAGTTTTTTCTTGAGAAACTAGAAGAAAAATTGCCCAAGAAAAGGCAAAACTTACATATAGTCCACAGAGCTACTCCAACATGCAGCCACCCAGAGCAGCGCAGTTCCAGAAAAAATGACAAAAATGGTCATTAATAAATATTTAAATGTTTTATGCTGTCAAAATACAGTATATCGTAATCTAATCCATTCGGCGGACGGCAGTAGCAGATGTGTGACATAAAAAGCGGCGTTTAAGGACCAGTGGTTTTTACAGTGCTCTGTAGGAGACCACAAACATAAATTGCAGCTTTGTGGATGGATTTCTGCTGCTTTTTTCTGCTTTGGGAGTTTAGAAACTGTGATTTTAAAGCTGCGTGAACACTGCTTATTTTGGTTTTCCTTCCATTCCACGTCACCAGTGACTCTTCCAACTTCACGAACGCTTTACAGATATCTTAGGTGTGTTCTTGCTGTGTCTTTGTAAATCCATGCTTTCGTTCTTTTTTAAACACAGAAACAGTTTTGTTTACCTGTTTGTAGCTACGGTTTCGCCGACAGCTGCCGGCTTCTTCAGGCTGACGCTGATGGTGGCGCGTCACTTCCTTCTCCGTTTATCTGCGGGCAGATCATTGCTTAAGAGAAAACCATATAATGGACTGGGACAGCACACGGATCATAACCACTGAACAACAAAAATACAAAAGATGGATCAAGGAAGCAATAGAGATAAGGAGACGTGGATGTGGGACCATGAACAGGGACGACGGAGTTTACACGCTGGACCACGCATGGGACTGCATCGTCGGAGAGGGGAGAGCGGGCAGTAGAGGGCGACAACGTCCTCTGCTGCCCGCAGATAAACGGAGAAGGAAGTGACGCGCCACCATCAGCGTCAGCCTGAAGAAGCCGGCAGCTGTCGGCGAAACCGTAGCTACAAACAGGTAAACAAAACTGTTTCTGTGTTTAAAAAAGAACGAAAGCATGGCTTTACAGATACTTCGTGGAGTTCCATGAGACGACTCTTGTCGTGATTTGGCGCTATTTAAATATACTGAATTGAATTGAACTGAATGCCTGTTGTTTGGCGACATCTGCTGATATAATTTCCTACAGAGTTACTGCTGCTGGTGGTCGGAGGGACCGGTGGTGCCAGTCCTTGGCAGCCTCAGTGTGTCTCAGGGCAGTTGTGGCTACAATGTAGCTCATCACCTGGTGAATGATGACTGTGCTGTGAACAGCCTTGGGGGGTTGTAGATACAGGCCGTTTACCAATCATCAGAAAACTAATCTATGTTTCTTCACACTCAGGTTGTTCACAGAACTGAGCTGCTAATTTTTCCTCAACCTTCTACAGGAACCCACTTATAAAGATCTGAACTCGTCACTTTAAGATGAAAAACAAGCGTTATAAATAAAGCTGAATGATTTGATTTAATTTGACAGTGGTGAGTTTTCCCGCCCTGGAGGTCCACTCTACTCTACGCCTCAACCGGAAGTGACGGAAGTAGCCACGAGCGTGACGAACGCCTCTTTCGAAAATACAACAAGGAAGTTCCCGTTTATTGTAAAGGGGAAAACACCACCGGGTAAAACCTCTCCTCTAACAGCGGCTCCACTCCGCTAGCTCGTCGGGTGTCGGGAGGGCGGAAGTCGCCGTAGACTCGCCCGGACAGCCCGTTTCCGTTCGAGTCGACGAATCCTGCCTTTAGCCAGCTAGCCTGTTAGCTAGCGATGAACACGGACGTGGAATTTCACATCAGGCAGAATTATCCGTGGAACAAGCTCCCAGCTAATGTCAAACAGGTACCGTGATTTAACGTTTCAACCGAGCGGGGCTCGGGCCGGTGAGAGGAGGGCGGGGAGGCGAGGCGGAGGCTGGACCCGTGTCATTCAGGCAGTGTCTCCTCCGCAGGGCTCCCACCATCTCACCGGAGCCATAACTGTCCAGCATCACCGACGGAATCAGCTGCCCCTGCTTAACTTCTCTGGCGCCTCGTGATCTTAACACTTTGGGTGCCACCTGCACATTTGGCACCCACACACCTCAGTTTTGTTTTGTCCTTGCAGCCTCGAGTAATAACAGCATGAAGGTTATCTTTTCATGCAGAGCCTTCTTAAATCCCTCCTACAAACGTCGTGGGAAGCAGAGGGGCTGCAACATGCATCATAAGGCTTTTGTGCTGATTGCCTCCCCCATTCAAAAGGCCTCGCTCATGCAAACAACTACTTATTTTCTTCCTGCAGGGTTTTTGTGGCTGAAGGACAACCTGCATGATTAACATTTCATTTTGTAAACAAGGGTGATGATTTAGATAAATTTAAATTTGTCTTTTCAAGTTTAACTTTGATTTTCTGCTAAAGAAATGTACTCTTCTTAGGAGGAAAGCGTCTTGATTTGGCTGCCTGACTGCAATCCTACCTCGATAATCACCGCCACGCTGCTGCTTTCTCATTACAGAGTTTGGGAAACTCGCAGCGTGAGTATGAGAAACATGTGCTCCTGTACAGCATCCGCAACCAGCTGCGATTCCGCAATAACCTAGGTGAGCCAGTTTATCCTAAACACCTTCCAGTGTAAAGCAGATGATGGATACATGTGGAAACTGTAATAAATCCTGTATTTTTACACATTTATGTGAATGAATTTAGACTACAGAAGAGTGATTACAGCATAAAACTGACTGGTAATCAATAAAAATGTGTATTACCTTAGCTAATTTCTCTGTAATATTCACTTTAAGTAATCAATTGTGGCTTGGTTGCCACAGATAAGTGAATCCTGCTTCAGCTCGTATTGATCAGATACGGATCGTCTGGAACCGTTTATTTAAGCAAACACACACACCTCTTATACCTGTGTGTGTGTCTAACCAACAGTTCGCCACATGAGGAAGGACGAACGCAAGTATTATGAGGAGCTGCTGAAGTACAGCCGGGACCACCTGATGCTGTACCCCTACCACCTCTCTGACATCATGGTCAAAGGCCTGCGAGTCACTCCCTTCTCATATTACATAGGAATAATGGAGGTAAGCAGATGAAAGATGAATGTTTAGAGAGGGAAAGATGAGCGCCATTATGTTTTTTGTTGGAATAGCAGCTCTTTGTACCTTTTGACATCACATGAACATGTAAGACAGACCGTGTGTTATGTCTTCTGTCTGTGAAAGAAAAGGGATGCAACAATATCCCGTTCAGGACCAGGTTGTACTATTTGAAACAATCACAACTTGCAATGAGACCACGACTTCTTTTACCTAATTAATCACAGCTAAACTTGTTAGAAGGTCAACGTTTAAACATAAAGCAGCAAGAATAAAACTATGAGGTGTGTTTTTATGTTGTCATCAGGAAAACGATCATTTTATTTAGGGTTAGGGTTGTTTCCTAATGAAGAATACCTCCAAACTCGTTTTTGGCTGCTTTTATGCATTTTCCTGTTTCAGCTGCAAAATTTGAATTTTATTTTGAAATTCCTGAAAAGCCAGAATGAAAAAGTTGTAAGTAATACAGTTTTCCGACACCCGGCCCTGGTCCTCCCTTAAATCTGGTCTGGGTTCTGCTTCCCCTGGCGAGCACAGGATATGTAGCTGAGGTGACTATTGTCACTTGGTAGTCCAGTGGTTTATAATACATGGTCTCCTCATCTTATGGGCCATTCCCATCTGTACCGGGTCGGCCCGGGCCGGGTAGCCCCGGTCGGCCCCAGCCTGGCCCGGTTGATTCCACACATCCTTGCCGTAAGCCCATGTGGGCTGATTCTACCCACCAATCAGAGGCTTGCTCTAATGGAAGGTGTGAATTTGCTGTCAGCAGTGGGTGTGTTGGCCCTGGTCGGCCTGAAGCAGACCCCCTCGAGAAGAGGGCTGAGAATGAGCCTTGGTTGGCCCGGAAAAATACCAGGCCACCCAGATATGTAAACAACCTACGCTACCCGGCCCGGCCCGAGCCGTCCCGGTACAGATGGGAATGGCCCAATAGTCATTCCAGAGGGCATGGAAGCGGAATAAGAGTCCATGGCGCTGGGTTTGTTTTTGCCTCATTTAAAAACTGTTGTTAAAGGTTTTCATATTGAAGAATTTTGTACAACACTATGATGATAAGATACAAACAGTAGTTTGTTATTATGATATTTTTCAAATATGGTTAAATATTGGGAAAATAATGTATATTTAAATAATTATTAAACACTCAAAAGTATTGAAAGTTGATACTGTTAAGTGCTGGTATCGATTCGTAGGTACCGGGAATTGGTATCCGTATCGATTCAAACGTCAAAGGTACCCATCCCTATGCCTAAGACGCTGTTATAGGCACGTTTTGTTGGAGAGGTATGGGCGGAGTTTTGCTGAAACAAAGCATTTTATTTCCAGGTATAAATTCAGGCTGACGAAAATAGCTTGTTTAAGATGAATGACATCTTAACAATGCCAACTAGGGCTGGGCGATACGGCCTAAAATCAAAATCACAGTATATTGAGGAATTCACGGCGATGATGATAAATGGACGATAACTACAGGTGTGCGCAAAAACTAAAGTTGTCCACTAGGTGGGGCTGTCATGTGTATTACGTCAAGTCACATTGTCATGTGACTCAAGGTGGTACAGCTTTTTAAAAGGACAAGAACGTCGCCAACCTACACACACCTTTCAGTTTTTTATTACCAAGTTTATTGACATGGGAAAGTGATAATCAGTTAGAGTCAGAAAGTTCGATAACGATACATTTTTGATTCATCGCCTAGCCGTAGTGCTAACTAGGGATGTGTGTTGGTGAAATTCTGCCGATATGATATGTATCACGATATATTGCGATACATTCAGTCAGACGTCATTAGCGTCCAAACTGATACTTAACATGTTTAACATGAGGTATCTGAACCATTATTGAGGGATTTACATTTCAGTGGTAGAAACAAAACCCACTGCACACTGCTGCCAACTAGTGGTCGACGTTTGAATTGCACCCAAAAATACACAAACGTTTGTACGTAAAAAAAAAAAAAAAAAACATTGCATGATTGCCTCGTTCACCCAAATAGGAAAATGTAGCTGAAAAGTTTTTCTTTGGTATATAGACATATTTTGTCTAGAATAATATATATACTGATAGATGTGGCCTCCAGCAGGCTCTAGGTGCCCATTAATGTCCACTAAAGTCTTCCATAGCAGCTCAAGGAGACACATGACTGATCCCAGGACAGCAACACCCAGGAAGATGCTACGCTGCTCGCTCTGCAGTCAGTTTGGGCCTCGTCTGCATGACGGCTCACACTTCTTAATAAAGCTCGGTCTGTTGACTGAGGCTGGCACAGAGAAGCAGTCTGTCAGATACCCAGATCAGCCGGTTTCTCCTCCTTCTCCTCTGAGATTTTCTCGTTAGATTACTGAAACACCAGTGGACAATCTATTTATGTGTGCTCAGACCAGCTGCAACATTTCCCACCAAACATTTTAGTTCTCAGCTGACCCAGTAGAGCTAAACTAAACTCCTCTGAGCCTAAATTGTGGCGACTAAATAACCGCTGAAAGCCGTGTCACATTCTGCTAATCCATCGTGAGAACTTAATGAGAGCGGGGAGTGGAAATTAGCCCGGCAGCTCAAATCAGATAATCCTGTTATTAATCAGCACCAGGGGACACGGAAAGGAGAGAGGAAAATATGTTTTAATTCATCTTTTCTCTTTCTCCTGTCTTCTTTGTCTTTTTGTGCCTCCAGGATATAATGAACAGTGAGAAGAGTTATGACTCCTTGCCCAACTTCACTGCTGCTGACTGTGAGTTTTTTCCTTCCCATCCACTCCCACATCATCCCATACTTCCTATCAGGTTAAAACACCATGTAATACAGTTTTACACAAGGGTTGAGGAATCTGAGTGATCAGAAAAGGTCAAGAGGTCATAGGAAAATGTCAGTGGACTTTGACTTGTTCTATGGCTTATTTCTTTGCGGTCATCATTCAAGCGCTTGACTTTTAACCCTTTAATAAGTAGAGCTGTCAAATGCGAAGAGGGTGGGAAGGTGCAACATGCTTTTCTTCAAACGGTTGGGTCAAACAACATTTCTGCTGAAACGGTCAGCAACATTTTTCCATGAGCCACTGGATCCTCTCCTTTGGAACAATGTGCTCTGATGATGAAAGGCTGAATGTAAACACAGACTTTTGTTTATTCCAGTGTCAGAAAGATCTCATGAAAAATCATTGGCGTTTCTTGTTTACTCACCACAGTAGTGGGTTTATGTCGCATGCTTCTGTGGAATAGTTTCAAGGGTTTAATGAATACTACAGGTGGGACTCTATACAAATAATCTAATTAATTAGAGGCTTTGTAATCAATTAATCTTGATTAATCACATTTTAATCGATGAAGAAAATTTGTCCCCAAGCCAGGGTATCCGCGGGTCCTTAAAAAGTCTTTAAAAGTCTTAAATTTGCTTTTCCAAATTTAAGGCCTTGAAAATCCTTAAAAATGACAAATAATCCTTAAATCCAGTTTCCAAAGGTCTTAAATTACCAAAGACCCAAAAAACAAGATTATTTTATTTCTATAAAAATTTTTGTGAATTTCTAGTTGGTGTTCAGCATTTTTTGTGTACGATGTTGGCATAAGCGGAACCGTACACATTCAGCTGGTTGTGAAAGGGGGCTGTTTTTAGATGAGCACATTAGCTGGTTAAGCTAGTGGGAGTTTGCGCCATGGGGAAGTGCAAGTTTAATGGTAACTGGATGGTTAATCCCACGTTCACGACGTGGTTAGCACCGGTTCCAGGCAATAGCTGGAACTTATAGCTTAAATTTAATTTTAAAAATAGCTTAAATTTGGTCAAAGTGGCCTTAAAAAGGGTCTTAAAAAGTCTTAAATTTGGCTCCCTTAAACCTGCAGATACCCTGCCAAGCGTTTATTTTAAAATAATGTGAGTGAGACACAGATGACATAGCCGCACTTTAAATGGTAAATGGCCTGTATTTGATAATGCGCCTTCTAGAGTCCTGGAACCCCCCAAGGCGCTTTACAACACAATCAGTCATTCACCCATTCACACACACATTCACACACTGGTGGGGATGAGCTACAATGTAGCCACAGCTGCCCTGGGGCGCACTGACAGAGACGAGGCTGCCGAGCACTGGTGCCACCGGTCCCTCCGACCACCACCAGCAGGCAACGTGGGTTAAGTGTCTTGCCCAAGGACACAACGACAGCGACAGACTGAGCGGGGCTCGAACCTGCGACCTTCCGATTGCGAGGCGAGCACTTAACTCCTGTGCCACCGTCGCCCCATACTTTAATGAGTATATTTCTAGTACTGAACACTAGGTGGCATCAGAGCATAGCTACAACATTTAGAGGTGTAGTGTAGAGGTCAGGGGAAGTTTTGCTGAAGGTTACACGATGTTTCCTCTGAATAAAGCAAAGCTAATATCGGCTAATAAAAGCTAACCATTAGCAAGTAATATTTGTGGAGCTAAAACATCAATTTAGCCTTTTTTACCCAAGACACAAGAGCAAACGGAAGCAGTGGAAGAGTCGCATAGCTATTAGCCAATCAGAGGTGAGATGTTTGGATATCATGAATGTTAATTCCTCCTGCTGGGAGTATTTGTCTAAAGCCAAGGTTTCTCGTCTCATTTCAGGCCTGAGGCTGCTCGGCATTGGGAGAAACCAGTACATCGACCTCATGAACCAGTGCAGGTCCTCAAAAGTAAGATCATACCGTAAATCCTCTAATACAAGCCGGTATTCAATTAAAGGCCGGGTCTCCAATTTTGGCCGGTGTCGGAGTCAGCAGAGGTAAATAATGGCCGGTCTCTTATTGTGGCCGGATGGAATGTGGTAACGAGCAAGTACGAGCGTCCCAGCAGCAGGGTTATAGTCCCCAAATCAACCAGCAGGGGGCACTAGGGGTTCACGCAGACCTTTATTAGGCTTTTTCTTCAACGCTTTGTAACGCTACAGACACGATCCTCTATCACGCTCCTACCACACAGAGTTACGGTGTCAGTTAACCATGCTAATTCAACCCGCTCCACAGAACACACATCACCTTCCCTGTGGCTTACATAACACTCACACAACACGCAAATCAGCACATAGGAACTAGCAGAACGATAGGAAACACATATAACACATTACCCAGAATGCACCTGGCTTACAACCCCAGCCAGGTCATTACACTATCAAGTTCAAAGAGAACGTGCTGATTATGCTGCAGAACACTCTGGAGAGCAGCAGTAGGGGGTGTATGAACTACAGTAATCCCTCGTTTATCGCGGTAGATGCGTTCCAGACCTGGCCGCGATAGGTGAAAATCCGCGAAGTAGGGACTCCCAGCATGCCCCTCGCGGGGATTCCCTCCACGTCGCACCTACGTCACAAACCGCGGCTATAAACGGAAGTCGCCTTTCCAGCTCAGTCATCGTTTCTTCAGATTCATGATCAGAGTTTCCAACCTACCAATCAATCCAACGAACTATCAGCTCATAGTAAGTTATCTTACTTACTTCTGGAAAGCCCGGCATTTCCGTGTCACTTCGTTGACGCTCGAACGCTCGGGGGTTTCCTAGAGCAGCCGGCGTTTCACCGACGCTATCACTTCCGCGTCTGTGAAACCACACTCCCTATTGAATTATCGTATGATCACATTCTCTGTGATCAGCAACGCGCTGTGCCAGACCGTAGGTACTGACACGCGATTGTTCATGTCGGTTCATTTCCTTTAATGTTTTCTGTCTTTTATTTGCGCCTGATGTGTATCGCTGCTGTGGAGCGGGGCGCTTCACCTTGTCCTCCGACGCACAGATCACAGCAGGGAGCGCTCAGCTGTTTTCGCGGTCGGTAGATCTGCCTCCTGAGCACGGCCACAGTAACAATCAGGTGTCGCCACCTCAAAAACTAATTTAACACGCGATCGTTCATGTCAGTTCATTTCCTTTAATGTTTTCTGTCTTTTATTCGCGCCTGATGCATTTCGCTGCATGCTGTGGAGCGGGGCGCTGCGCGCATCACCTTGTCCTCCGACGCACTGATCACTGATACAGCCGGCAAGCAGGGAGCGCTCAGCTGTTTTAGCGGTCGGTAGATCTTTTAGAACTGCAGTTCAAAGGTAACTCATGAGGTGAATATATATGAACCCAGGTAGCAGTTTTTCTTTAGGATTGAGAGGAGATGCAGGAAGATAATAAACAGACAGGACAGAAAAATAGTCAAATAAAAACAAGTAAGTTTTTGTACCTGCTGGTTGCAACAAACAGACACCATTGAAGGTAATCAGAAGTGAGGAACAGAAAATGAAATAATTATTTTAATGTTTAGAGCAGCAGGAACTCCGAGAGGCTGCAGGCGCATCAGTGAGTTTGCGGCCGCTGCGCAGGGGGAGGGGGGAGAGGGCTGAGGCAGAAACTACCGTTGTTAAAAGAAATGTGTTTAACTTTGAAAACGTGGGTGCAATTTTAATTGTCAAAAACTCCAGCGAACCATTAGTTCATTTTGCTCAAATAGAAATAGAGGCCTGCCTCTAATACTGGCCCTCCTTCCAATAAAGGCCTGGAGCTTGATGAGCTTGAGTCAAATACAGGCCGGGCCTGTATTAGAGGATTTACGGTATATGAATATTGATATATTTAATTTGGCCTCACAGAGGTCTTTCTTTTCTAAAAGGGGTGTTTTTTTTTTTTTTTTTTTTTAGCTGCAGGAATTCTACAAAATCTCCATTTTGACCAGCAACATGTAATTTTTCTAAGCCACACATGGATTCGTCTATTAAAGCATTAAAAGCTGCTTTTGTTTCTGGACTGAAGATGAATAAATCAGATAGAGACGAGTCTTCATGCTGGTGTTAAAGGGAAGTTTTAATGTACACTGATGCCTGAAACTGCAGCCTGAACCAGCACCAGCGCTTTGGTACTCGTGTTTACGTGTTCTAGTAACAGTTTAGTTCCTCTTTCATCATTTAGTTCCTCCGTGAAAACCTCAGCACTAAACTAACGCCGCCCGTTGTTTGCTCTCAGAGTGGAGAGAAAAATAATAGTGTTTGTTAGAATTCGGTCTAGACTGCGTATATATCCACATTTTGATGTTTTAAGGTAAGAACTGATCATGTTCAGAAGTTAAACACACTGAAAATGCAAATTTAATACAGAAAGACGAGGTAATTAAGCTTCTGACCAGATTTCTGACTTGTTTATAATAGTTTGGAACACCTTGCTCTTCTTTTGATTACATTTGTTTCTCTCCTCAGAAATTTTTCCGTAGGAAATCGGCGCGGGACCTGCTACCGGCCAAACCCGTGGAGATCTCCGTGGAGCCGTGGTGGGTGGCGCAGACGGGCTACATCACAGAAGACGACATAAGGGTTTGTCCCGTTTATTGTGATTAAAAATCTCCAGATTTGCCCCCTTTTTTTCAGCTGTTTGTTTTAAACACCTCTAAGAACTTATTCTTCTCTATTGTTGTTTTTTCCTTTCTGGCTGGATGCAGGTTTGTTCTCCTTCGGAGAAGAAAGCCATCGATAAGATGATTGATACAGGCCCTCAGCTTGCAGGAACGATGGAGTTCAACGTGGTTTTAAGTGAGTGTTGAAATCTGAGGAGCCTTTGTCTCCCCCTCCTGGTTCAGAGCGGTATTACACAAGTGTTATCTTTTATATTACATCCTGTTATAACTGAATTAAGCAAGATTGGATCGAAAATAAGGTTTTATATGCATCCCTTTATTATTTCATCTAAACATGAGTCTTGTTTTTCTTTTATTTGCATAAGTCCCAGCCCAAACTTTAGATTTAAGACTCGTTTGACTATCTCGTCACAAGAAGCATTTGATTTTGTGTAAATAAGTGATAATAAAATGTCTAATGTTAATAATGAGAGACTGATTCAGATCAGTGAAACTCGGGGTCTGAATGTTTGATTTTGCTGTTTTAATACAGAAGTGGGGCAAAAGGCTTTTTAATGGGATCTTATTTCTCCCGTCAACTTTCCGATTTCTCGGAGGAAGTGGAATAACTCCTTTATACTTTTGAGATTTGTTTCTCCGAGCCCAGCAGCAGCGACAGCTGAAAGGACGTTTCACCTGCCAGCGGCGTTTATTGTTGTGTTATTACAGGCTTGTACAACCGGGGCTTCATTTACCTGGACGTTCCCATATCTGATGACAGCTGTATCTCAGGTAAACGCAGCACATTGTTCACAGTGGCCCTCAAGCTTTGGGCAGTTAGGATGATTAAATGTCATCCGTGCACATATGACATGGTGGATGAAATTTTACTCACCTGGACCGATCCGCAGAGGTACAGTTACAGATGTGTGTGTGATGCAGCACTCAGAAGGAAAGCTGTGGAAACGATCGGCCGTAAAAACAATCACTTGTTCGGTTGTTTGTCTTGGTCTCGTCAGTGCCCCCTCTCGAAGGCTTCGTCATGAACCGTGTCCAGGGTGATTACTTTGAAACTCTTCTCTACAAAATCTTTGTGTCCATCGACGAGCAGACGAACGTGGCAGAGGTGAGCTTCAGACGCCACGTTTATTACGCTTGAATGATAAAAAAAGTGTCTTGTTTGTGTTTACTGATCTGATACTGATAGGACGATGGTGGCGCAGGAGTTACCCCCAAATTCCACTACCTCCGCTCCGCCCCCGCCTTCCGCAGCCGCTCGCTTCCGAACTCAATTTTTCTTGGTACCCGCTCTACAACGGCTCCGCTCCGGTGCGGAGACCTGAGGGGGGCAAACAAGCATGCGCGGGATTTTCGAGATCTTGCGATACAGTCCGAGCAATAAACGCGGAAGTTAGATCCAAACACCCGTTGTGTGGGAGAAGCATCGGCATGAACTGTTTAATCTGCCCATCATGTGTGTTGAGAGATCAGCAGTGTTTGGATCAACAAAGTGTGACTACTTTGATAGTGGAAACTGTATTTATGGCTTACTTTTGTGCATTTAAACTTCAGCCGCCACTGATAGTTGTTAAAAGTTGTTAAATCTGTGCATATGAAACAAAAAACGCCTTTTGTTTATCGATTTATTGTGAAAAACGGAAATTGTGCTCGCTCCTTTTCCTGTTGGGCGGTTGTGATTTCTGTCCATTTACTGCGGAGGTGCTCCGGCGTCCGGCGAAAATAGGATCGATTCTATTTTTGCCGGACGCCGGAACAGAGGGCGGCGCACGGCGCCGCACTGCCGGAGCACGGCCGCAGTAGTGGAATTGCTCTGATTGACTACAACGGGACCGATTTTGCTCCGGCGTTCGTGTCGGAGCGGAGCGGAGGTAGTGGAATTTGGGGGTAAATTGCTCGCCCCGTAATCGGAAGGTTGTAGGTTCGAGCCCCACTCAGTTTGTTGCTGTCGTTGTGTCCTTGGGCAAGACGCTTCACTCACCTTGCCTACTGGTGGTGGTAGGACGGACCGGTGACTCCTGTGTACGGCAGACTTGCCTCTGTCAGTGCGCCCCAGGGCAGCTGTGGCTACGGTGTAGCGCATCACCACCATGTGTGTGTGTGAATGACTGATTGTGTTGTAAAGCACCTTGGGGGGCCCCAGTACTTCAGAAGGCGCTATGTATCACATATAGGCCATTCACCATTTCAGGCACAATTTTTTAATCTTTCTCTCCTGATCCCTCCTTCCTCTCTGTGACTCTCAGCTGGCAAATGTGTTGGAGATCGACTTGGATTTAGTGAAGGTAAACAGTCCTTTCTCTCTTTTTAAGTAACTTTTTATTTAAATGTCTTCAGTTTGGGTGCAGTTTTCTCCACACTGGTTCTGGAGTGTTCCTCTACTTCCTGTACTCACATTTCTTGTTTGTGTTCAGTGCAACAGGCAGCAAAACTACTATAGTAACTATAGATGTTTGATATCCGCTATTTTACTGATATCCAACATACCCATATAGTCTGATTCTTAAAGGCCAAGTTCACTGTCCCTGGTTTCACACTGAAAGCATCTTAGGCGTGGGATGACGTCACTGCTTCAAATAGAATGTTTTATAGTCTACGGAGTCTTACGTGGTACATCCCAGAAGCAGATAGGATCAGGTTCTATTTTTGCCGCGAGCCATTTCTGGGCCACGTCAATTTCCGCAGTTAACATAGGGCTAGACAGGAAATCACACTTGGTTTCAGTGTAAAATCCCTGGTAATTTTCAAAATAAAAGCACTGCAGCAATGCAATTTCATATAAATGACCCAACGGCTTATTTCAAGTCAAGTCAAGTCAAAGTCAAAGTCATTTATTGTCATATTCTCCACATGTGCAGGACATACAGAGAAATGAAATTCAGTTTCAGCACACACAATTCAAAGATCAGACATACGTGGGTAAGACACATGACAAGAATTGGTGACTGCGGTCATTCGCAACATGAGTCGCGCTAACTTAATAGTTAGATGAAAAGGGTGTTACATGAGGAAAGTTCAGGGAGGGGAAAAAAAGGCATTAACAGGGTTACACCAGCAGGGTGTAGCACTCTAATGCAAAAAAACACCCGACATGGAAGCACAGACAGCACGTATACAACAGAGTCCGATGGGGAGGTGGGGGTGGGCGGGATCCTGAAGCCTCCAATGGGAGCTGCCACTGCGGCGCATCGACCAGCTGCAGACCAACAGGTGGGAGGGAGAGATAAGGAACAGAGAGCACATTGAAGTTCCTGCAGAATCTGAAGGAAGAGGGTGAAGGTCGGGACACAGCATCTGTCGGCATTCCTCCTTTTTGTGGGGGTGTGTTGAGGCAGCCTTGAGAGGCTGCTATGGCGTCAGAGAAGGATAAACATGACTTTGTTTAGGGCAGACAGAGATAGTCTTCCTCTCCGTCTTGTAGTCTCTAAGTGGTCATTCATGTCCACCAGTGAAGCCAATTTTACATTCCACATCCCCGCATCGTCCGGCGACCCTCTCCGAGATCAAATCCATCTTGCGCACTAACACAGGCAACGCCGCAAGGACATTGTCCAGCTTACGGTTCACCTCGAGTAACGTCCCAGTCTGTGAGGTCACCGCACGAGCGGCACATTCCGTGGGTACGGGTCGCACTCCAATCGCTCCCGTCTTCCCAAATTTCCAGAAAACCAGATATCCTCCCACTCCAATCAGAATAAATCCAGTGATCATTAGGCCGAACATCCACAAATCTTCCACGTCCTCGATGTACAGCTGAGAGAGGCACACGATTCGCCAGACCTCCCAAGAATCGAGTGCATATCCCGATGCGAATGTCCCCTCGGGACAGGTGGGAGCCCCCTTCTCCGTTCTCATCGTAGAGAAAATTTTGTCAATCACGTTGAATGACCAGTTAATTAAGTCCATATTTCCAAAAAAGAGTAGTGGTTTCAGGAGAAATGCAGAGAAGTGCTCTGTAGGCAGACAGGACAAGAGCCTTGGGGAAGCCGATAAGGGAGCTGAGAAAAAAGCGTCTGTACTCTCTGAAGGCTGCAGAAGTGAATTTGTTCCAAGTATCATTCCAGAAGCACAGCGGTGTGTTGCTCATGGCTTTAAGCATGGCAGTGGAGAGGAGCAACATCGTACACGACCTCAAACAACAATATCAAATGGGATTTCCTTTATTTTGGTTTATTGGCGGATTGCATAAACAAACCGTGACCTGAAGTCTCGAGGGATCTTGTGATCTCACGAGTCCAGTGAAGAGCACAGCGAGGAAGCCATGCCACGACTAGGGTTGTCACGGTGTGAAAATTGAACCTCACGGTTATTGTGACCAAAATTATCACGGTTTTCAGTATTATCGCGGTATTTTTTTTAAATGTGTTACATTTTCAGACAACTAAATAAACCCTGTATATCAGGAAAGTATTGTCCTCGGTTTGTGTCCTTCCAGTGAGCTTAGCAGATCTGGGAAAATGTCATCAGGCAGTAATCGTTGTTAAATTCATAATTATTCTCAGAGAGAGACCAACTCTTATTTGCCCCTGGGAGCCCCGTAATGCATAGCGTCATTTCAACATGGGGGTGTCCGCGACACGGTTTATATGCAGGTAGCGGCGCTGCGGCTGCTTTATATAGCGACTCGTTGCATTCTCCCTCAACCCAAATCCTCGGATCACGCATTTTAGCTAAAACGCTAACGTTAGCTTGCCTTGCATTGACTGTAGAGTTGTGGATGATGGTCACGCAGATGTGTCATGAGATTTGAAGCGTTGCTGCCTTTCACAGACACTTTTTCTGCACTTGCTGCAAACAGGATAGCCGTCTTCTATAAACTGTCCCTCGGCATTCTTCAAATATCCAAAAGATGCCCGTACTTCCCACTTAGTCTTCTTTGAGAGATAATAAATGTCCTGAGCGCTGCCGTCTCCTCCTTTGACCATTATTTTAGCTTTAGCTTCAATAAAGTTTTGGTTGTAAACAACAAAGCGCGCATGTGCCGCCGGCAACTTCAGCAGATGATACGGTGGCTGGTAAGGGTCACCGCGCCTACACCGCAGCCACGGTAATCCACCGAGATAATATAGTTTTTTTAAAAACAAGACGGTTATTATTATTGTCAACTTTTTACCGGGGTTTACAGCTACACCGGTTACCGTGACAACCCTAGCCACGACCAAGACTCTCCCGGTATGAAATGGATCACTTTGGCGTTCACGTGTAAACTGTTCCGCTGTCGTTTCACACTGCTGATTCTTCCAGTGTGAAACCTGGGTGAGTCGCTTAATGAATTGATTTTGCATCCAGGACAGAGCAGAGCATGTCTGCTAGTAGAAGCTAACCGTTAGCATTACCAACTCCACAACATGGTGGAAAACATTCACGAATGTGTTATTTGTGGAGTTAAAACATCAACATTGCAAAGCAAACAGAGTCAGTGGTAGAGTCGCGCCGCTGTTAACCGGTCAAATGTGATTTTGGTATAAAAACTGCAGAGATTAGCACAAATATTTAAATGCATATATTTGATAATATTTTTCGTGTATTTAAGAAATGCATTTTTGTTTCTTTTCATTAAAAATGTTTGTGCTTTTTATCCAGTTTTATTTAATTTGTAATATTTTACAATTTATATTATTTTAAGCCCCTTAAATTTATACTAAAAAAACCAACACATTTTTCCTGCTTTAATTTTCCAGCAAGAATTTATTTTTTTACTCACTTTAACCCAATCGCTGCCAGCGTTTTTCAGCGTTTTTACTTTTTTTTTAAGAGTCACAGAACGTTGTGCGCTAGGATGATGGCGACGCCAAAACAACCAAAACAAAGCTGAGACTCAACTCTTACATCAGGAAGAATCCGCGTGTTTCGAGCGTTATCCGTTCTGTCATAATCCGTTGTCGAATTGTGATCGGCAGAAGCTTTTCCGGTTCGCGCCTCACTTTTTTTTACAGCAGCGGTCCAAAACGATCTCCTAAAGGTTAGTTTATGCTTGATGCGTCCGCGAGGTTCGCACGGCTCCGCGCGGCGAAATTGCGTCATTTTAACAACCACGCCCCTCCACCGTGCCTCCGCACGGCCCAAAATTTCCGCACCGCGCACCTAGGAAATTTTCTAACCACGCGGACGGTCGGACGTGGAAAAACATGGCTGACTGGCAAGAACTAGTTATAGCAGAGGTTCAGCTCTCAAAGATCACCGTGATCAACATGTTGTTAATAATTCTTAGAGAGAAATAGCTCGCATTGTCGGAAAAGACGAGGATGTTGTTAAAATGCTGGAATGCCATGTTGTAAACAACAATAATTTCTACTTCTACTATGGTGTAGTGTTGGATGCATGCCGTAGAGCTCCATGCTGCCCCCTACAGTTTGGGTGAATATTGGCTCACCGCAGACAAGCCGCATGAACCATAAACGCTGCAAGTTGTGAAGCCCGTTCCATCCGCGAGCCGCATCATCAAGCGGAAAGTAAATGCGTCAAGCATAAACCAAGTTTCACACATGGACATTCTGCTTCCTGATCACGTGACGTGTGAAGTACGTGGATGAAGATCGGCTTTAGAGCTGAGATGTTTGTTCTCACGGTGTGGTGGCTCGTCCGACGCCCACACAGTAAAAAAAATGCAAATGACGACTTTAGTCGTCATTGGCAGTGAACGAGTTAAAATAGAATTTTGGAAAATGAAAACAGAAATATGGAATTTGGTTAAACTCTGGATGTTTTTTCAGTTGGAGTTCAACCCTACAGCATCGCCCATCTAAGGCAGAAAATATTGTTGCACAATTTGAAAGCATGTAATAGCCAAACGAGACCTCAAAGCTTCACACACACACACACACACACACACACACACACACACACACACACCGTTCCAGGTGAGAGCCGTCATGCCCGTTGCCTCGGCTCAATGGCCTCTAAAGTTCGACTTTTCCATTCACTCCCTGTCAAAGAGCCAAACTCTGTCAACGTCTTTGACCTTCAGCTTAAAGAGCCGAACTTCTTTATCCTCCCACCTGCAGCTCATTTGTGCAGCTAGAACGGAGCGTTGAGCAGAGGTCGAAGCTACATTGGCAGTAAATCTACCGTAGAGAAAACCTGAAACTTTAAAGAAAAACACTTTGAGCAGAACTTTTTCTTTTTCTGTAATGACTAGTTGGCAATCTGTATAAAATATAAAACACGAGTCAGAAGTGACATTTCTGCACAGCTTTAGCTCAGATTTAGGCCGTGTACGAAGAGCATTTGAGCATGTCTGGTGCATTGTGGGTAGAGACTTGGTGGATTAAGCCGGGCGTACACTGCGACTTTTTCACTTTTTTGAGCCGATTTTCCAGTCGTGCGAGAATCCACGACATCGGGGCGAGTTTTGCGCCGAGCAGTCGTGTAGTGTACAGGGGGTTACGAGAGGCGATTAACACCACGTGACCAGCCGCCGATCAGCAGTCGTGAGGTCGCACGGACTTCTGGCGTGTTTAATATTTTGCTCGTCCCTCGTGAGGGTATCGCACTGTTGAAGCGGCGCTGCGAGCAGCTGCGACCCAAAAGGTATCAGAACCGCTCACGGCGCATGCGCAATCCTGCATCAAGACCGCTCGCCCGCTATTTCCCTAATAACACACGCTGTTCGTTTTTGTTTCTACACGTTTTTTTACTCACAAAGATTGTCAAGAAAGCGTGTTTGTCGTGTTCATGTCAAATTTAACTGATCACAAAACACAGATTTACTTTCTTTATTTCGTTTTCCTCATCCAACCCCCATAAATCACTGTGTCCTCCTGCATCACTCCCGAAGGACAACAGGCAAGACAAGACAAAAAAGTCTGACGTGTTGAGTAAAAACTGCTACTTTTAGCACATTTTTAGGGCCGACGTGTTGCTAGCAGACGTACAGTGTGAGCAGTCAGGTCGCATACGAGAACTGGGTCGTGCAGTGTGAGCACACGACTCGTGAGATCTGCTCTGCGAGGAAGTCGTACAGTTTGAGCTGAAGCTGAACGCTGCGAGTGAAAAAGTCGCACAGTGTACGCCCGGCTTTAGACCTGCTTCCCACAGATGACGTCGGATCTTCTCAGATTGGTATCTGGGCTGTTTCATTTACCTGCAGCTCTTGTTGCCCGTGCTACTGACCGAGCAATGTGGGCAGTGGCGGCCCCCAGAAGTTTCTCACCGGGGGGCCCAGTGAAGATTTTTCAGTCCCTGTGGTAACTTTGGGAGAGTTTAGCCTTTAGCTGTGCGTTTTTCTTCATTCTGTTTTGTTTTGGCTAGTGGTTAGGACTGGACGAAAGAAGCAGATATGAGCTTTAAATTGTTGTTTTCAAATATCTAAAATATATCAAAACCAAAAAGTAAGAAAAGGGTAAGTTGGCCTTTTGTTAATAATCTGTATTTTGGGGTTTCATTCTGATGGGGTTCACTTGGGATTGAGCGTCGTTTATCCTTGTTTCCGTTCAATCAGAACGCCGTCTCCATGTACTGTCGCCTCGGCTTTGCTGTGAAGAAAGGTCAGGTGTTCAGCTCCGATCAGCTGCACCCCAGCTGGAAGAACGCGCCGTCTGTAAACAGACTCAGGTACGTTCCTGTCCACCAATCAGCTAATTTTACAACTCCACTTGTGCTGTTTTGATGTTTTGGGTCTGCTGCAGGAGCACCATGGACCCCCAGAAGATGCTGCTGTCCTGGGAGCAGGGCAGCCCCGTGATGGAGGCAGGCTCCTCAGCCACAGACACCGACACCACCAGCCTGGAAGACCAAGGTCTCTCCACGGTCCACATGCCGGTTCTGCAGCGTGTGCAGATAATTATGCATGCTGATACGTGCACACGGGGCACTTTCTGATTGCTACTTCAGAAGGTTTGAGGCAGCACCGCTAATTAATGCCCAGGAAAGCCAAATTTTAGGTGGATGGGGTTGTTTGTGAAGTAGAATTTATTTCAACACATCCACTAATTCATCTTTAATTGAGTCCTTACATTTACTTTAGCATGCAACAATGGAGCTGCAATCAGCTGCTAACATATGACTGCTTTATGTGTTTTTTAACGTCTTTGTAGCTGAGACGGGCAGCGTCAGCAGCCTGAGCATCCCTGCTGCTCCCACCAAGAGGATCGCCTTCCTCTTTGACTCCACACTCACAGCCTTCCTCATGATGGGAAACCTGTCTCCGGTCAGTGACCTCGTGTGGACTCCCGCCAAGTCTCATAACCAGAATTGAACAAAACATTTTTTATTTATTTATTTTTTTGTCCCATCAGAACCTGAAGAGCCATGCGGTCACCATGTTCGAGGTGGGTAAGCTGTCTGATGAGACCCTTGACAGCTTCCTGGCTGAGTTAGAGAAGGTGAGTTGAGCTGTCACTAGAGCCTCACCTGGTGTCGTTCTTTGCTTTTAAAGGGGACGTATTATGCAAAACTCGCTATTTGCTTCCTTTTTGCTGCCATGTGGATTTGTACTGCCTCTATAAATACTCCGAATGAGTAAAATCCCATCCATCTGTTTTGTGTCAGTCAGTGCGTTTACAGTCAGTGTTAGAAAACCAAATGATTGACTTGGTCCGGCTGAAGTGGAACTGAACTGGACTACTTCCACTAGAGCTAAAGTACCCAGATAATGTGGTTAGGAAACCAAATTTCTCTTCATGTCGACAACATCCCAGCTTAAGCCGGGCGTACACTGTGTGACTTTTTCACTTTTTTGAGCCGATTTTCCACTCGTGCGAGAATCCACGAGATCGGGGCGCGTTTTGCGCTGAGCGTCGTGTAGTGTACAGGGGTTACGAGAGGCGATTAACACCACATGATCAGCTGCCGATCAGCAGTCGTGAGGTCGCACGGACTTCTGGCGTGTTTAATATTTTGCTCGTCCCTCGTGAGGGTATCGCACTGTTGAAGCGGCGCTGCGAGCAGCTGCGACCCAAAAAGTATCAGAACCGCTCACGGCGCATGCGCAATCCTGCGTCAACGCCGCTCGCTATTTCCCTAATAACACACGCTGTTTGTTTTTGTTTCTACACGTTTTTTTTACTCACAAAGATTGTCAAGAAAGCGTGTTTGTCGTGTTCATGTCAAATTAAACTGATCACAAAACACAGATTTACTTTCTTTATTTCGTTTTCCTCATCCAACCCCCATAAATCCCTGTGTGTCCTCCTGCAGCACTCCCGAAGGACAACAGGCTAAACAAGACAAAAAAGTCTGACGTGTTGAGTAAAAACGGCTATTTTTAGCATATTTTTAGGGCCGACGTGTTGCTACCAGACGTACAGTGTGAGCAGTCAGGTCGCATGCGAGAACTGGGTCGTGCAGTGTGAGCACATGACTCGTGAGATCTGCCCTGCGAGGAAGTCGTACAGTTTGAGCTGAAGCTGAACGCTGCGAGTGAAAAAGTCGCACAGTGTACGCCCGGCTTTAGCCAAGCTGTGACCTGCCCAGGCCCTCCCCCTTCTGGTGGTTATGAGACCACTGAAGCGATTCATTAACGTATTTTTTTCTACTTTAAAACTAAAGAGTAATATGTTCCCTTTAAAACACAAAAAAGATGATATTTTTTTCTCAGGTGGAGAGCACGGCTGAGGGTGAGGCCCAACGTTACTTCGATCACGCTCTGACCCTTAAAAACACCATCCTCTTCCTGCGTTACAACAAAGAGCTCACTCAGGATCAAGGACCCGATATTCCAAATATAGGTAACTACTTGTGCACAAAATCCCAACACCTGAGCCGGCACCTCTGTCCCCCACACACGGTTTCTTGTGTTGTAACATCATTTGTTCTAAAACCCTCGGAGGTTTTTAGCTTTTCAAAAACACTTTTCAAACCTGAACATGATACCGACGAGACTGTAGTTGAAGAAGCCAGCTGGGAGGTCGTAACCTAAGACAAACGGCTACATTTGCAATCAGACGACGGCCCTTCAAATTTTGCACGTCTAACACATAAAGATTCTCGTTTTTCATTTCAAATGATTCATGTCCGGATTAATAAGCGACAGCTCTTCGCCATGTGCAGACCTCCTTCTCAGATGTTTCAATGCAATTCGACAGAACGGAAATAACATTTTTAAAGGTGCTGCTGGGCGTTTTTAGTGTCTGCAGAAGTGCTGATAACATTTTATAATCATTAGAAATTATGTGGCATGTTGTGGTAAAAACATTTATGTGAAAAGCTTTTATTTTCTACCCTGACTCTGTTACTAACGAGGCATTCTGAGCTGTCATTACCACACTTGTTGTAAACAACCATTGTAAATGTTCCCATTCAACCCGCTTAGTGGTCGTAGAAAGTCAATAAGTAATTAAAAGCTGGGAATTCATCTGGAAGCAACAAAAGAGGAAGTGGATTTGTGTGAACATATCTCTGTGTCGCTCAGAGATTCTCCCTGGATCTGTATTTTTTACTAATCACGCTCATATAAATGACTAAAAGCAAACCTGAGGTGTTTATCTTGTGTCTCGAGGTTCCCCAGCGCAGAAAATGTCCTGCAGCACAGAATAAAGCAACTCTTATGTGTTTCTGTTGAGCTGCCGTTGCGCCACCAGATGCTGTTTGTTTGCTTTGGCTTCCTGCCTCGTCTCTGATTGTCTTTGTGTCTCAGACGTCCTCAAGCTGGTGTTCTGCATCAGATGAACCTGCCGGCTGAAGCTAAACCCAGCCTCCGATGCTTCAGTTGTCTTTTTTTCATTATTCATTCCATTAATGAAGGTTTTTTGCGCCCCCCCCCCCCCCCCCTTACAGATTTGTCCTGGTTTTGCTTTTGTCACATTTAACTCATTCACTGCCAGAGTTTCTCACCATTTTTACAGTTTTTTTAAGAGTCACATAACGTTGCGCGCTAGGATGATGTCGACGCCAAAACAACCAAAACAAAGCGTAGACTCACCTCTTACATCAGGAAGAATCCGCACATTTCGAGCGTTATCCGTTCTTTCAGAATCTGTTGTGGAATTGTGATCGGCAGAAGCTTTTCCGGTTCGCGCCTCACTTTTTTTACAGCAGCGGCCCAAAACGATCTCCTAACACATGGATGTTCTGCTTCCTGATCATGTGACGTGTGACTTATGCGGATGAAGATCGGCTTTAGAGCTGAGATGTTTGTTCTCTCAGCGCGGGGGCTCGTCCGACGCCCACACAGTAAAAAAGATGCAAATGACGTAGTGAATGTATCCGATTTTATTGGTGGATGGTCTCAAACATCTGCTGACCAAAACCGGATCTTCCATCTGGCGAGAGACATCACGATGATCCCATAAAGATTCGGCGCCTGTTGAGACAAAAGTGGAACTTTCTGAATCCGTATATTGTTTGTTTTTTCATTTTCAAATGAACACCAGTCATCGAAAAATGAAAAAGTTTTTGATTTTTCTGTTTTTTAATCAGCTACAAAAACAAAGAAGTTCTTGTTTTTCATATGTTCAAATTTAGCCTTTGATCAAAAGTACAAGATGGAAAAAACAGACCGCTGGACCATGGGTCGGTTTTAAATGGACAGGTGTCGTGTCCATGCAGGTATCCCCGATGGGATGTGTATCTCTGCATTGGGAGCACGCACCGAGCTCCAGATGCGCCTCAGTTCTGTCTAGTATTATAATTATATAAACAAATTAAATATTAAAATCTAATCCTGTTTTTTTCCATTTTGTAATTTTGATCCAAAACTAAACTTTAACCCTTTGGGCCCTAGGCCTGTTTTCTTTGGGCCGTGGCGCCACCCAACTGGGGGCCTTTGGAGTTTCATGTCCCAAGTGTCAGTGATTGTTTGCGTTCCCCGAGCACAGCTACAGCTACAATCAAAACAGTTTAGATGGTAAACAAATCTATTTTTGGTTTTAGATACATTAAGATAAAATAATACTTAAACTTTATTTTAGAAGAGCTGCCCTTGTGTGAAAGTGCTGACAGGATGGAGGTTGTGAGTTCCAGTTCAATTTAGGAAATTTACTCAATTGCTTTATTTATTCCTGGGGTCCTCAACTAAATTTGTCCAAGGGTTTTTTTTTTTTCCAGCAGACACAAGAGAAGGTTTGATGCTCTTCTAAAATAAAGTTCAAATATCATTGTATCTTAATTTATTACTATTTAAAATGGCCTTGTTTCCCGTCTGGGCTGTTTGATTGTGGTTTTAGTTGTGTTTGGAGAATGTGGATAGTTGTAGATGTCTGGGACGTGAAACTGAAAAGGCCCCCAATTGGGGGGGGGGGGGGGGGGGTTAAACTGGTTAACTGATGCACTGATTTTTCTCGAAGGTGTGCTATCTAGACGCTAAAACATCTCAGCATCAGTCAAGCACGGTGGTGGTCGTAGAGTGGTCTGCCTCAGGACCACTTGCTGTAACTGATGGAACCATAAATTCTGCAGAAAACCCTGTAGGAGAATATCTGACCTTTGACCTTAAATGGGCCATTCCTGCAGGAAAACCTCCCAGCGTTAGGTTAATCTGTTATCCAGCTGAGGAATGTTGGATTAAATGATCATTACTTTCACTTGTTCGTCAACACATCGCACCCTGAGAAGTAAAAGTTTTTTCTAATAATCCTCCTGACTTTCTAGAGCCATTCCTCTTGTTCCTGCTAGCCGCTATTTCTGAACTGAGTCACGGCGTGAAGGAGCGGCTCGCTGCTAAACCCTTTCTTGATCAGCTTTCCGGCCTTCTGCTGTGTGGAGAGATTTTAGATCTCAGAGGAACGGGCAGCAGCTGAGAGGAGTCTTTTGTTTGAGGAGTCGGACTAATGGAAAGCGTTGAGAATCGCATCACCAGTCCCCTCTCGGCTATTAAGAGTCATAAAAGGTGAACTGGAGCCTGAGATGTTGCCAACAGATGCCCCGTGGCGCTGCGTTTTAAGAGTGCAAAAACAGAAATATTCATCGTTTTATTTTGGCATTTAGAATCGTATTTTAAACCCTTTTATGTGCCGTTTTAACCGTGATGATTAATGGAGATACAGGAAGTTGTTTATCGCGTCCAACTGGGCGTGACTTTCCCCTCCAGGTTTCCCTCTGGACATGCTGCGCTGCGAGAGCCTGCTGGGTCTGGACCAAGCCACCTGCAGCCGCGTCCTCAACAAAAACTACAAGCTGCTGGTCTCGATGGCGCCGCTCAGCAACGAGATCAGACCCATCAGCAGCTGCACGCCTCAGGTAGGAAGCCCGGAGGCGACCTCGCATAACGGGAGGGTAAACGCTGGGCGCGCTGCGGCGTTCTGTCACGTGTTGTCAGTGTGTGTGTGAACGAGGATAGAACGAGCTCTGGTTGTGTTTGTCGTCGGTGTCCACGCTCGTGTTCAGAAGGTGTGTGTGTTTGTCAGTTGCTCCAACAACAGGGCTGCACAGAGAGGAGGAGGGCGGGGAGTGAGGTTTGTGAGTAAATCCTGGATGTTTTCCAGCTTCCTCTCCGAGCCCACGGAGACCCAAACAGAGGAGGAGTTAAAACTCCTGTCGTGCTGCTTGTTCTCACTAAAGCAGAATCTGATTTGATTTCCTCCTCACGTCTGCGTTTGTCTCCGTTATGATTGTTTGAGGTTTGATGGATGAAGCCTCCCTGTTCATGTGTGTCGCCCTGCAGCACATTGGCCCAGCCATCCCTGAGGTCAGCTCAATCTGGTTCAAGCTGTACCTGTACCACGTGACTGGCCAAGGCCCGCCCTCTCTGCTGCTCTCCAAAGGCTCCCGGCTCCGAAAACTGCCTGACATTTTCCAGGTGAGTCCGGTTAGTGATTGATCGTGGAAAGGCTGATGGGAAAAGCATCACTGAGTTCAGGAAGTATAAGAAAGAAAAAAAAGACTTGCAACTGGATTTTCTCCTCAGGCCTACGACAGGCTGTTGATCACCTCTTGGGGTCACGACCCCGGAGTCGTCCCTACGTCCAATGTGCTGACGATGTTGAATGACGCGCTCACACACTCTGCTGTCCTCATACAGGTAAACACCCGTTTATGAGGTCCTGCTAATGGCAAATAATTAAGTGGATTTAAAATGACACGTCAGGTAAAAGCTCAGGCCTCGGGAGATTCAAAAATACTTGTTTAAAATGATTATTGAACTTTAAAATGAGTTCTCTACACTTTTTCATGTACATTTATGACTACGTTGCGTGCATCTGAAGGCCCCAGGTTCGTTGTCGCGTTTCGGCACCAGTTAGCTGCTTTTTGGTCTGGCTGAAGCTGGTCAGAGCTGGTTTGGCCCGAACCTTCCTGGTTTGTTTCTCAAAGGGGAGAGATGCTCAGAGCTTTGATCTATGCAGGGTATCCGTGGGTCCTTAAAAAGTCTTAAAAAGTCTTAAATTAGCTTTTCCTAATTTAAGGCCTTAAAAGTCCTTAAAAATGACAAATAATCCTTAAATCCAGTTTCCAAAGGTCTTAAATTACCAAAGACCCAATAAACAAGATTCTTTTATTTCTATGAAAATTTCGTGAATTTCTAGTTAGTGTTCAGCATTTTTTGTGTATGATTTTGGCGTAAGCGGAACCGTACGCAGTCAGTTGGTTGTGAAAGGGGGCTATTTTTTTAGATGAGCACATTAGCTGGTTAAGCTAGTGGGAGCTTGCGCCATGGGGAAGGGAAAAGTTGATGGTAACTGGATGGCTAATCCCACGTTCGCGACGTGGTTAGCACCGGCTCCAGGCAATAGCTGGAAATTATCGCTTAAATTTAATTTTTAAAATAGCTTAAATTTGGTCAAAGTGGCCCTAAAAAGGTCTTAAAAAGTCTTAAATTTGGCTCCCTTAAATCTGCAGATACCCTGTCTATGGCAACTCTAACTGTAACACAGCGATGCTTTAGTAAAAACGATGAGGCGGTGATTCAGTTGTATCTTGGTTTAATATAAAGCGTGGTATATATATCACTCTACATATTAGGGGCTGCATGACTTAATTTCTTTTAAGTCGACCGTCAAGTAATGAAAATCGAGTTGACTTTGACTAGTCGTTGATGACGTCATACACCTGAAGCGGCAAAAACTGACGATGGGTTACCAAGCGGTTTTTTCTGACGCACCGGGGGTGGGGGGGTTGTTCGCTGGCGTTTTTGACAATTAAAATTGCGCCCACATTTTCTAAGTTAAACTCATCTCTTTTAACAACGGTAGTTTCAGCATCTTGCTTCAGCCCTCCCCCTGTGCAGCGGCCGCAAACTCACTGATGACTGAAATGAAACAGCGGAGTGGGCGCTGCGAGCCCGCCGCACCGGTGAGGTGCGTTACCAGAGGACTAAACAGGTGATGCGCTCCGCGGCAGCGAAGCGCATCAGGCACAAATAAAAGACAGAAAACACGAAAGGAAATGAGCCGACATGAACGATCGTGTGTTAAATTTGTTTTTGAGGTGGCGACACCTGATTTGATAATGTTACTGTGGCCGTGCTCAGGATGTCAGGTGTCTGGAGCGCGTCAACGATCTGAGCTTTGCATGCGCAAGCTGGTTAAGGTTAGGATGGGGTGAGGGGAAGGTTAAATTGCAAGAGGGTAAAGGTCACAATTCGGTCGAATGTCCGTTTTACCGCAGGCGTTGGATACCGATGCTCTGGCACAGCGCGTCTCCTCCCGACGCGCAGGGGCTCGTCGCCTGCTGTCTTTTCCCAGGACTGCATCTTGCCGGTCATTATCACGTGACAGCGACTAGTCTATGAAAGGCATAAAAAGTCACTACAGAGCAGGGAAGTCGACTAGTTGATACAACCCCTACTATATATTAGTAACAAACAGTGAACTGTGTTTACAGATGACTAAGGGATTAAATAATACGTGTGCAAAAAAAAGAATAATTTATATAGGAGTTTTTTTTTTATTGCAAACAAGGGAAGCAGAAGATAGATAGAAAAAATATAAAAATAAATTGGTAACAATAATTAGGAAGCAAAAAAAAGATTATTATGGTAATCTATTGAATCAGAATAAAAATAACACAAAAGCTACTTGGGGAATAATAAACAGTGTGACTAATAGAGAGAAAACAAAATCCAGTATTCCAAATCACTTGGTCAAGGACAAAAAAGATATTTATGATGATAAAGAAATCACTGATTAGTTTAATGATTGTTTTGTAAATGTAGGTAGGAGTTTGATGGAGAACAAACGAATAATAGAAGATAAATTGACCACAGTGATTAGTACTGTCAATAGTATCGTCCTTGACAAAGTAGATAAAGAAGAAATACGAAACATTGTAAAAAAAACTGTGGAAACAAACGATGAACCGATTTTCAGGACCTGGACATGATAACTGCTAAAACCATCATAGAATCTGTCATTGAACCATTCACTTACATTTGTAATCTATCACTTTCTACTGGAAATTTTCCTGACGCAATGAAAACAGCGAAAGTCATTCCTTTGTACAAGAGTGGTGATAAACATAGTTTCAATAATTACAGGCCGGTGTCACTGCTTCCACAGTTTTCTAAAATATTGGAAAAAGTATTTGTATCAAGGTTGGATAAATTCATCTAAAAATAATATTTTAAACAATGAACAATATGGGTTTAGAACTAAACATTCCACAGCAATGGCAATAATGGAATTAACGGATAAAATATCAACAGCAATTGACAATAAAAATGACTTTGTTAGTGTTTTCATTGATTTGAAAAAAGCTTTTGACATCATTGATCACTCAAGGTTACTTTGAAAATTAAGTCAGTATGGAATAAGAGGTGTGGCTCATCAGTGGGTTAAAACTTATTTAGAAAAAAGGAAACAGTTTGTTCAGATAAAGGACCATAAATCAAAACTATGTGAAATTAATTGTGGAGTGCCACAAGGGTCGGTCCTCGGACCAAAACTGTTCATTTTGTTTATTAACGACTTGGTAAATGTATCTAAGACACTCGGTACCATTCTATTTGCAGATGATACAACACTGTTTTACTCAGGATCAAATATTGAGGAGGTGGCTAAAGTGATAAATGATGAGCTGATTAAAATTAAAAACTGGTTTGATAAAAATAGATTGATACTGAATCTTAATAAAACAAATTTTATACTGTTCACTGATAAAAAGAACAGTGATGTGTCATTGGAAATAGATGGGATTGCAATTCAGAGTAAAAGAAACTAAATTTCTTGGAGTTCTTATTAATGAAGACTTGACATGGAAATCCCATATTAGTTACATAAAAGGTAAAATCCTTAGAAGTATTACATAGAGTCAAGTTTTTACTGACTAATTCTGGTTTGTTGGCATTGTACAATTCACTGATTGTTCCATACTTGACTTATTGTGTAGAAATCTGGGGAGCAACATACAAAAACTATACACAACCCTTATTTATTTTACAGAAAAGAGCTCTGAGAATCATCAATTATAGTGGCTGCATTGTTTATTAAATATAAATTACTGAAATTTCATGATTTAAAAGACTGGAAAATCATACAATATAAGTATAAAGCCAATTTAGGTACTCTGCCAACAAACATTCAGGGGATATTTGAAAAGAGAACTAGTAATTACATGCTGAAAGAAACTGATGTGTTTACAAAACCTAGATTTAGAACTAAAATTAAGGAGTGGAATATGTCTGAAAATGGTGTTAAATTATGGAATAACCTTAAAAGGGAAATTTAAAAAAACTCTGTCATTTAATATATTCAAAAAAATGTACCAAATTGAGTGTACTAAATAATTATGAAAATATAAATTAAATCAATGATCATGATCGCACTGGAATTTAGAACAGGAAAAAGTTTAAAATGAATCTGTATGTGTGTCTGACAAATGGTAATTATATATAAATTGATTATTTCTTCTGGAAAAGGGGACAGAAATTATAAGATGTTTTTCTTCATTCTGCTCCCTTTTGTCCAAATTTGATTTTTTGTCATGTATTTCTTATTGTTTATATGCTTTATTTGTTTTATTTTGAATGAAATAAACGGAATATATATATATATATATATATATATAAACCTGTGCATCTGTGTAACACTCAGGGTCATGGTATGCACGGGCATGGGGAGACTCTTCACATCCCGTTTCCTTTTGACGAGGAGGATCTGAAGGGAGGTAGGTGACACTCGTATCAGGAGGTCACAGTGTTCTCCTTTGATGTTTTACCTAATAAACCAACTTATCAGTCAGACAAAACACGTTTTAATTTAATAGTGTTATCGCAGTTGTTTCAATTGAAAATCGAACTAAGAATAATGTTACCATCCAGATATCCAGCATCCTGTACAGGTAACGCAGTCTCAGACCTGCTTTCCTATGCAAAACAGAAATTGTTGTAATGGCGGCTGAAAAACGGTTGGATCTGAGAAAAGTTGGTTTAACTCCTCATAAGCTTAGAAATGCCTCCTTAAGTTTATCCCAACCCACTTTAGCGTTGGCAATATGTAAACGTTGGTTGCAATAATGCTAACCGCAGGACAACACTAGCCTCAGCTACTTCTAATGCTAGCCTGATCCACTGCTAATGCTAACTCAAGCTACTGCTAAGCCAGAGGTGGACCGGCAAGTTCTGGAGAATCCCAGAATGGCCGATGTGCTATAGGGCTGGTGGGTGTGCCTCAAACCCCACCCCCGCTCGGACATTCCCAACAAAGGGCTGAGCAGACTGCAGCAACGATCTGCCTCCCACGTGCTCGTCGAAGTTAATACAGAGGATCCTGTCAACAGAGATTATCCAGGACGGAAATATTGTTCAAGTCCAACCCTGGCCCAAGCTACTGCTAATGCTAGCCCGAGCTACCGCTAATGCTTTAGCGTAGCTTAGAAATCTAGACAAACTGCAACAGTAGGTCAACGGGTTGGTCTAGCCATGCTCCACTGTAGCTATACTGGTCTACATTAGCACGACCAGTTTTGTGTGCTGGCAGTCACAGCACTATATTTGTTGGGTGTGCTTTCGGTGCGTTCCAGTTGTCCTCGGAACTCGTTTGTCCAAGATAAGTTAGCCGGAAATGATGCAATGAACTCGGATTTCTGAGCTCGCAGGTATCAAGAGGACCCCGAGATCACAAATTTAAAGATGGCTGCGCCCAGTGCTACCAGGAAGTAGTTGTCCTCTTTATTTTCTTCCTCATATGTTCTGTTATCTTTTTTCTTGCTATTTAACAGCACCGAGTAGTTGTTTATTATTGTTATCAATAGTTACGTTTTAGAAAAATTCAACATTGCTGCCATAATTGTTTTTACTTTTCCAGGCGTTTATATTTTCACATTTGATTTGTAGTTTTTCTGGTTGCATGTGGCAACTGTTGATGGGTGTGTATTACTATTATTTAGGTGCAGAGAATACCTGGTAGGTTCTTTTGGTTAAGTTCTTTTAGTACCCAACAACACTGGTGACGTCCATTTTTTCCTAGTTGGAAGCTGGAATGAGGCTGCGCAGTGGCGCAGTGGTTAGAGCTGTTGCCTTGCAGCGAGAAGGTCCTGGGTTCACTTCCCGGCCTGGGATCTTTCTGCATGGAGTTGGCATGTTCTCCCTGTGCATGCGTGGGTTCTCTCCGAGTACTCCGGCTTCCTCCCACAGTCCAAAAACATGACTGTTAGGTTCATTGGTCTTTCCAAATTGTCCTTAGGTGTGTGTGTGTGTGTGTGGCGTGCGTGATTGTTTGTCCTGTGTATCTCTGTGTTGCCCTGCGATGGACTGGCTCTCTGTCCAGGGTGTACCCCGCCTGATTGCCCGTTGACCGCTGGAGATAGGCACCAGTCCCCCCGTGACCCTACATGGACAAGCGGTTTGAGACAATGGATGGATGGATGTGCCCGTTTCTTGCTCGGAAATTCTGAGTTTTGATGACAACTGGAATGCAGCATTAATGCTAAAACTGCAACAGGAAAACTACAAAGATGGCGTCTGATCAGGAACGGTGCTCTTTTTTTTGTTAACAACTTTGGCATCAACTTTGAACCCTTTAGACTTGAGCCTTTCTTTGAGATGTGAGTAGATTGAGGTACTTAAGTCATTTATTTATTCTTCAATGGCGGACTTCCCCGGCGACTGATTTCCAAAGTGATGAATTTGTCAAATTTGCTCTAATTGGTTCAGACCACAGTAGACAAGCGCTGAACTTGGTGGTTTCAATGGCTTATGGCCAGATTATATTTTTACAAATATAGGATGGCTCTCCAGGCTAGGCTCCTGGGCCATTTTGAGCCTCATCAAAGTTTCATATGTTCTGTAGAGGCTCTGTTTCCAATAGTAAAAAACTCTTTCTAGAACACCTTCAAGTCGTGTCTTCTGCTCCTTGCGCAGAGTTCTCCTACTCCAACATGTGTGTGCACAAGGCTCTGCAGAAGCTGAAGGAGCACGTGGATCTGGAGCACCAGTGTGGCTACATCACCATGCTGAACTCCAGCAACAGGCACCATCGCAGGGCCAGTGAGAGCCGGGAGTGTGGAGGTATGATGGCTGAAACACAACGCGTGTGAGCTCACACAGAGAAGACCGATCGCTAATTTAGCAGCAATGTTCCTCTCCATAGCAGCTGCTGGCAATAATGGTGCAAATTGGATAAATAATGCGTGCCGTCCAGTTTAATTATGCTGTTTGTCTGCATAATCGCGTGCCTTTTTTGTGATAACCTTTGCTAATGGACATGGATGAAACTGTCTTTGCCTTAGGATTGAATCTCAGCGCCTCAGATTTATGCAAATGACCCTGAATATTTGATTTGAACGGACAAGCCTTCAGTATCAGGCGGGCAAAAAGCAATAAATAATGTAAAAATAAGCGGCTCGATGTTCTAAATTTGTTGCCATCTGTTGAAGGAGAAACCCACCTGGGAGGAGGCCTGGACACCAACGGCAGCACCGAGTCTTTTGAGCTGGTGACGGAAGAGAACGGCGAGAGCAAAGCAAAGACAGACAGTGGGTGTTTTTATTTATGTTTGAATGTTTTCAAGATGTATTTAATCAGATTTCAGTCAGAACGAATACCAGAGGCCAGACGGCGAAGGCCAGGGCTTCCCGTGTGTCTCACGCCGTCCTCCTCTTCGTTCCTCTTTTGTCTCAGCTCTTTCATCTGAAGACGAGTGGGTCCCTCTTGAACTGTGCTTTGGCATGCCTCTCTTCAGCTCAGAGCTCAACCGCAGAGTGTGTCGAAAGATTGCCTCGCACAAACTGTGTAGCAACGAGAGGTAAAAAAAAAAAACGCACGGATCCGATGCTGTTCTAGAACTTCAGCTTTTAAAAAGACCCAAATGTTCAAAGGAGCAATGGTGTTTGAGGTTTTGTTGTTGTTGTTGTTGTTTCAGCCTCCAGGAGCTGCTCCACTCGAGCCGAAAGCTTTCCCTCAAAGTGCTCAGCTTTGTTCAGTCGTTCCAGGTAAAAGCCCCCACCTGCGGTTTCCTTTGATTCTCACTGAAGTAAAAGATCTGGTCCAGTAGCTTGGGAGGGAAGTTCTGCAGAACACAAGTTTAAAGGTGTGAGGCTGTTATTTGATGGGTATACTTGTAAAAATAATTAAATTTAGGCGCTGATTTGAAACAAAAACTAGATTAAATGCAGCGGCGGCTGGTGGCAAATATTCTTGGCAGGGATTTAGTTTCCTGGTTCACTATAAACAGTCCGTGTGTTCCTACACCCTTCGTTTGAACATTCGAGAGCAACTGCGGTCCAGTACTGTCCATTTTTGATCTTTTCCATGAGATCGTTTGTTTTCCAGCTTGAATTAAATTGGAGTTGAGTTCGATATCCAGTTTTTAACATTTTACTGCAGCAGCTACTGGTATGGTTTCAGCTCTGTCTTAATCAACAGCGAGTGTGTGTGAATGGGGGAGTAACCCAGCCTTAATAATAATAATAATAATAATACATTTTATTTAAAAGCTCCTTTCTGGTCACTCAACGACACTGTACAGAATAAAAACACAAATCATTCAGTACGTAAACATGAACAAACAAGGCACTCTAAAATTCAAAGCTGATATGTGGTTATGAAGAGTAGAGGTGTGAATCTTCATTTGTCTCCTGATTCGATTACGATTATTGGGTCAACGATTCAATTCGATTCGATATCACGATGCATCACGATTATTTCATATTGATTTGTTTTCATCGATAAATAGAAGATGTCAGATAATTGCTTTTTATTTTTTATCAAAAACGTAAGTGACACAACCTGCCATCCCTCAAAAGCCCTCCATTCACAACAGGTTAGGACAAAACATTTTAAACATTTAAGAAGATTTAGCAAAGTAAAACATCTGTTTCCTCGTTCAACGCCACGCCTCAGGCTGAGAAAAACACACTTTGCAAAAACTCACAAAATCTAAAAAAGTACTGAAAACCTACAGGACACATAATGTAATAATAAAATACATAATGGGTTCATATAGGAGTGTTTAATGTCTCTGAGCAGCTCTAGAGTCAAATATGTATGCCGCAGTTGAAGGGTGTCAGAAATAACACCAAATGAAATGTTTGACTTAGTTTATTTTATTTGAACCCAGTGGTTCATTTCTGAAATGTTGGAGAATGAATCAAGTTCTGTTTGATGCAGAAAATAATAAAACTTAAAACAAATTCTACACTTCAATAATATTTAAGATGTGTGTTTTATTCTTCCTGATAATAACACCAGCAGAAGGCTGTGGGCTGGATTAGGATTAAATTACCCAGTTGATGGATCTCCTTCACTAACCAGCTAACTACAAACCTTTCCACTAACCTGTCCTGTGTGACCCTCATGTCCTGTGTGACCCTCATGTCCATGCTGTCTCTGGAGGAGCAGATAGGAGACAAGACCTCCTGTAACTTAAAATTAACCAAAGCTTCCTCCCAGCTTCTCTTTAAGCTGAATTTAACATCAGTTCATCATCATGAACCAAAAGAATAAAGTGGAACAAGAATTTCTATCTTCTATTTCTCCTTTTAACTTCTCCGTGTCCCTAAATAAAAGAGACAGACGATCACGCTGCAGCCTCCGTCACTGACCCCGCCCCCTCCCCAAGACCGGATCTCCCTACATTACAACAAACAGTCTGACTGAGCGCTTCCAGGAGAAATAATAATTAAATTATGAAAATAACGCGTGTTTGGAGCATCGGTTTGGAGGAGCGTCCTCCGATCGTCTCTCTTGTGTGAGCAGACGGTCTCTCTCTCTCTCTCTCTCTTTCTTTCTCTCTCTCTCTCTCTCGGTCGCTGATCGAGCGAGCGGAGCGCGCCGCACGACAACCCGCTCAATTAACATAATTCACGGCCCAAATCCAACAGAACCGGTCGGGCTGATTCGGTTCCGGTTCGGTCTCAGGTTACAACTCCAGCGCTCAGCCCTGCAGTACCACATTAAGGCGGAGGTAAATGTGGAGGACGCTCACTCTGACAGATTTGGATGCGGCGCTGGTGCCGCTGTTAAAAAAACAAAACTACATTCCACTATAATCGATTATGGCGTACTCCTCTACGATGCAGAATCGTTTATGTCCGCATCCCGATGCATCGATTATTTGATTATTTTCCTCAGCTCTAATGAAGAGGTGAGTTTTGAGTTGTTTTTTGAATTCTGTGAATGAGTTAATGTTCTTGATGAGGGGGAAGGGAGTTCCAGAGTTTGGGAGCGGTGCAGCTGAAGGCTCTACTCCCCATGGTGCTGAGATGAAAGGAAGGCACAGAGAGGTGAATGGAGGAGGAGGAGGACCTGAGGGAACGAGACTAGGTGACGATGTGAACAAGATCTGTGAGGTAGTGAGGGGCGAGGTTATGGATGGCCTTGAAGGTGAGAAGGAGAATCTTGTAGTTAATCCCGGTGTGCACTGGTAGCCAATGGAGTTGTTTGAGGATGGGGGTGATGTGGAGTTTTAGTGACGATGCGCGCTGCTGCGTTCTGAACCAACTGGAGCTTACGGAGGGTTTTCTGAGGGAGGCCTGAGAGAAGAGAGTCGCAATAATCGATACGTGATGTAACCAGACTATGGACAAGAATAGAAGTAGAGTGGACATCAAGGGAGGGGCGAAGACGATTAATGTTACGAAGATGGAAATAAGCTGACCATGTGATGCTATTGATATGAGATTGGAAGGATAGTGTGCTGCCTAGGATGACACCCAGACTCTTGATCTGGGGAGAGGGGAAAACTGAAGTATTATCAACAGTGAGAGAGAAACTGTCAAATTTTGAGAGGGTGTTCTTGGTACCAACCAAAAGAAGTTCTGTTTTGTCTGTATTTAATTCCAGGAAGTTCGAACTGAACCAGGATTTTATTTCTTGAAGGCAAGTGTTGAGGGAGGAGGGAGGAAGTGCAGAATTTGGCTTACTGGACAAATAGAGCTGGGTGTCATCCGCGAAGCAGTGAAAACGAATATTGAATCTGTGGAAGATATTGCCAAGGGGAAGGATGTATATAATGAAAAGGAGGGGCCCCAGGACAGAGCCCTGGGGCACACCAGAAGAGACAGAAGAGGGCTGTGAGCGGGAGGATTAGATAGTAATGAACTGAGTGCGACCTGATAGGTAGGACTGAAACCACTGAAGTGGGATGTTAGCAATGCCGATGGAAGATCATCAAAGAGGCGTGTTGAACCCTACGCCACCTGGAGCATTTCAGCCGTGAAACGGCAGCTGATCCCGCGAGGTCACAGAATCACCGGAGAATAGCAAGACCACGCGTGATTTTGGCCGTTCACTCAATAATAAGCAAGGGGAGATGGCAGCATGTTTCCAAAAGGTCTGGTTTATTTTCAGTTCTATAGCTGGGCTGCATGTGGCGCATTTGTTAGCACTGTTGCCTCGCAGCACGGAGGTTGCAGGTTCAAAACTCTGCTGCGGCCTCTGCGTGGAGTTGCGTGTTCTCCCCATGCATGCGTGGGTTTCCTCCGGGTACTCTGGTTTCCCCCACAGATCACAACATGCCCTACAGGTTATAAATTGTACGTCACTTTGGATAAAAGCATCTGCCAAATAAATAAACATAAACATATACGGATGTGTTTTGTTTTTTAAATAGTTAAACAACTGGAAATCAGTATGTGACTTTTATTTTGAAAGTTTCCAGATGTTTCACATTGCTCCCGTGTTTGATTTCCTGTCTGGCCCAATCTGAACTGCTGAGCTAGATGCGTTCTTGAAACGTGGCGCATAAAAAGTGTCAATGTAGTGGTGCAGTGCATCACGACGCTTCGCAGCCGTTTGAAACGCACCCGTTGACCGTAACGGGGGCTGATTGCTGCATACCACGTTTACTCGGAAAGGGCTGGTGAGAGAGCGAAAATACCTTCTAGCATGCTAGCTAGCTGTTTCCTGTGGTAGAGAGCCATTGCCCAGCACCCAAACAACATTAAATTCAGAGATGCTGATTAGCCAAAAATTCTCGAGTTCTGCCTAGCAACCAAATATCATTGGCTGTTTAGCTGCAGTCCAGGGGCGCTTTTCCCATCGCCCCAGGAGAGATATTCATGAGTGTGGCAGAGGAAATTCACTGTTTCATGAGAGACAGCTGGTTACAGTGATGTGTAAATAATTTAGATTGCTTGTAGGCTCACACAGTTAGGCAACACTGATAAACTGATTAATAAATGTGTAAAAATTTTATATTTTTACTTTTGAGGTAAACGTCTTTTTGTCCAACAGGACGGCAGCCAGCCCGCCGATGTGGACAGCGGCGTGTCCAACCCTCTCAGCCAGCCTCCAGCTGAGTCCGGCGTCCCGCTGCCTTCCCTCAACCTCCTCTTCAAGGACGGTCAGCTGAAGGAGTGGAGTGGGCGGGCCCCTCCCCCTCTGGACATCTCCTCCCTGCAGAAGGACCAATCCTCATAAGCCAACCAACCAATTGCAGAGCTGGGTTTATTCATGGGCTGAGGTGAGTCCTTGGTTAAAAAAAAGGGCCCACTCCTTGTTTTTGCATCATCACATGGACACCCCCCACCCCACCCCCCCAATCCATCCAGCTATGGGAAACGAGCCCATCACCTGTACTATATCTGCTGTAAGAGGAACACTAGCACCAACCCTCTTGTTGCCCCCCCACCCCCCCACCCCCCTGTATTTCATGCGCTCCTAGAGCAGCAGTGTTGTCTGTTGGAGTGGTGCTATTATCTCAAATATTACAACAGTGCAGGTAAACCACCTGGAAGACCAACCACACCATCCTCCAATCACAGGAGGCGTGTGTTTCTTCAAAGTAAAGTCAAATAATTGATGTTGTAAAAAATAAAGGAAGACTTTATCAGGAATTCTTTGGCGTTCTAGGACCAAGTCTTTGGACTTCCCAGGTTCGGTTCTGACCCAAACCCAGCTGCCTGTCTGTGTCGTCTCACGTGCGGTGGTCTAATGCATGAAACTGTTGCACAATTCAAAAGAAGTCTCATTTCCTCTCTACTTGTAACCAACGACGGGGGGGGGGGGGGGGGGGGGGGGGGGGGTTATTATTTGCACTGTGCAGGATTTGTCCGAAACCCGTGGATGAATAAATGTCACCTTTTCGTGTTTTAACGTGGAATCATTTGTTTTTTGGAGGTTTTGATTACCAGTAGGAAGTGTTTACTCATGAGAACACAAGCATTTATTATTATTTCCTGAATGGAAAGCACCAAAGACGTGTTTACTGTCTTCAAATTATCTTTATTTTTTTGTTTTGTTTGGTGCCTTTTTTTTCTTTCTAGTCAGCCAATCAGAAGCACTCAGGCCTGGGATCACATCTGCTCATTTTCTTAGCTTTTTTCATTTTCAAAACAACTTTTTTGCCTTTTTCAGGTATTTACACATTTGACTGAGTGCATAAAAAGAATAAAAATCAAATGTTTCCCTGTTTTGTTTAGAACTTGTGTGAAACAGAACAGGAGCCGGTAGATCTGCTTGTTTTTGGTTTTCTCTAGGCCAGCCCTTCACAACCCCCCAATGGATTCTGTTCATTGAGGGGAAAAAGGTGTGTGTGAGGTTGTGTTTGAAAACAAAGCAACTTTTCCTCCAAATGGCCCCTCAGATGGTGATGCTAATCCTTCACCCGGTTTCTCTGAGATGTTGAAGGCCCTAAAATGTTGGTCATGAATTTTCATTATGTTTTGATGCATAAGAAGTGGAAATCCTCCCTCTACAGTTTCTGACTCGTTTGTGGAAGTTGTCTCTAAACATGTGACGCTAAAATAAAAAAAAAGGACTAAGATGAAGCATGATGACAGTAGAATCGTGTGTGTGTGTGTGTGTACTACAACATAGGTTCCCTCTAAATCAGGTCTTAATTGATTCATGTATGTAAAATGATTTTATATGTCAGCATAAATTTTACATTTTATTTGCTGTAGCTTGTTTAATAGAAGAAAAAAAACACCTGTAAAGTAAAACGGGTTTGCAAAAGGCGAGAATGACATTCCTTCACTTCCTGGTTTCTTCTCCAGATACATGTGACCACAAATATGTAAAAAGTATATAAAAATATAAATAAATATGTAATAATTGCAAATCTATCCTTAATTAAAATGTCTTCTTTTTTTTACACTGTAAAAATGTGTTTTTGCTTGTTCGTTAGTTCATCTTATTTGGTTGACACTACTTGTGAAATTGTTGGGTTAAACGTTAATCATTAGTTTGAAAAGTCTTTCTGAATTAGTGATGTATGTTTGGAGGGGACTGAGGTGGGTGGTTAGATTAAAAAGTTTGAATTATCAGTGTTTTTGTGCTCTGTTCACTTTTTTGTGTCGTTTAAATCAGATTTGTCAGTTTTGGGGATATTTCGGGATTTCTTTTCACTGAAACAACAAAACTAAACCATTTTAGGTCATTTACATATCCATTCTTAAACATTATCTGTGCAAAATATGACAACTATATACACTTAAAGAGCAAGTCAACCCCCCTACCAGAATCTTACCCCACCCACACTTCCTGTTTGGTAAAATGCACCTAAACAAGGTGTTGCCTGGCAGACTGAGAGGGTGGTGCTGCAGCAGTGACACTGAAAACACCCTTGTGCAATCACAAATAACAGCTAACGTCACTTATCATGCCTTAGCCAATAGCAATAGGTGATTTAAATTCAAGTGTGGTGCACATTTTTAACCTGAAGAGGGTGCCACACTAACAGTTTTAGGTTAATATTGATTTTTAAGGTAAGATGCACTAAAATCCCAAAACAATGACCACATATGTCTACAGCACTGTTAGCATTTATGCAGTTAATCAGCAAAAACAACTTGATTAGGGGATGACTCGCTCTTTAAAGGGATATTCCATCCCTAAGTGAATTTTCAGTTAGGGGTGGAATATCCCTTTAAGTTAGGCTGATTGTTGTTTATATGTGCGTGTTCTGTAAACGTGTCATTAGGAGTAAAATACAATTTCCAACGTCAATTTTAACGCCAAAATCAGCCGATAATATCGGACATATCTACTTTTTACCACATTTAATATTGATTTCACGGTCTTTTATATCATTTGTAGATAGTACAAATATGGGTTTTCCCTGTAAATAAAGACCAAAGGTGACAGATCATTTGCTGCTGTGGCCCCCAGACTCTGGAACTCTCTCCCCCTGAGCCTGAGATCAGTGGACTCAGTGGTCTCCTTTAAAAGCAGCTGAAAACTCACTTGTTTAGGCTGGTTTTGGTGTGACCTTCATCACCACTCTCTCCTTGTTCTTGTTCCTTGTTCCTTGTTTCAATCATTTTCTAAATTATTTTTCATATTTTACATCTTTTTGTTTTTGTGAAGCGCCTCATGATTTTTGTCTTGAGAGGCGCTTAGAGAAAAGGTCCTTTCTTCTTCTAAAACAAGGAAATACATTTTTACTTTTCGTTTTGACATAACTTGTTAGATTTTACAGTGTATCCCCTCCCTGGAAGGTTATCCTGCCAGTCACATTACATTATCATAGGCTGTTGGAGGTTTTCCGAGCCTGGTGGAACAGATGGTGCACAAGGCACAGCGCTACGGTTGCTGCGTCCATCTGCTGCCTGTATACACTCGTTCTAACCACCCTCGTAAATATAAGTGTACGATGAGTTGACAAACAACATGTGTGCTACATAAAGGGGTTATGTGGAAAAACAAAAGTCCCATGTGGATTTTTCTCCTGAAGCTACAGGTGTGGATCCATGGCTGGCTGTGCCCCCCACCGGACAGGTGGAGCCCCGTTTAATTGGCCAGGTCTCCCGGGCCTCACCGCTCCACAAATTTCCCACCTCTGCAAATTATAGGAGACATGCTGAAGAGAGGGTGGGGTGCAAACTGGGTCAGGCCACCTGAGGATAAGAAGCTCCAAGAAGCGGTCAAACAGGCTGCATGTCACCGCTCTGGAGGGTTTGTTTCCTAACACTAAGAGTCTGCGCTGCAGCACACTCTGAAAAGACATCTGCTGAATTTATTCTGCAGATTTGTTATTTTTGACTCCCATTGTTAGATGGGTGATGCTGCAGGGCTTCATGTTGAAATAGAGAGAAGAGGGGTGTGAAAATAAAATAACACACACTGGGAAAACTCACAGTGCGTGTTCAAACTTGAGCCAGAGCTGATGAAAAGACAGAAATGGTGAAATTATACTAACCTCTTGCATAGTAAATATCACTTCTTCATCATTCTTGCATCATTTCTTGTGAAAGCAGAAGTAGATTATCTGCCTCGCCATCAGGTCAGCTCAGGAAGCTACACAAGTCAGGCTCTCGCATTGAAACACTAAAAGGAAGAGTTTGCCACTTATTTCTAATAAAATCCATGTTAATACAAAACTACACTCTAAGAAATATGGTGTTAAATTTACTTAACCAAGTCATGTCTACTGGCTCCATGAAACCTAGCTGCCAAAATGTAAAGAGTAATATACAGAGTGATACATGTATATCCTCCCTTTTCTGTCCAAAATCATTGAAAGGGTGGCTTTCAAGCAGATCACAGAATACCTCTCACAAAACTGTCTACTTGACCCTTACCAATCTGGGTTCAAAAAGGGCCACTCCACTGAAACTGCTCTGTTAGCAGTGACTGAATCCTTAAAAGAAGCTAGAGCGACAGGCAAATCCTCAGTGCTTATCCTGCTCGACTTATCGGCTGCATTTGACACCGTCAACCACGGCTTCCTTTTGTCCACACTCTCTAGCATGGGCATCACAGAGAAAGCACACGCCTGGTTTGAATCGTACCTCACAGAATGATCATTCAGTGTATCTTGGCTTGGACAATCCTCTACCGTGCACCATCTTGCCACAGGAGTCCCCCAGGGCTCTGTACTAGGACCTCTTCTCTTTGCCATATACACCACCTCACTGGGTGAGATCATTCGATCACATGACTTCTCCTATCACCGCTATGCAGACGACACCCAGCTCTATCTGTCATTTCCACTGGACGACCACACTGTCTCTGCACGAATATCAAACTGTCTCTCTGACTTATCAAAATGGATGAAATCCCACCATCTCCAACTCAACCTCTCTAAAACCGAACTACTTGTCATCCCAGCAAAACCATCCATACAGCACAATATCTCAATCCAAAATGACTTCCCATCTCTGGCTCCTTCGAAGGCAGTTTGAAATCTGGGTGTTGTGGTTGATGAACACCTGACCTTTAAAGATCATGTTGCATCTGTTGCTCGTTCATGCCGCTTTGCGCTGTATAACATACGAAAGATCAGACCATACCTAACACAACATGCCACCCAGCTCCTGGTGCAATCTACTGTCATCTCCCGTCTCGATTACTGCAATGCCCTTCTAACTGGTCTTCCAGGCTGTACTGTGAGACCTCTTCAAATGGTCCAGAACGCAGCGGCGCGTCTGGTCTTCAATCAGCCAAAAAGAGCACATGCCACCCATCTGTTCATTGAGCTCCACTGGCTACCGCTAGCTGCATGCATCAAATTCAAATTGCTAACACTAGCATACAAAGTCCGAGATGGTACGGCTCCCATCTACCTGAATCCTCTTGCAAAGGCTTACGCCTCGGCCCGGCCGCTCCGCTCATCACAGGATGGTCGGCTAGCAGTGCCTACACCACGCTCAGGACAATCCAGACTCTTCTCATGCATTGTTCCACAAATGTGGAATGACCTTCCAAGCACTACCAGAAAACTCCTGAAGACCCTGCTCTTCAGAGAGCATCTTCTTAACTAGCACCCTCCCTGCACCCGTCCCCCCTCTCTACCGTCCACTCCTTGTTCCCTACTCTCCATGACTGATGTCAAGTTGTTGTTATTGTTGTTGTTAGCCTCAAGGGCAATATGCCGATTATCACTTGTAAGTTGCTTTGTACAAAAGCGTCTGCTAAATACATAAACATAAAATAAAATGTTTACATTTAAAGCAGAAATCTGGACTTTTCCACTATATAGAAAGTATATTTAGGAAAATTCTGTATGATTTTTAAAGAAATATGTGAAAGTGAGTCATATACTGTATGTAATAGTCATGATATAGTGATAATGTAGGCAAAATGTCAAGTATTTGGGCTGAGCCCATCACGTAGAGTCCCATGAAATCTGAATTGAGCGCTGCTCAGCATTAGCCAATAGCATTAGACATCCGCTTACGTAGAGATGTCAGTCACAGAGTGTGCACGCATTTGTGAAAGTACCTAGACAGATGCAATTTAAAATAATTTGTATAAAAGAATAAAAAGCATAACAAGACAATATTAATTGTAAAACAAAGTGTTTTTGCTCTGTTGCCTGGCTAGAGCACATCACTCCTGTTCTTAGATCCCTACACTGGTTACCAGTAAACCACAGAATAGATTTCAAAGTGCTCCTACTAGTTTATAAATCACTCAATGGCCTGGGACCAAAATACATGTCAGATGTCATTCCTGTGTATCTACACCCAATAGGGTTCTGAGATCTCTTGGAAACAATCAGCTGGTAGAACCTCGGGTCAGAACAAAACATGGTGGAGATCCATTTAGTTACTATGCTGCTCACATATGGAATCAGCATCCCCATGACCTCAGATCTGCCCCACCCCTAGTGTCGTTTAAAACACAACTAAAAACCTCTAATGTCCTCACCAGCCTTTAAATGAATTGCTTCTTATCATGCGTCGTCTCCACTGTAACCTGCGCTGTTGTCCTCTCCTTTAGCTCTAAACTGTAATTCTGTCCATGTGTATTTTAATTTGCGTTTATAAGTTGTTTTCATATCATGTCCTGATCATTTTAAAGCACATTGAATTGCCTCTGTGTTTGAAATGTGCTCTAAAAATAAAGCTGCCTTGCCTTGCCTGCCTAGACGTGAGCGTTTACGACTGAGAGGCGTTGCTTCCAGCATCACGAAAGTGTGGTGCAGTACATTTATCCAACCCTAGATGGTGCTCTCTCAGATAAAGACTTCCATGTCTCGTAACAACGTTGACATTGTGTAGCTATAAACATTTTTTGGGGATTCAAAAAATGGATAAAGTGGTTCTCTCACATTTGTCTAAAAACCTCCGCCAACATCGCGTAACCATTGGACCATGTGGTTGTTGGTCTGGCCAAACTGCCGCACTTCCCTGGGTCCTCCATTCAATTACACATATTTAGCAGCAGAACACCACTGGTGGGAGAAGTTCTCCGCTCAATAATGTCAGAGAAGGAGAAACAGCCAGCTGTTTCGCTTCAACTTTAGGACGAACTACCAGAGTCCCAAAAAGAAAAACACCATTTGAAACCACGGACAACAAAAGACGTTTGGACCTGGAAAACTGCGCCATCTCGTATGCTCCAGCAACGTGGGTTTCCAGTTTTGGAAGATTCCCGAAGGGAGGGGTGAGTGTTCTATTACCGTCTTCGCGTTCAAAACCTAGCTTGTTCTGTAGATTCAACGTTTTATTTTTTTAGAGTGAAGGATATGTTGCAGATGGATGACTGCCTGGATTCAGTCCAAACGTCGTAACACGTTTTAAAATTCACTTTTTCATCAGAATGTATCTAGTTATATGGAGAAAATGACGATTCTTCCCAAAAATCAAACAAAAACACAAAGACTAGCTGAGATAGTCCTAATTTCCCATGCATCTGAATTTTAAGTATGGTCATTTGACCTGGATATAAATCTGACTTGAACTCAGGGTTACTCTGTCCTACTTGATGCTGATCACAGTGAAACAAAACAGAGTGATCCTGTGCAGCTTTAGAGTAGCTCAGCTGATCGTCTTAAGGAGCGCCACCTGAAGGTCACCTCACTAATCTGTTGAGTTTACTGTATCAGCTCCAGGCCTCTCTGCCTGGTTACAGCAGGTTTGTAAACAATCCTTCCAGCGTGCTCCCAGTTCACCCCTCTGTCATTCTTCTTCACATAACTGAGCGTTAGCTTCAATTAAAGCCTCTCCTACACTCTCACCTGCATCTCATCCCCATTTCTAGGACATCATGGTGGAGCTGCTGGTTAAACTGGTGCCATTTTTGGAGCAGCTCATTTTGCACACTCATTTCCTTGCCTGTGGGATACAGCAGTGAGGGGGAAAATGGCCCATAACTGAGAAGAATAGGCAGGCGAAGAGCAGCTAAACATTATGGAGACGTTATGATGTCACTGGGAGACGGAGGGGAAGCAAATGTGGCTGCAAGCTTCAGCTGATAGACATAGAGTCACAAACTGCAAGATGATCTGCAGCTCTGCAATCCTTTATAGTCTTCATCACCCAAATTATACATACATATTTCTATATTGTATGTTTTTGGTAACAAATATTAATATAAAGATGAATAAAATGACAAAATGGTCACTTTAATGGTAAAATTGCTAAAATAAAATCTATCAGATAACTTGTCGATGTTCCTGCGTTCATGCAGACGCCCACCATCTTACCCTTAAAGAGACTGAGGATTTATATAAAGGATCTCTTGAGTGTGCTTTTATTTTGAAGGGCTAAATATTTTTGTTTAAAGCCACCTTTTTATATTAAGAGTTCGAAACTTGGAGTGTAATTAGATAAACTTAGATCTGCTACAAAAATGTTTAGATCAACCGATCAACAGATCGGTAAGATGTACCTTTGTAGGCTCACAATTTATTTTAAACATCCTTTTTCTTATTTACATACATGCTTAAATTATAGAATAGAATAGAAAATCCCTTTATTGTCCATCAGTGGTGAAACTTTGGTGTCAGCAGAAATTATGGACAGCAGGTGCAGAAAAGAATAAAACATAAAGAAGAATAAAGTACTTTGAACCAAAAGCATTAAAAATGCGAGAAATAAAAGATTTTTTTGAATTTAACACATTTTAAAATACTAAAAGCTGCAGAGAGATTGGGAGTAAATAAGTAAGATTGTAAACATTCTCATTTGCGTAAAATTAAGTTTGATTATAAAAATTCAATATTTATCTTTACATATAATCTTAAATATAGATTTTTTACTTAAAAAGTCAAACTTTTTTTTATTGTTTTTAACGCATTCGTTCCAAGCAGCTCCCCATTCTGCCTAAAATCTAAAAACTCCTTCTTTGTTGGACCTGAGCTGAATTACAAGCACTTCCGCTTTAAAAGCGGAGTCTCTGTAGAAACGGAGCCGCACATCAGATCCGCCTTCAGTCTGACGCCGGGCGGTTCGGTGCGCACCGCCAGGGCCGCGGGATCAGGAAACGCGCCATCGGGCACAATTTTCAGGATTAAAACCACCGATCATCGAACTCTGACGCAAGAAGGCGTGAGGTGGGACTCCACCTGAGCGCGGGCACCACTTTGTATTCTCCACCCAGCTCCACTTGTTGATACGGGCTGTAAACATCCACACCGCGGAGCTTTTATCTGACGCGTAATTTGGATGAAAGCCTGCCCGGCGGCGGAACGCAGGAAGTTTCGAGCTGCGCGGTTCCGTGACAGGTGGCGAAGATGTCTGGTGACCGGTAACGGCATCGGATTACACGGGAAGCTGCTGCCAGGTGAGCAGCGGAATGGGGAACCAGGTGGACAGGCTGTCACATTTAAGTTACGCTGAAGTTCCCACGGTGGACCCAAACGGCCTGGACACGGACGACGGCCCGCGGATCGGAGTCTCTTATATCTTTTCCAGTGACGACGACGAGCTGGAGGATGGATGCGCGGCGGACGGAACCGAGAAAGACCCGAATGAGGAAGAAAAGCACTACGATCCGCGCGACGAGGTGGAGTGCGCCGTCTACAACAGAGAGGAATGCGTCTACGAGAAGAGCGCCAAGTGCGCAAACCTGGAGGTTTACTCTCCAGAGAACCTGCTGAACAAATGCAAAGCAGGAGACCTGGTGGAGTTCGTGGCTTCAGGCCAGTACCCGCACTGGGCTGTGTGCGTGGGAGACTTCCAGGTGGTTCACCTGCACAGAGCCGAGGTGAAGAACAGCTTCCTGACTGACGCGAGCCAGGGGAGGAGGTGTCGGGTTGTCAACGACCTTTACAAATTCAAAGCTCTCAGTCCGGACATGGTGGTGCAGAATGCCATGGAGCAGGTGGGGCTGAAGGACCGGGAGCTGAGCTGGAGGAACTCTGAAAGCTTCGCAGCCTGGTGCAGGTTCGGCAGGAGGGAGTTCAAAATGGGCGGGGAGATCCGGATTGGCAAGCAGCCCTACAGGCTGAAAATCTACCTGTCGGACAAGCACGCGCACCTGCTGGAGTTCCAGAGCCTGGAGGACGTGATCATGGAGAAGAGGAGGAACGATCACCTGGGGAGGACAGCAGTGCTGCAGGAGCTGGGCACGCATTTCAGGGGCATGGAGGAGAGCAAAGGTGGCGCTGAATGATGTCTGCTAGTTAGATTAAAGGAGTTTTAGGACGTTTGAAAGCTTCCTGAATGGCTTCAGTTTGGAGAAATAGCTTTTACATCCCAAAGAATGAAGAAAAGTATGTTTTAAATAGGGTCTCTCAAGATAACAACCATGAGGTGCTTCACAAGAACAAATTCAAATAAAAAATTGATTAGAACATCTTAAAAACGAGGGAAAAAAATGAGATAAAAATATAAGGGAAGAGAACAAGAAAGCAGTATAAGTGGATTCTGGGAAAGGTGGAATTGGTAGAAAAATGGTTGACAAGCGTGTGTGTTGGGTTCATATTAGCTAACACCACTAGGGGGCACATTTTCCCTTTTTCATTAAGCCTCAGTGAGCAGTAGCTGATTACTCCAGACGCTGTGGTGTTTTATCTACCTTCCGGGTGTTTGGTCTGACTTTAACTCACGCTTGGAAGCTAACTACACTCAGCTAGCCCTGAAACCATACACCGCAGCAACATAAGCTAACAACTAGCCTGGAAGCTAACTCCAAACCAAAGTGGATAAAAAAAACTGTCTCAATTATTTAAAAACATGCAGTTGTTCGTTGTTAGCAGGAATATTTTTGATATTCCTACCTGAGCCGACTCTAGATTAACCAGAAATGCTAACATTTAGCTGTTGCTAATCTACGAATTCAATGTAAATGATGAGGGTGTTCACATGAACTGTGAGATGATACTCATCTTGACTGCACTCATGCTAACCATCAGTCCTGAACGACCTAAAAGCTATTTCTGCATACTGAGGCTGTTCAGGAAGCTATCTTTAACAGGTGAAATAGTATTTGTAACTTTTACACAGAAACACACTTTAAAATGGCCGGAGAATATTTGTTACACTGTCCTCTTTATTGTGTAGTGATCCTCCTTTTGATTTATGATTGACTTGAATTTTCTGACTTGAATTCAGATGTGGATCAATCGTTTTAACGAGTTTATAATTTTACTGCCTTAAAACCACAATCCTCACGAGTTCAGAATCAGCTGTTTTTTTCCTATTACAATATTTTTCTAAATAAAAGCTTCTGCAAGTAGAATGAACATCTTCTTTTTATTATTTGTCTCATTACTTGATCCCGTTGAGGTTTAATCAGCTCCCCCTTCCCAGTTTCTGGTGTTTTTCTGTAGCATGTTTGAAGAAAGGGATCAAAAAGTTCCAAATGTGTAAGTGGAGTTGTGTTTTGTTAAAGGGGTGAGAAAAGCTGCTTACATTAGAGCATTAACTGGTCTGATCTCTTGTTGTCTATTCAACCACCTAACAAAAGCCATAAACTACGATGTCTGCAGAAACTGATATTTCGATTATTATTATTATACTCATATTTAATTTTACGTGGGAGGCCACCATATTGAATTTTAAAATTCAGAATTGGTGCATTAATGCGAAACATGCAGACCTCCTAGCTCCTGCAGGAGGTTTCCTGAATCCAAAAAATACTTCTTGGACCGTTTTTCCAGGTTTGCTGATTTGCACTGTACTTACTTTGCTACTGCACATGTAAACATATTATTTTTTCTACTTGGTAAACTGGTTTAGAAATGTGATGCTAGTAAAACTACCTCTGGTTCCAACAAGCAACATGGTAGCACCTGTGGGGTGATGGTGACACAGGAGCTAAGTACTTACCCCGTAATCAGAAGGTTGCAGGTTCGAGCCCCGCTCAGTTTGTCGCTGTTGTTGTGTCCTTGGGCAAGACACTTAACCCCCCTTGCCTGCTGTAGCTCATCCCCACCAGCGTGTGAATGTGTGTGTGCATGGGTGAATGACTGATAGTGTTGTAAAGTGCCTTGGGGGGGTCCCAGGACTGTAGAAGGCGCTATATCAAATACAGGCCATTTATCATTTATTTTCCACCTGTAAACAGGTGGAAGCTGTTTTTGGGTTAGTTGCAGAGGTGCCCCTAGATCATTTTCACAGGGGGCCAGTGAACATTTTGGGGTGGCACATCATTTTGGTCTTTCTGATAATTCTGGGAGAGTTTAGCCTGTGGTTGTATATTGTATTTTTCTTTAAATAATTTTCCTTCCATGGATTCAACCTTTACTTAAAATTGGAGAAACAAACATTTCAGAAAGGGGACAATTTCACAGTTATATCAGCTATTGTTTTATACATTTTGAAACCATTTCATTTGCCTGTTGTCTTAACTAAAACATCCACAAGAACTAGGGATGTTCCGATCACATTATTTTGCGCGCAATCCAAGTCAGAGTCAGGAACTTGTTGAAATTAAAACTAAACCGTTGTTATTTTGATTAAAAATCCCATCTCTGGATAGATTTTTAAAGTCACGTTTGTGGTGTTCTGAGGTTATATCCAGTCATTTCCAACCAATTCTGATTCTTTGAAAATCACTTGATCAAATCGGAGCCTAAGAAAATTATCGGGGTGGGGGTTGTCAGAGGGGTGGCCATTGCCCCACTGGCCAACCAATGGGAGCACCACTGGCTGGTGGCAGATTGGAACTCCCCAAAATCCACCTCTTTAATTGATGCTTTGCAAAAATGTTATTCAAGGTTAAACTGACCTCGTTCCGCTCCTGGTTTACTCCTTGCATCCTGTCTTTCATCTGGCTGAACAGCAACTCCCCCTTCTTTGGTTTTTACTTTTTCACAAAACAGTTTTCCCACCTGCTCTTTTTGAACTGAGCTTCTCGCTCCACTTCAGAGAGCAGAACCAGACGAGGACGTCTGTGACCATCTGCTTGTTCAGGACAGAATTAGAGTCCATTCAGGAGACGGGGCGGAGCAGGAGTGACACCTCCCAACAGGTGAGAGGAGTGAAGTCAGCTGAGCGGCAGCTGCTCAACCCTTTTCTAAAAGAAAATTTCTAAAAGTTTGAATTAAAAAAAACTAAAATGTTGGTAAATATGTATTCCTCAGTAACTCCTAACACAGCATCTCCATGGCAACGTGAGGAATAGTAATGTTCTCCAGCAGTTCAGACTATCAAAACACATAACGCCTAATTAATCAACTCTATAGTAAAATGGAGCTGCAATTTGTTGCAATTTCAGCCACGACAGCTGGAGAGGGAGCACAACTGGAGCATTAAGATTATTAATGAAGAAAAAAATGGGCCTGAGGCGAGGTTCTTCAGAAGGATCCAAATCGCAGAATTATAGAAAACCGAGGAAAACAAGTTCGTAAAGTGAGGTGTTGAGAAGAGTCACGTTTTTATTAATCCACAAGTATATTTCTTGTAGATGAAGTTTTTAACTGCAGACTAGAAGAAAAGCTTTAATTTGTTTGGAAAAATGTTTCTGTGTTCCACAAAGCTGGCTGTGATCACTAACACAGAGCAACCTACTACTCTGCCCTACTGGTTGAAAGTGAAATTGCAATCGTGGTAAACAGCCCTGCTGTAGCTAGCGCTAACAACAAGCTAACATGAGCCAACTACTACTAAAATAAACCGCCAAGTAAAAAGATCCACACTGTTGAACAAAAATATTATTACTTACAAATCCATTGGCAACAAAGCCAGGTCATCATCAGTCTGTGATTTTGTAACCTTCTTTAGCTCCCTCTGTCATGTTGTGGTGAGAAATCTAACCCACGACATACAGAATCAGATCAGAGACGGTGTAAAATGTTTAAATAAGGATTTATTAAAGGGAAACCAAGGAAGCAGCGTAAACGTAGCTGAGTTCTTGCACAAGGAAGCTGGTGCAGGAAATCTGTGGACAGATCGGAGTTAGATCCAATTTGCGGAGGGAATAAGGAATCAGACTTGTGCGGAGGACTTACGGTCTGGAGAGGAGGGAACTGGTTTGAGGGAGGAGTGGTCCGGTCTGGGTTGAGAGGCTTTGCAGGGACTGAGATCCAAGAAGTGAGACGTGGAGGGAGCTGAGCTTGTGGAGGGAGGTCCAGGAAGTTTAGGTGGGCAGCTGGAGGTGGTTCTGGCCAGGGGTGAGGCTGAGAGGCGAGCGGGGTTGGAGATCCAGATGGTGTGGGCTCCAGAGTTCTGCCAGTCTAAGATGAGTGTGTAGGTTTGTCTGGGAACAAGAGCAGGAGGTCAAAAGGCAAAAATCCCAAAACTCATTAAATTCTTAAAAATCCAAATTCCAAAAACACAATCTAATTCTCAAAAAGCTTTGAAGAGCTCGAATATGATAAACTAGCGGCTGTTAGAAGGTACCCAGGTAGAGTAATCATCCAGCGAGGTGTAGAAGTCTCCCAGCTGCTTAAATACCCCTGGCCAGCTGATGAGCAGATCTGCTGCAGCTTGGTCAACCTCCAGACACGCCCACCTGCAGAGGGAAAAACTCAAAAGACAGGGAGTGACAGCAGGAATCCACCTCAGACCGTGACACCCTCAAACTAGCGTAGGCCACGCCGATGTTCGCTCTGATTTTAGCTCTTTGCTTCACCTCCAAAGACATTACTCTCCTATTTTTACTTCCAGGCTCCACCATGATGCCAACCCAAAAAAAGCAAACTTCTTTTTGTGCTTTTTATTGACAATCGATGAACTTAAAATGCTAACTGCTAGCATTACAGCTAACAGTCTTAAAGCAGGCAAAGAGCGCCCCCTAGAACACCTTCCCGCTCTGAAAAACTGGTCAGCAGAGGGCTGCAGGATGGTGTCAAATATGAAACTAACCCTAACATCAACATGACCGCTGACTTGCAATGTTATGTTTTATCTCAACAAACAACATAAGCCTGGAGGACCTTCTGCCATGTGGTGAAGTTGCTAATGCTAACAGTTAGCTTCTACAAGCTGAGACGTTCCCTGCTGTCTCCTGCACGCTAAATCAACAACAGCCTTCTCTGTCATGAGTCAAGATGGGTGAGTCCATGAATGTTAATTCACAGTGCGATGAAGATCTGTCAGGATTTTCTAATCCTAGAGTTTCACCGTCTACTTCCTATCAGAAGCTAATGCAGGGGATTGGTGTAGGAGACTATTTTCATGTTCAGCCTGCCAAAAAAGTTAAGAGTGATCAATTATAATAAAAAAAACATAAAAATGTTTTTTTCAGTCAACCACACCTTTTACCCATTCATAAACGTGCTTGATTCTCTAATAATAATATTAATAATAATCCCAGTGAGGCACTTGGAACGGAAACAGTTACTAATTATTATCGTCTCCTTTTGCACATTTTAATTTCTGCTTTGGTCCCTGGGAGAAATCTACACGCTGCTCTGAGGCTCTTATTGATTTCCAGCTCACGTAGGCTGAAATGAGACGAGCAACGTTCAACAAAAAATAGCAAAAGGAATTTTTCAGTCCGCCCACGAGGCTTAAAAGTTAGTTGTGACCGGACGACGACGGTACGTCAGCTTCTTTCATACCAAAGCTCTAACTGCAGCATTAATTGAATTTGTCTGATGTAATCACAGAAAGCACGGGACGTAAACAGATTAAACTGTTTTCTGGAGACGGAGACAGATGTGTGTTATTTAGACACTTTATGCTACCTTTTCCCTCCCCTGTGCTCCCCTTTGCTCCCCTGTGCTCCCCACAGCTCTTTATTCAAGTTTGGACATCAAATCCTCCTTACAGGTCTTGTCAAGCCCAGCTTTTTCCGCTCAGACACTTTCTTTTTGCACCGAGAGTAACTTTGATGAGGCAGGAGTGCATCTTTGCAGATGTTATGGCGGTCGCTGTGGCGTGAATGTTTCATTCAGAAGTTTAAGGTCCTGTTTCTGGAGACGTTTGGCTTATTTTAGAGCAAACAGGGATGCATTATGGGAAGTGAGGGATGTTTTTGATCATTAATTCTTACAAGTACCTAAATGCATTAGTTAGTTGTTGTTTTTTCTCAAAATTGAGGTTTAAACTTTTTCACAAAAGCACATTTTTAAGAAAGCACTGCCTCAGGACAGACAGAAACATAGATACGTCAGAAAAGTACAACAGAAAGAAATCATAATTATGAGCCTTTAAATGTTTTTTGTTTGAATCTTTTCTGATTTTGTGTTTTAAACCTTTTGTTTGTTTTTGAGTTTTTATCAAGAAAGTTGCGAAACAAAAACTTTCTTACTTCTGATTAATATATATAATTTTACATGTTTTCACTATCACACTA